TCAAAAAGAGAGAGGCATCAATCTGTATGCGCAGACAAATCTGTAATCAAGAAAACACTGAAAAGCAGAAAGGGAAAAGTGAACGAAAAGTATTACGTAAAAGAAGTACATAATTCCGATGGACCTAGCATTATGATTGGCCAATACCCGGCTGCCCTTTATGCCTTAGTAAAATTTCCGCCGGGGTGTCCTGTCCTCCCCAGTCCCACAATCCGCCCGAGTTGGAGGGAACCAAACGAGAACCGGACATCCCTCAAGCCGCTTTTCATCGGTCAGCCGAGGAGGTCCAAGCCTGCTAGTTCCGGGGTGCAGAGGCTCAAAGCCCCCTTTTCGACCGGTCTCTGCACATTCTCGGAAGCATCTGGGGAAGAACCGACTACCACGATGCCGACGAAAAGAACTACCCCAGCAGGCAAACAACGGGTGCGCACTGGCTGCTGGACTTGTCGCAGGCGCAGAAGAAAATGTAAGCTGGCGGACACCTTACTAAGCTAAGAGTGGTTAAATTCTGATGCCATCTACTCAGGCGATGAGGCCAAGCCTCAGTGTGAAAATTGCACTGCAAAAGGCTTCGCCTGTAAATATCCCAGCAAAGTCACCTTTGTCTCGGTTGTAAATGCAACGGATCTACAATCCGATGCGACAGGAGCAACCTACAGCACCATCACAGTAAGAAGAGAATCGCCAAAGAAGTGCTCGTCGAGTCCGTTGACTGACCGTCGATAGTTTGTGGATGAGACCCCCGCCACAACCCCTTCACTGCATGAGAGTGGGACGTTAGAGCACGAGCAGAGTCCAGCCGAATGTCATGAAGAGCCGCTAGAACTACTTCCAGCCCCCAGTCACGCTACGACGCATCTTCCTTCGAACAGTGCTATTCCTACTCAGCAGGCTCGGCGCGAGGTTTCTTTTACCGCTCTGTCAGATTCAACCGGAAATGATCCTGAGACAGGTTTACTTCGACATTACTGCTATGCACTAGCCCCTTGGATTGATGTCGGCGATCCAAGCCGTGCGTTCGGCCTCGAGTTCCTGATCCTTGGAAGGCGAGTCCGACCGCTTCTTGCTGCTATCCTCGCGCTTGCTGCGGGTCAAAGGTCGCTTGTAGTGCCGAGGCATGCAGCCGACGACCTCGCCAGGAGCCTCAGGTTCCGCGAAGAAGCCCAGAACTGCCTTCCTTTGCAAGATAATACTATCCAGCGAGTACGAAACGTATTCTTTATGCTCCATGACTTCTTTTCCTCCCGTCCATCTCAGTGGAAGACTTTGGTGACTGGTCATATCAATGCGCCAGGAGGCCGCGGATGCCTGGCAGCCTCTGATGGAGGGCTCAATGAACCGTCTTTTTGGGTGAGGCTTAGAATCGGTGAGTGGATAAAACTTCTTGGGGCTTATTGTCAGAAGCTAACACTGGCCAGATCTCGCTGCATCGATTATAAACTCTGAGCCTCCACAAATGCTAATTCCCCCGCCAGTACCAACTTCAGAGCCAAGTTCGATCAAGCAGGTCTACCAGCATATTCTCCTGCTTCTCGCGCATACCTTGAGCTTCATCTTCGGAGGTCCAACGGCATATCTCGAGGGCCCGGGCCAAGTAGACACGGTTCCCGCTTTGAATCCCGTATCACAATGGAGCTACCTGTGGACGGAATGTCGGAGATGGTATCAAAATCGTCCTCTGCAAGTGCAGCCCGTCTTGGATGTTCGAGCTGCGCATGCCGATGAGATTGATCCACAGAACGCTTCTTCCTTCCCCATCTTGGTCTACACCACACCCCTCGCACTAGTCGCCAATGCCGTCTACCACGTCGCCTCTTTTCTCCTCCTGACTCGCAAACCTCGCTTTGTGAAAACGCTGACCGGCCCGAAGTGTCTGTCGTCCTCTATCTGGCATGCTCAATCCATTGCCGGTATTGCAACTAGCAACGACACGGTAGAGCAGTGGGACCCGATTCTCATCGCGGCGCTGCTTCTCATAGCCAAGGATATGACTCACCATTTACAGCAGTCAGCGGTGTTGAACCGGCTACGACGGATTACCGAGTTGACAGGGATCAACCTGGACTACGAGATCGAGTCTCTTCAATCCCAGTGGCGCATGTCACGATACGAAGAACCAATTGCTTGATGGCAGTTACATCAGGACTTTTTATTTCTACCTAGTGACTGTCCAAACTGTCGACTTCTGAGGCCGTGGGAATGCTCTGCATCGCACCAGGCCTCTGCACACATAACGCCGCGGCACAATTGGCCCGTCGCACAGCCTGCTCAATGGTGTTATCAAATTCTCTCAGCGGTGCCGATGTTGCGAGAAATTCAGCAAATGCCGCGGCGAAATACCCAACAAAGGTGTCGCCTGCGGCCGTCGTGTCAACCACCTTCTGTACCCGGACTCCATCGACGAAGCCCTTTCTGCCGGTGCAAGTCGAGAAGAACACACCCTTTGCGCCAAGGGTAATGAGGACGATCTTGACGTTGGCGAGAGCATGGAACCGCCTCGCCAGGTCTTCCGGCTGCAATTCGTCTGTCATCTGCGTGCTGATTCCTGAATCTGGTGCGATGGATGCCTGCATTTGTACCGCTTCGGTCTCGTTCATGACCAGAACAGAGGTGTTGGAGAGCGCATCAACCGGGACGCCATCTGCGAAGACCGGGGCGGGATTGAAAAGGATATGTGTGGGGTTCCCTGGCTGGTTGAAATGCTTCATCAAGTCCAGAGTCGTGGGTCTGGGAATCTCGCCTTGTAGAACAATCAAAGCCGGAGATTGAGGGTAGGACCGGATCGTGGCGAGGATCTTGGAAGCATCGTCCATGCCCGCATGATTGGCCCCCGGGACCACCAGGATCCTGTTTTCGCCGTGCGCTGAATCTTCAACGATGATCGTTGCCGACCCTGTGCGGCTGTCTGTTTTCTCCTCAATATACTTTGTATCTACACCGGAATCCTCTAGCGTCGGTCGGATCAGTGTTGCGTAGTAAACGTCGTCGGCGCCCACAGCGCCAATCATGCTCACAGTGACTTTTGAGGCGGCACTGGAGGTGAGCGATGCTCGACCGCATGCGACAGCCTGGTTTGCACCCTTTCCACCGGCAGTCACGGAGAGGGAATTTGCTGTCAAGGTCTCGCCTGGCCCAGGACACCGGGATGTTGATACCGCAAAGTCGATATTCAGCGAACCGACGACGCAGATGTGGGTCGTGTTGGATGGCATTGCTGCGAGATTTGATTGTGCTGTCTAGAATACTAAGAAATCAATGCTTGAGGCAGATAGAAGAGTACTTGCAACTTGGATATTTATGTCGTGTCTTCATTTAGCCCGCTTCTGCCCAGGTGGAGCCGTCCAAATGCGGGAACCGTAGGCTATGCCCCTACAATCGGCCCACAGCATGTAGGCAAATAATTGTTCAATTATTTCAAAATTATCTCTTGTTCTAGAAATTTCAATCCCGTTGCACTATTTTAATGAACGCAGAGCACATAAAGTCAGTCACGCACTCACTTGTTATATGAGTCTGGGTAAGATATACTATTCAGCAACAAAATTGAATCCGTAACACTCCCCTGTGCACCTATCATATATTACCTATTTATTTGGGTGCTAGAAGCCAGACATGAACCGCATGATATTATTCAAACAGTACGAATCCAATAGTTAAACAGGAAGCTCTGGCTGTCATGGGCGTCAGTAACATTGAAAGGTCTAGTACTACAGAGTATGTTCTCGATAAAAGCCTTCATGCTTGATTGGCTTAGGAGCATTGTGAAGCTCAAGACTTGCTTGCCAAGGAGAATGACAGTGGCGAAGGATTAAGGTAGCCAAGTATGATTGCAAGTTATCAGCATTTAATCGGCATGTCATAGATCTTTCGGATACTAGATTCCTGCTTCATTTAGCGAAGCGCCTGCATAGCTAGTCGCTTCTATAGACGGGCTCTAACAGGTTAATAGAATCTTGCTTGCTTGCTTGATTGATTTACTGATCTTTTAGGCACATGAAAAAGTCTATTTTATAGATTTAGTCGGGTGCTACACAAAACCACAAGATACCTAGAGGGTTTCATGCCCTGCTTTGCCCTGCCCATGTAGGAGATAAACGCTAAAGAATAAAACAGAAATAGAAGAGATGCCAGAGTCAACACCAGCCCCAGCACCGTCGATCGAATTGCCTTTACCGCCAATCTGAGCACTTTATTCCTTAGAAGTGGTTTTAGGTATGAGACAAGAAAAGCCTCCAGTCTTGCAAGTTAAAAAGAGATAGGAATCATCCTCCCTGAAATTTCTTCCTACTTACTGGTTCATTATGAAAATGACGCCTGACTCTTCAGTATTATTTTGTTCCTGTCTATGCTATGCTAACAACATGGCAAGATACTTCTTCAAAGTGGTTTTGGTAATTCATGATTTCTGCAGGCAGCCACAGAAGTCGAGAAAAAATCCTCTGCAGTCCCATTTTAGGCATCTATGTTCTGTAAGGTATGAGAGGCATTTTTGGGAGCCAATGGATATGCAAACCTTAGTCAACGGGAGGTCCGCATCTAGCGGCCCTGAATGATAGCAGAAAGTGATGGAAACTGGAATGAGAATAGTGTTGCGATGTCAAAGGTTCAGAAGTCAGAATGATGAAGATAATAGTGGTACCTAGAAGAGCTGTGCTAAATGGTACTGATGCTGCTCCCGGGGGTCCATCAAATGGACAACTTCGTTCCCCTGCCGCGAAGCGTAAGAGAGCAGTGCGTATCATGGTATATTGTTATAGGTAGCAGGGGACAAATCATAAGGCAGCAGCCTAGAAGGCCCGTGAGGGAATTAAACGCATAGATCCAAGCTTTTCTTGGACGACCATGACAGACTGTCAACAGATTCGACGAACCTGAATGGCTGAATCCACAGGGCTGGACCGAATAAGGTCGTCTACAAGTCTAGAGTTCCGAAGCTAGGAAGTAAATGTATACAGAACATTTAGTGCGGCGCACATAAGACGTTTGTACTCCCCCGTCCACTTCCCTTTGCTCGCCTACTTGGTTGATCATCTCTTCATACCATATACTGATACTTCTACTTCATCATACAGCCAATTTTGACACTTAGGCTAAGCAATACTTCGATGAATAGCCTTCCTTCTACTACCTTGTGCCGCTGTATCACTGCAGTAGAATGCCATAACCACAGACCCAACGGTGTCTGCCCAGAGCTCCTAGAAGAACGTCGCCCGCCGTAAGACAACAGTTATCGACGACAAATGCTTCGGAGGGTATCAATATAGCCTCAGAAGATGGAAAAGATTGCCTTTGTGTGTTCGTATATCCCCCATCCCCGAGAATGCTCTTCGGGATGCACACGCTGACATGCAACAGATTAGTACAGTTCCTTTAGATTTCATACATCCGCTATTTCATACTTGGCCTTTGATATACAGCCAAAAAAGGAGGGTCCTAAAACACAAAAGAAAGAGCTTATCGCCAGGCACAAAATGAATCGCTTCATGGATATCCTGAGCAAGCCCGGAGCCAAGGGCGACATCCAAGGCGTGGCTCCCACTCAGTTCACCGAGAAAGACGGCCTTGCAATCGACAAGCCTAACGCCACTGGCTACGCACCGAAAAGCAAACCCAGAATGCTAGACCGGTGGCTTGACTTCGTCGTTCGAATGTCTGGCTCAGAGCCGGTGTTCTTCTTCATCCTCACCGGTCTCCTCGCCTGGGCTTTGCTTGGGATCAAGTACGGGACCACCGACCTCTGGCAAGTCCTGATCTCCGACATACAGGCAATCGTCAGCTATGTGTTTGACTCATTCCTGGTCAGACAGCAGCTCAACGCATACGAGGAGGAAATGACTGTGGCCGCCGAGTTGCAGTCGCGCATTCTCAGCCACCGCAGGATGCTGACGAAACTGGAGTTGGAAAGAGACAATAAAGATCCGGAGAAGCGAGCCCGTCTGGTGACGATCGTAGCTCAGTACCGGGACGCTCCCGACTTCAGCGCAGAGCTACCTACTGAAAAGCGTTTCGGACGGACCATCACTTGGTTCTCTCATGTACTGGGTCATCTAGGCACCGTCGCTCTATACTGGGTTGGCGTCTTTGTCTGGGTCGGCATCGGACATCTGAAAGGATACAGCAACGAGTGGCAGCTGTACATGAACTCGGCGTCTTCGGCGTTGATGGTGTTTGTCTTTGCATTCCTGCCTAACATCCGTGAGCGACACTCGGCCTACACCCTTAGTTGTCTGAACGCAATCTTCAAGGTTGACGCAACGCTCGAATTTCGCCTCCGACTCCTCACTGGCGATAACATTGACAACGATGTGGTCGTCATCCCAGCGCCGAAGGTCAGCGGAGTTCAACGTGCCATCTTCTACTACGCGGATCTCGTCGGGACGCTGGTCGGCATTACCATCCTGCTAATCATGATGATCATATGGGTGGCGATAGGACCTCTACTGCAATTCAACGCAAACTGGTGGCTGATCATTGGCACTTACGCTGGTCTCGTTGGCATGAACGATGGCTTTGTCCTCCGAAACTTGCAAGCTCGCCTTCGAGACTTTGCCGATCTAGAGATTGAAAAGATCGAAACGGAAGACAGCAAACTCTTTGAGAGTGTCGGTCAGGCCATGCCGGTCAAAGAGGTCACTGAAAAGACAGGTCTGACGCACCGCGTATCCGATGCGATGAATCGGGTCTGCGCGCATGAGATCACGGTCGTGGCTGGCTTTCTCGTCATTGTGTGCCTCATTGCTGGAGCAAGTGCAATGAAATGGACAATGACAGGCCAATTGCTGTGCAATGTCCCACCAAGCTTGATTGAGTCATTCTTCATGATCATCTTAATCACAGGTCATAACTCGGCTGATGATTGCAAGCGAGTGGATCTGCGGAATCTCTATGAGAGGCGTCTGGATCTTCTGGCTCTTGTCAATGGTGTACAAACACTTCGAGAGGAGAACGGCGCACAGAGGGACTAGTCGTTACGGTATTCGCTCGCCTGAGAACATATCGTCGTTCAATTTGTGGATTGGAATAGTTGTTGATTTGCTCCTACCGCTTTCCTGTATCTCTTGACTGTTTCAGTTTTCGGCATTGTTGAGCTTCCTCGAGGCGACTGCAGCCCAGTTGCAAAAGTCCATGTATTTCATCTTGATTCACACTGTGTTAAAGTGTTGCTAAGTTAGTTACTGATACAAATACCACGAGCATATGTACATGCACCAGAGGATCATGGGTTATAGTTTGCCAATAGAACACACTGCCCCTGCCAGTCTCATATCACCATCCTACAAGTTGAGTGCGAACTGTAGTCAAGGACCTCGCGCAGCTATTGTCTTGCTTTTGTGACACAAATGCCTGTCAAGTATGAGTATCCATGCTGCGAGGCCGAAGAATACCACCAAATTCTCAAAAAGCGCCGGGGAAAACGTTTTCAATACTCTGCCCAACTTAAACCCCAGTCATGACTGCCTTTCTGTATGAGAGACGAGATCATGCCACTTGGAGAAAACATTATGTGGGTCATACTTCTTCTTCAGAGCCTGCAATCGGGGAAGATTGTCCCTGAAGAGGTAAGTTGCTCCAATCTCATGGCCTGCATGGGTTGTCAGCATGTGTTCAAGATAGAACAATTCCTGCGTGCCTCCCACCTGCGAAATTCGCATTGGCCTGCACCACAGGCTCCGTTTTGCCAGCATAACAATCCGATCTCTTGATCCTCGAGAGTAGGGCTCGCATATATGTATGCATCGCCGCGTCGTGCTCAGGGTCATACCAGCAGAGAAGCAATGCAACGTTGTAGTATCGTCCTCGATCTGCGCAGGCTGTCGCGTCGATGGGGACACTTATGGTCTTCCCATAAGGTATGAGCTCAAACATAAGCACGCTGTTCTTTGATCGCGGGTATTTGTCCATAATCGCGTCGAAATGTTCCCATAAATCACAGAGCATGTGGTGGTCAAGTGGCATGGATACTTTGGTCCCACTGAAACACTTTCTACCCTCCGGGACTGGATCGACATTTGCTATTCTGTTGAGCTCTTTGTAGGACATCATAGACGTTTTGTTTATTGAAGGGCCCAGAGACATCAACGGCGCGAAGAACACCTCAGCTTTCTCTTGACTGCCGTTATAGAATGGCAAAACCAAGATACCAGTACGATCAGCCGCTGATGGCGCCGCAAGTCCAAAGAAAAAGCCACTGTCTTGATCTTGCCGCTCATGGAAGCGATTGGCGAACTCAAGGATTCCCGGTAACCGATCTACTGTGAAAATGAGCGTTCCTCCATACACTGGCCCAGCAAGGTCGTAAGCCCGGAAAACCAGCTCCGTCACAATCCCAAAGGCTTGTCCCGCTCCACGCACTGCCCAGAATAAATCTTGGTGATCCTCGTCAGATGCCTCCACGATGGTACCGTCTGCTAAGACCATTCTGACACTGACGAGATTGTCGCTGATCAGACCGTATCGCCCAGTTAACCACCCGAAGCCACCCCCAGTGTCGTCCCTGCAACTCCTGTGTTGCTTGCAGTCGATCCGACAACTGCAAGGCCATAAGCAGCAGTGGACTCGTTAACATCGTCCCAGATAGCGCCACCCTGGACACACACAGTTCGGGAGGCAGGGTCAGTTAGAACCCGACGCATTTTAGTCAGGCTGATGACCAGTCCGCCGTGGGTGGCAGACGAGCCAGTGGTGGAATGTCCGCCGGCCTCCGTGACGAAGTTGATATGGTGCTTTCGCGCAAATTGTACTGCTTCAGATACTTCTGATGTCGAAGTCACTTCGACTATAGCGCCCTGGCGAAAGTCAGTCCCCCGCCATATGAACAATGAGAACATGGAGGAACACACTGCGTCTCGTTCGCAAGTATCACTCCATCTTTTAATCTTTTCCGCATAGTCCTGAGATCCGTAACAAATCACATTCGCTCGGGTCCCTTCCAACCACCGTCTCAGTTCTAGTACATGCGAATATGACATGAACGGCATGATGTATCTTGTCCAGAAACGCTGCGCGAATGGGATGCAGTGCAGACACTAAGTGAACTGCAAAATACACAATAGAACAAAAGACCTGCCACATGGAGATGCCCCGTTTTAAACCAGAAGTAGGGAAGGATTCCTAGCCGTGCTATTGGACATAATTGATCAACTTCGTCATGATCATTCTGTTCGAAAAGTATCACTCGGTCAGACCACAGAATGAGGCGGGGTCTCGCCCGTAAGTACCTTGGATAAGGAAAGTAAAATCTTAATCCTTGAATAAGATTAGCCATGCTACAAGACCTGATATACTGACAGGTCTGAGCTACTACTTGTCCGTCTATGTCTTGCTCAAGAACATCTGGAGACACCAATGATATTCTTAAGGCTCTAATTTAGACTTATAATTGCAAAGATGTCATATGTAGAACTGAAGCTATTTAACTTGAACGATATTTTCCAGTACCTTGTAAATATTTCCCTCGACCATTCACACAGTACAGTCCTGGCATACGTCACAGACCTCGACTAAAGCCATCTGGCACAGTGGGCAGCTATTATGAGCTGTTAAAAACCATCTTTCAAGGCAAATATCATGGAAAACATGTTGACACCGCAGAGTATGAACTGGATGATGTCTAAGAACCGGATCTAAACAGATGGAGCTGTCGCCCACGTTAGCAACACATGCCCGTACTTTTTGGATGCTCAACATTATGGATCATGATCTTACCATGTGATGCTGTTGTACTGGAAATACGGAACTTCTGCAGGTTGCGTCGATATCAGCCAGGAACCCAGGAGCTCTATAGGGGCTGCCTCTTGAAGCTCGTTTAGATTGTCTGCGATGGTTTGGCGAATTGATTGTTCATAGATATTTTCCGGGTCTTGATTTTCATTCTGAGGGGTGCAATACGATGTGTATAGTATCCTATCCATTTGGTCAGTGTTCAGATTTGGACGTAGGGACAGGCATTATGATTATAGTCCATGGAATACCAGAGTGCCAGGATTAGATAAAAACTGCCACATGCGAAAATGGCCAAGTACAATTCTGTTGGATCATTCGTGTCATTCTCCAGGTCATTGTCAGAAGTCAAATAAGGCGTAGGTGTTTGCTTCTGTAACCTGCTGTGCAGTTCCATAGTGACCCATCCTGTCTCGATCGATCATATATCTGGAGAATAGACAGCAGCCTTCGATGTATTATCAACGAGTCTGAGACATCCAGGCAATGAGGCAGCTGAGTGGCATGATTTCATTTATTCTAAAGCTAGCTAAAAAAGGTTTCCATAAGAAAGCTTAATGTTTGTTAACCCCCCATGAGATCCTTGGGAAATAGCTATGTTCTGGACCCAAATATTATTTAAACTTAACGAGGTGGCGAAATAACTCATATGATATTTCAACTTTAAAACTACCTCCTATTCAGCCTGTCTGAACTGAAATGATTGTTCCTATTTTGCCACCCGCCTCTCTCTGAATGCGGTGGCATGATATTAAACTTTGGAGTTGACAAGTCCAGTGTCCCACCCTTATAGAGTCATATAAAGAGTATTGGAAGACATCAAACTTGATGACAAAATGATGGCTGACCTGTCTGTAGATTCATCCTGTAATTGACAAGACGTGGCGCAACCATTATGACTCTGTACCTGTATAAATTATATCCATCAGGCTAGAATAGACTCCTTGATATGTTTCATTGTGTTGAGGTTTTAGATAATTCTTCACAATCATAGTTTAAAAGTAAAGGGAATTCCTAAATACCCTGCTATGTTGATGATATAGCATTCATTTGCATCACACTTACCTAAAGTCGTGCAAGAATATTATGTGAGCCTTGTGAGTGAAGATGGTCGATTCGTGAGACTACAGATATATAAGAGATTAAAATCAACCAGGTAAACAGTGACATCGCCGGACTTGTTTCGGTAAGCAGGATTTGGGTAGATTGGGGGATAAACCCGAATCATGGTCCAATGTGCGAGTGTAGCAGCAGCATGTGTATGACACTCTTGGGCCGAAGTAGCTAGGACGTTCTCTGCAGTGCAACTCTATCTGCTAGATTTCCAGTACCAATGGTATACTTAGTCAGCTTCAGGCACAGGGGAGTCTGTTTAAATTAAGACCATATGAGTGGCATTCACATACTCCTAAAGCCCCAAGAGTCATCTCTCTTTATGGCAGTCCGCACAGCCATAATGAACCACCGCGGCTGTTCACTGGTTTCGCGCCATGAGCCAATACTAAGACTGGTCAGTCCGTCGACCTTTGCATACGGAGACTAAAGCATGGCGGAAACGGGAAACAGAGTACCAAGATGTGGACATTCAGGAGTCATAATAGGTCATTGGTGCGCATTAACGCCTACCAACAATGTGCAGCAGGGGTGTAGGTCCCCGCTCTGACACTTACGGAGTATAGTTGCCCATATCTTCTGGACCACAAACTACACGCCAGCCCAGTGCTTCGGCAGTTACCATCCGGGCAGCTAGGCTTGCTAACTAATGTTGGCTAATAAGCCATCTTAATGTAGATAAAATCAGAGCACTACCCAATACAAATTGGGAGCTGGCCGATAGCTGCCGGTCCATTCCTCTATTCAAAGGATCAGAACTATAGACCACCGATTTGATAATAGATAGAATACAGGCAGCGCTTGATTGCGACTATATATCTCATACATCATACGCCAACAGTAGTCGTCCCGTGGAATTCCTCGTGGGCTGATTCTTGACGTTCGGCTTTTGTAGCATCCTCGTCAGCAAGTTTCCGTGCTGCTCTCTCCGCGAGCACGTCGCTATGAAGCAGGTAGGCTCGCTCCATGTCCCAGTAAAACGGGCTGGATGTGGAGAACAAGGCGTCAATCGATTCCAGGGACCGATTACACGTTTCCGGGTATAGCAGGTAGACAATGGGAATCCAGAGAAGGTTCAGCCCAGCGAGGAGGAAGTAGCTTCGACTCTTCAAGCTCCCAAACATGATGGGATTGACTAAGGTAGTCATGCCGACTCCAATAGCCCAACCGGTGATGCCGAACCCGTTCCCTTGCGCTCTGAGATCCGATGGGAAAATCTCCGTGGGCACAAGGAAGGCCACCGTTCCCCAGGTTGCAGCATACCCCAGGTTAAAGAGGAAGAGCATTGCCACCGCAGCTGGAGCATACTGCGAAGCTTTGCTCGGGTTCTGAAGCGAGCCTTCATACACGCCACCGGCCTGTAACAGTAACTGATTAATTCTGCCCTCAAATGTTAGTTATAGGGCAATGGCTGAGACTTACCACAAGATCGACAATAAACAGGGCCAGGGACCCTAGCATCAGACACTTTCTCCGACCAAGTCTATCCACAATCTGCGTACTGATGAGTGTACCGAGGATTCCGATTGTGTTCAGTCCTCCTGCGAGACCGTTCTGTGTAACCTCACTGTACCCGGCTTGGCTGAGAAGAACGGGAGAATACGCTGTAACAGCCTGTGATCGTTGTAAGTCGTCTACTCTAAGACTTTGCGGAACGTATAGACTTACTGTAATACCCGTCCACGAAGCCATGATCTGAAGCCAGACACAAAGCCACGCCCGGCGACCCAGATTCGAGCCGGGCCTGCCACCCTTACCGATCAGGATTTTGACAAACTCAATAGGAGAACTGGGCTTGCTGTCCTGAGAGGATGCAACAATCTCCATGTATTCGTGGTCAATGTCCGCGGGGCTTGCTTTATGGGCGCGGACCCTGGTCAGCAGGTCCCGAGCCTCCTCGTTACGACCGACTGATGCGAGATAACGAGGGCTATCCGGTAGCATTTTGATGAACAAGACCAGTATCAGGGCTGGGACACATTGGAAGGCGAGCAAGAACCGCCACCGGATATCGGAGTAACCGTGATTGACAAAGGCCAGCCCAAAAGACATCCAGTATGCGACGGAAATTCCCAAGTCTAGAAGACATCAGTCAATATTCCTGCCGAATGGCATCCCGCAGATGGGACTTACAGTTTGCAATGAAGACATAACCCAAGAAGCCTCCACGGTGCTCTGCTGAAGAAGTCTCGGCCACCAGAACGGGCGTGATACCGGTCAAAGCTAGTAGCGACGAAGTTAGCAACTTGCAAAATCTATCCTTCGGATGCACTAGGACATACCTCCAGTACCGACACCTGTGATGACTCTGGCGACCAACATAAAATCAGAACTCTGGATTGCAGCTTGGAGAGCACCTCCAACCAATGCAAATATAGAGCCCATCAGTAGACCGTTGATACGGCCAATACGATCAGCCAGCCAGCCCCCGGCAAAGCAGCCAAAGATACATCCGAGATAGTAGATACTGACAATACCTCCCTGATGGGTAGTATCAGTCACCTTGCCATTTGGCTCGCCAATGCCAACCTCGGTAACATAAGTGGGCGCACTGTTGACGCCTCCCATAACCCCTTGGTCATAGCCCTCGAAGAAGATGCAAACAAGGGAGAAAGCTTGAATAGCCACATTGAGCTGCGACGACGAAAGCCGCTTCCAGAGGGTGGTATACCCCATGATGCATGAACCTTTGCAAAATATATCAAACTGTTGAAAGATATCAAAGCCCTGAGTCCATTCACAGGCCGTTGGAGCTTGCAGTAGACACGAGACTAATGCGGAGGAAAATCCGGGGGGAGGAGATCGATTTAAATATTAGTCGGAGCCCTAATCCTGCCCTCCATCCCAAACCCCAACCAAACCGATCCATAAAACAAGATTGAGGCGTTTTGGAGCAGTTTCAAGCGCCATCTCGTCGAAATGTACTCCGTCTGTCCGCGGGATGGCGAAAACTCGGGGAGAAGCCAACAATGCGGAGAGCGCCGCAGTGTGGGTTTGGGCCGTTTAAGCATTTAGCCGTTTACCCTTTAAGCATTTAAGAGCACAACCGTTTACCAATTTACGCGTCAGCCAATGAATACGCATGGAGGCTTGATATTCAGACCAATGATGTCCGTGGGCCGGCCTGTCAGGGCTGGTAGTACTAGCATGAAGGCAATTAAGACGGAAGCTGGGCCCAGATCGCAAGGGCGAGCTGACGAGTGGTCACAAGCAGACCTGTCTAATCTATTTAATCCCTCGCTCCGTCCACTGACAAGGGAACGTCGGGTTTAATCGCTATCGGTGCATCTTCTCAGCCACGCAATATGTCTGTCAACGGCGCTTCCAACGGTACTTGCAGCCGCCCGACCCTGGACTTGACCGTCCTGGGCTTGAACAGCGGCACATCAATGGTGAGTAGGGACGGAATTATCGCAAACGGGAGACTCACTCACAGACTTATAGGATGGAATTGACTGCGCTCTGTGCCACTTCCGTCAGGAGACTCCCGAGTCGCCCATGCATTTCGAGCTTCTCAAGGTACATCAGACCATATCCTCAGTCACCGACAATTAGTGATAAGAAGACACTAACAGATCATGACCTGCAGTATGGCGAAATCCCCCTCGAGCAGACCATCAAGAAGCGGGTCATGAACATGATCCTTCACAATAAGACCTCCCCCTCGGAGCTATCGGAAGTAAACGTCATTCTGGGAGAGACATTCGCAGCCGCCGTCAAGCAGTTTTGCCAGGAGCATGAAGTCGACATCTCGACCATCGATGTGATTGGATCTCACGGTCAGACCATTTGGCTGCTCTCCATGCCAGAGCCCGGCGAAGTACGCAGCGCGCTCACTATGGCCGAGGGTACTTTCTTGGCTTCTCGCACCGGAATCACCACCGTCACCGACTTCAGAGTCAGCGACCAGGCTGCCGGTCGCCAGGGCGCACCTCTGATCGCCTTCTTCGATGCCCTGCTCCTACACCACCCCACAAAGCTGCGTGCCTGTCAGAACATTGGCGGAATCGCCAACGTATGTTTCATCCCCCCTGACTCGCACGGAGGAATTGATGCCTGCTACGATTTCGATACCGGCCCGGGCAACGTTTTCATCGATGCCGTGGTCCGCCACTATACCAACGGCGAGCAGGAGTACGACAAGGACGGCGAGATGGGCGCCCGCGGCACCGTCGACCAGGAACTCGTCGACGAATTCCTCCAGAGCCACCCCTACTTCCGCCTCGACCCGCCCAAGACCACCGGCCGCGAAGTCTTCCGGGACACCATTGCATTCGAGCTCATCCGCAAGGCGGAAAGCAAGGGACTCAGCCCAGACGACGTGGTCGCCACCGTCACCCGCATCACGGCGCAGGCCATCGTCAACCACTACCGTCGCTATGCGCCCAAGAACCTTCAGATCGATGAGATCTTCATGTGCGGCGGCGGAGCCTACAATCCCAACATCGTCAAGTATATCCAGAAACACTACCCATCTACACGTATCATGATGCTGGACGCTGCCGGTATCCCCGGCGGCGCCAAGGAGGCCATCACCTTCGCCTGGCAGGGCATGGAGGCGATTGTTGGTCGTTCTATCCCCGTCCCCACCCGTGTCGAGACCCGGCAGGAATATGTTCTGGGCAAGGTATCGCCAGGCAAGAACTATCGCAAGGTGATGCGACAGGGTATGCTGTTTGGCCAAGGCCGCGACCACCTCTCACCGGTGAGTGAGATGGTAAATTATGTCAAGGGGGAGGTGTTTGATAATAAATGGTGATAGGTACCCGGGTTATGGATATGAATATAAGTGTATTATAGATTTAACAATGAGTAATGAAGAGTTTGCTGTTAGAAAATAATGAGGAGTTTGGTTTGACCAGTTGACTGACCTACAAAGACCATGATACAAATAAGATTAAAACCAATCATACTCTCCTTTGCTGGGATAGCGCAAGATTGCACAAGTCGATCAAGAACAAGGTATCTTTGTATTATTTTGGAAAGCATGAAACCATTATCGACCAGGTTTATAACTTAATATGGACTGTCACACGATCAGTGCCTCTTTCATACCTATAGTTAGGGTTTACAGCTTAGCATGGGCTGCAGAATGTGTCAGTGTGGGGTATGGAGAGAGGATGATGCATCCATTAGCACGCCAAGTCTTGTATTCAAGGCTAGAATTCCGAGTTTTGACCGAGTGATGCCGACGGGAGCTATGTATCCCTGGTTCCCTACCACTTGATAACAGGAATACCTCGGTAGTTAGTTAGTTAACTCATATGTCATTGGTCAGCAACCGCCTCTGCAACGGACGCCACGGATCATCAGGTCGACGCGTTTAACAGTTTAACAGCTTCATTTCCCCATGTCACACCATCGTGGGAATGTCGCAACGTCCGCGGAAATTTCAGCGTGCTTCTAAAGCGTGTTCGTGTTCCCTATCAATATCCAGTGGTTTTTTCCTAACAATCCATAGGTGACTTCTGCCACAGACGTAGCATAAAATGCAATAAGATCAACGGCCCTCTGGCTCCCTGCCAGAACTGCGCCGATTTTGATATACAATGTACATATGATCGTCCAGCCAGGAGGCGAGGAGCTCCGAGGAATGCCAGTTTAGCAGAAAGCAAGTCTGCTCGGCCACTCAGCTTGGATACTGCAGGATCATCGTCGTCGCATTCAGCTCGTCTAGATGTTGTCAGACAGCCTGGTGCTGCTGATTCCCCGTGGGACATTCTGAATGGCACCTGGACGACCGCTCCAGCCTCCAATGACGGGCCGCTGGTGAACTCATGGAAGGCATTTGCTATTGGCTGTCAGAGCACTATTAACGATCTCGCCCACGTCTATTTCGAGATTGTATATCCCATGTACTTATCTCCTTGTCCAATTTACACCGGGACAGTCGGACTAATCCCCATTTTTGATAGATTTCCATTGTTTCATCGGTCGTCAGTCCTGATGCAGCTGGAAAAGAGGGAGTACCTTAAACATCGGGGATTATTCGCGTCGACAATGGCCATGTGTGCCTTGGCCTCTGCGCGGGCTCGTGACGGGGCCCTATATTCAAAGCGCTGGTGTCCCTCACAACTAGCGAATCCTCCGTCCGAGGTCTTTTGCGCTGCGGCAAAAGAATCTATTCCGCGAGACCTGGCCGCAGCAAAGGGTACAGAGTACCTGCGGACATGTGCCATTCTTAGCATTGCCGGCATCCAGAATGGACAAATCCAGGACATGCAACAGTACGCGGGGATCTACCATACACTGAGTGCAATGGAAGGGCTGCATGACGAGAAGCTATGGCCCAAAGACTTGAGCCCGGTGGAGGTTGAGGTGCGGAGAAGGATGGTACGGCAGACGTTTCCCCGTCTCTTCATTTGCATAACACTGCTCAATGCCTAACAGTCGTTGCTAGTTCTGGTCCATATATACGTTAGATGTCTATTCGTCCATCGTATGGGGCGGAGTCATCCGCTACCGAGAAGCCCAGTCTAATGTACAGTATCCGAGTGAGGAGGATGACGATTTTATCCCAGACATGTTGTCCGTGCCAGGGGATCCCACTGATGCTTACGGCGGAAAAGGACAGCCGAGTCAGTGGATGCGTGGCTGGAACTTCACCACCGACCTTTACCGAATACTGGAGCATGCCGTCGATTGCCAACGGTGGCGGTCGCCTTCGAACACTGATGGGAAGACCGGAGTCTGGTCGTTATTCCGTCCAGCTCCGATGGCCGCAGCCTCAGTCATGGACCACGTCCTTTCCATGTACTCTGCACTGCCTGCGCAGTTTCGGGAGACTCCGCCAGTCACTGGTGACCCCGCTCAGGACATCGTCGGCTTCCAGTCCGCTAACATTCAAGCAACTCTGCAACTGCTGCGCATGGTCCTATTCGCAAACGAAGACCCAGGGGCGGACGGGAAATGTGACGTCGCAGGGCAAGTCCTAAGCGTCTTTTCCAAAGTGCCTGTCGAATATCTGAAAGCTATCAGTTCTCCTTTGGTATGCTATTCCTGCCACATTAAATCGACGGCCTGTACTGATTCTCGAAGCTGCATCATCTGGGCGGAATTGGCTATATTCTTGGATCGGTAATGGAAGGAAGTCTCTCTGAGAGGTCCTATCGACGAGTTCGCACGCTCCTGTAGGTCATCCCCTGCAACTTCCCACAGACAAACCGAGACTCAACTGTGATAGATTGGAAATGGCCCAGCTTTTGCATCGGTTGGAGTCAGGGCTACGACGGTCCACTGGTGCCAGTGAACGACTCAAAGCGCAGGTAGGTCGCATAGACGAGTACATGCGCATGCAAGCATCGTCGACTATGTCTACACGAAGGTCATCCATTAACCCCGACCATATGCCGTCCGAAGATCATCAAGACAGCATCGCGTCCATACATGCACCTCTAACCGGGTTTGAGGACCCGCTCACTCAGTTCCAGCTGCCGCCAGAATTACTGGATGACTGGCCGTGGTCATTCGATACAAGTCCGCCCGAGGGAGTGTTTCCAATGCCGTTCATTAAGTGATGGCCGACACACGAGGCCCTTCTCTTTGCAAGGATGCGTACCTTTTCCTGAATTGCTCTGTGCACAAACGGACGATTTGATAGCAATTAAAGATGCAAGATCTATTTCATTCTTGCAGACCAATCCCAAAACGTGGCTGGTTCACAAAGATGGCTACGCGTCTACCTCCCTCATTTCATCAGGGGTTAATGTGCTTTTCCTCAAATTCGGCTATTTTCTGTTCCGCGAATTCTCCAGAAGGATAAAAGGATATACTATCTGAAGCCATTTACCTCGGGTAAGACTGCTTCAATCAACGACACCTGGCTCCTGCAGTCCCAAATCTTCTTCAGCTTCAACCCTGCGGCCTGGAGAGGACTCTTAAACTCCGCTGGCGTCCGTTCAATCCCGTTAATACACGACATCATGGTGATATCTCGGCTATGACTGAACCGCGTGTGGTAGCCGTAGTTGGCCGGCAACGGGCTCGGGGCTGAGTCCAAGTCAGGGTCGCCGATGGTCGTATTCATGACCTGATCACAGATCAACAAGCGAGAGTGTGCCGCCATACTCGACCGAATGGCGGCCAGAATGCGCACGCAATAGTCGTCCGACCAGTCATGGCTTTGTAGTGTGCCCAACGTTAGCAACCGTCGAGCATGGGAAAGGACAGCCTTACAGGACATATCGCAAAAAGTAAATGTCGGCACCCTCGGCGGGGTTTGTATCGAAGAAGCTATGCTCGACAAACTGCACTCGTCCCTGATTCAATGCTTCCAGGTTCTCCCGGGGCCAGACCTTCTCCAGCCCCTGCTTGACGACCGGACCACGGTCTTGCACAATGAACCGCAGCTTGGGGTAGACCTTGCTCAGTTGAAGGGGAAATCCGCCGACGCCTCCCCCGACATCAACAACTAAGGCATCCCCTAAGGAGGCCCATGGGAAATCTGCGTGACGTTAGCGAGAAAGCCGATCCGATGATGTCAAGGCGAGAGCTACCGTAAACATGGGCTGTCCCGAACACTCGCCCGCCGCCAACCATGGACAGACCCATGATCTCCAGCTCCGGTCTCGCGACCAGTCCATCATCTTCCCATGGCGGGAGCCCCATAACTAGATTCGGAATCCCCGGATAATGGCCTCCAGACTCCAGCAACTTCTCTGGAGCCACACGTTCCTCGATCCACTCCCATCGGGTCTTTTTGGTGCAGACGGCATTTTGCCAAGCTGTCTTTGCAACGTCGTAAGAGGGCCCGGTGTCTGGGTGCAGGAGGGTGTGTGGCAGACGATCGGAGGCCGTGAAGCCCTCACTATTCACCAGCTGAACGTAGGCGCGCAAGGGCTCATTCGACACCAGTGCCGCAGAAATGCCATTGTTTGCGAAGGTATTCGGCCCGGTTTGCTTGAAAATTCCAATCGAATACAGGTATCTCAAAATGCGAGCTGCAGATCGCGTCAGTCGCCTGTTATCACAATGAGAGAGACCTTGCTCGTAACCCTCATCCCAGAGTCAGACTCACCCAGCTTTCGGGGTTCGATTCTGGCCTTCTGGCTGATCTGGTCGACGTGTACGCCGCCCTCATCACCGGCTGCAAGGAGATCAGGAATGCGCCGCTCAGCAGCGATATACAACGATCGAGATTCCTGAAACTGCGTTGCTACTTCCAGGATCCTTGCGCTCGGATCCGACACCAACTCGGTCAGCTTGCCAACAGCGGCTAGGATGAGCCGCCGAGCATCAAACAGCTCCCGACTAGGAAGCATTGGAGCATTCTGCTTGCGAGAGCCTTTTGATGCCTGCACCTCCGCAGTCCATTCCGCAATAATGGTCTGGACGGTGCTAGAGATAATGTCGGCAGTCTGAAGAAGTTGCGCCGCGTCGCAGAGAGACTTTGGTTGCCGTTCCATCTTGTTGTCTTTTATTCGTTTACGCTAGTTGATCAAGGGACACTTTTGTTCCAATACAGCAGTGTCGAGGTACTTATCCAGATGGTAGCGCAGACATTGTAACACAAGCATTCCTCTTACGCCGCACTCGGGGTGACATCTGGTGGATATGGAGCATGCCCGACAAAACGACCCGAGGAAAACCACCGAGCGTAAAGCACCTCAAGTCTAGTCAAACCGGGGCTGGACATTAGCCGGGAGCCCACAGTTGTAAATACGCTGATGTTCATTGCAATTGGAGCCCCGTGTCTATAAGGAGAAGGAATGGTTACGTAGTGGAATGCTCTCCTCGATGTCTTTAGCTGGGATTAAAAAGCAGCCCCCCCCCCCCCCCAAACATAAATGCGGAGATAATGCAGTACCACAGATATATGTACTCATGTGTATTCGATTGCAAACCACTTTTTCTGGCCTCCTCTAACCTCAAAAGCCACCCGGTCATCCTGTGCCAGCTTCCGCAGAACCTCGTCGACAAACGGTTCCAAGGCCATTGCTCGCACCTGCTCATCCAGGTCATTTCCATGCATGGCCGTCACCAGCTGCTGGACGGTGACGCTGCCTTTTCCCCGTGCTCCGTTACGTTGGTCCTCTGTTTTCATCCGCTTCAACGCCTCTACGACCCTGTCCTCCCGACGGGCCTTCTGCGTTAGCTCCAGGTCCAGCTTGCCTGGCAGGTCGCGTATCACTGCGCCGTGAGCCGGATAGCCCACTGCACAGCGAAGCGATTGCATCATCCGTAATGAAGATATCCAGGTACTAAGCACCTCGACCGCGCTGCTTCCATGGCCCAGGACGTTGTCCCCGGTGAACATGGCACTTTCCTCCTCGAGGATGAAACACATATGGTCATGAGAGTGGCCTGGGGAGTGTACGGCACGGACAGTAGCCCCTTCCACACGAAAAACCTGCCCATCTAAAATCGGCCTCTGGGCTTTGCCAGGGGTATGCTTGTAGATTGAATCAGACAGGTAAGGGTATAATTGGAGAAGATCCGGAACGCCCCCGGTGTGGTCACCATGCCAATGGGTGAGCAGAATATGAGACAGCTCGATCGAGGAGGCGGCCAATGTAGACGAGATCAGGCTGGCCCATTCGGGGATCCCCTGTCCCGTGTCGATGAGCAGACGTTGGCGGCCGGTGCCCACGATATAGGTGTTTGTTCCTTGGAGCGTGAACTGAAGTCATTCGATCAGCCTGGAAACTACATGTGTTGAAGCCGTTGCGGCTCTGCGTACCTTGCCTTCATTCTGGCCCAAAACACGCAGCACGCGGGGGCTGATTTGTTCGACATCCTCAAGGGTGGGCAGCCGTGCGTGCTGCTCATCCAAATAACCCTCCCAGGCACATATGTTCAGTGCTTGGTTGATTTGTCGATATCCTCCTCGTTTCGCATTGGCCATGATTACTGTTCCTATGTACAAGGGGGAAGTATGCGCAAAGAAGTACAGGGGAAAAATCAAAAACGAAAGCGAAATGTAAGAGGTCGATGATTACTGTCACAGTGGTCATCGGCCTCGGCCTAATTGGACCTGAGAGAATTGACCGACCAGTCGGACGTCCAAAGTATATCGACCGAGCTCTCTGTTACCCGAGAGCAAGACGGACTTCCGAGCATGGCATGTCCTGTTGGGCTTGATGCATGGCCCGCATATAGACATGTCTGTACGCAAAAAACCTACATTGACTACACGATAGCCTCTTTGCTCAACGGAATTAGTATCTAGAGTTAGCAAAGATACCTCTCCGATTCCTGTATCTGCTGTGAGACCGTGAGGTTTATAGCAGCGACGATGAGGCCAGTAGACTTTACCCCCTCGTCCGAATCTCCCACAGCAGAGAAAGGAATGAAGGTCGTCTACTTTGGTAACGAGCTTTCTCAAGATGGCCTCCAAGGCATCTGTCGACGACTACACGCCTACACCAAAGACCGGCGTTACCCGCTCCTGGCCCGATTCATCGAGCAGAGCACCTGGGCACTCCACGACGAAGTTCGACAACTACGTGCCGCGCAAAAAGCCTTGGTGACCCCGTTTGAGAGCGTTCTACATCTTGCCGAGCAGCCTGAGCTGTGGGAAGGACCTCTCTGCGGGTCGATCGAGGGCGTTCTTCTTTGTGTTATCCAGTTGGGAACGTTTATCGGGTAAGTGGGACAGGATCATAACAGCAGGCAATACTAAAGACATCAGATACTACGAAACGTCACCGAATGAGTACGCCTTTGACTCCGCACACACCTATCTCACAGGCCTTGGACTTGGCCTGTTGGCGTCGACGGCTGTCTCTCTTTCCGCGACGCTGGCGGACCTTCCCTTGGCCGGGGCAGAGGTGGTCCGAGTGGCTTTCCGTCTTGGAGTGCTGGTTGCCGATGTCTCTCAGAATCTTCAACCCGCTGATGCGACAGGCGATCGAGGCTCATGGGCCTACGTGATTCCCAATGTCGCTCTTAAGGAAGCAGAAGAGGAGCTTACTGCTATCCACACGCGAGAAGTGAGTTCTACTGGAGTATTCACCATATTTACCAGCTAATAGCCGTAGAATACTCCCGAAGCTAGCCGGATCTTTATCAGCGCAATCAGTCGGACGTCAGTGACCATCAGTGGGCCACCGGCTCGACTCAGGCGCCTCTTTCGAATGTCTGATTTCTTCCGTGACCGCACCTTCGTTACGCTTCCCGTATATGGAGGGCTGTGTCACGCAAAACACATCTACAGTTCGCAGCTTGCCCGGTTAGTGGTTCAGGGGCCGTCAATAGCGGCCTTGGACACGCGCTGTATCGCCAGATACCCGATCCTCTCGACCAGCAGCGGCGAGCCCTTCCCTACAGAGACGACGGCGACGGAGCTGTTCGAACATGTTATTACCGAAATCCTCACGGAAGCTATTGAGTGGGAAAATGTCGTTCAGGGAGTAGTAGAACGGGCCAAGCTGCTCCCCATGTCCGAGGTCCAGGTCCAGGTCTTCCGCATCTCACTTCCTGTTCACGACCTCCTGTCAGCCTTGCGGACCTCCCTAAGGGAAGGAGTTGAGGTGGCTATCAAGGACCTCGATCCATGGATCACAAAGACGCGAGACGATGAGCGACCTACACCGCGCGGTACGGCGCAGTCCAAGATCGCCATCGTCGGCATGTCCTGTCGCATGCCCAGCGGAGCGACCGATACGGAGAAATTCTGGGACATTCTGGAACAGGGGCTGGACGTCCATGGCAAGATCCCTCCGGACCGATTCGACGTGGATAGCCATTATGACCCCGCGGGGAAACGCGTCAACGCTAGTCACACACCGTATGGTTGCTTCATTGACGAACCAGGCATGTTCGATGCCCCCTTCTTCAACATGTCCCCCCGAGAAGCTCAACAGACCGATCCAATGCAGCGTCTCGCCATTGTGACGGCCTACGAAGCCCTGGAGCGGGTAGGATATGTAGCAAACCGCACCCCATCGTCCAACAAACACCGCATTGGCACGTTCTACGGCCAAGCCAGTGACGATTACCGCGAGGTCAACTCGGCACAGGAGATTAGCACCTACTTCATCCCCCGGCGGCTGTCGTGCATTTGGACCGGGACGGATTAATTACTTTTTCAAACTCTGGGGGCCGAGCTTTAGTATCGATACGGCCTGCTCCTCCAGCTTGGCCACCATCCAGGTATGTCGGAAGTTCTTGATCATCGTCCTCTGACTAACCTCTTCTAGGCAGCCTGTACCGCTCTCTGGAACGGCGACACCGACACGGTAGTTGCCGGAGGAATGAATGTTCTGACAAATTCGGATGCGTTCGCCGGCCTCAGCCACGGGCATTTCCTGACCAAGACTCCCAATGCCTGCAAAACATGGGACTGTGAGGCGGATGGCTATTGCCGTGCGGATGGAGTGGCCTCTGTCGTAATGAAGCGTCTGGAAGACGCGGAAGCAGACAATGACAACATCTTGGGAGTTATTCTTGGGGCCGCGACGAACCACTCTGCTGAAGCCGTCTCCATCACCCATCCACATGCCGGCTCCCAGTCCTTTCTAAGCCGACAGGTGCTCCGCAGCGCTGGCATCGATCCAATGGACGTCAGCTTTGTTGAGATGCACGGAACTGGGACCCAGGCCGGGGATGCGGAAGAAATGAAGTCAGTCAGTGATGTTTTTGCCCCGGCTGTTAAGCGGCGCAGTTCCAAGCAGCCAGTGTTCATCGGTGCAGTCAAGGCGAACGTCGGCCACGAGGAAGCTGTAGCAGGTGTCACCGCACTGGTGAAGGTTCTTCTCATGTTCCAGAAAGAGACCATCCCCCCGCACGTCGGCATCAAGAATAGCATCAATCCTGGATTCCCGAAAGACCTAGATCAGCGAAATTTGCATATTCCCTATGAAAAGCAAGCCTGGCCCCGCGGTCCTGGCAGGAAGCGCATCGCGATGGTCAACAATTTCAGTGCCGCCGGGGCAATTCGACCTTGGCTGTGGAAGAAGGGCCCCTTCGACCAAAGCCGGCTGGCGAGATCGACCCCCGTCCTTGTCACCTAGTCGCCGTCTCGGCAAAGAGCAAGGTCTCCCTAAAAGGGAACCTCGAACGGCTGCTGGGCTTTTTGGACGCACATCCGGACGTGGTCTTGTCTGACCTGGCGTACACGACCACGGCACGCCGTCATCACCATAATCATCGAGTCGCCGTGGCCACTTCGGATGTCGTGCATCTGAAGAATCAGCTGTGCGCAAGCCTCGAATCCGACTCTGTCAACACCCTTCAACCGATTTCTGCTACGGGCCCGCCCCCATGGCCTTTGCCTTTACCGGCCAGGGATCCTCATACAAATCATGGAACCTCCAGCTCTTCCACGACTCGCCGTACTTTCGCGCGCAGATCCTCCATTTAGATACGCTGGCGCAGGGGCAAGGGTTCCCTTCTTTTGTCCCTGCCATTGACGGCTCCTATCCCCAGGACCATGCCCATTCTCCCATCATCACACAACTAGCACTGGTCTGCACCGAGATTGCTCTAGCAAAGTACTGGGCCTCACTAGGGGTGCAGCCGGATGTGGTGGTGGGCCATAGTCTGGGGGAGTATGCGGCCTTGCACATCGCTGGAGTTCTGTCTGCTAGCGATGCCATCTTTCTTGTCGGACAGCGTGCGTCCCTGCTTAAAGATAGGTGCCAGCCCAGTAGCCATCAGATGATGGCGGTTCGGGCGTCCCTCGCGCAGATTGAGCAGTTCGCGGGGAGCCTGCCATATGAGGTTGCCTGTGTCAACGGACCCAGGGAAATGGTCCTCAGCGGCACCCGCGAGGAGATGGCGGCGGTGGCCAAGCCCCTGCAAGCTGAGGGATTCAATTGTATTGTTCTGGAGGTAGCCTTTGCCTTTCACTCGGCGCAGATGGATCCCATCCTCGACCAATTTGAGGCGCTGGCGGCATCGGGCGTGGTCTTCCAGGCACCTAACCTGCCGGTGATCTCGCCGTTGCTGAGTAAGGTGGTCTTTGATGAGCATACGATAGATTCGCTATACGTGCGGCGGGCGACGCGCGAGACCGTCAACTTCCTCTCTGCGATGGAGATGGCGCACAAGATTTCCACCATTGACGATGCCACCGTGTGGGTTGAAATCGGTCCACACCCTGTCTGCGTAAACTTCGTCAGATCCTCCCTCCCCACGACCAGCGTGACAGTGCCGTCGTTCCGCCGCGCGGAGGATAACTGGGTAACGCTCACAAACAGTTTAGGGGTTCTCCACTGCGCCGGAGTGCCTGTGGACTGGAATGAGTTCCACCAGCCGTTCGAACGTGCCCTACGGCTATTAGATCTACCGACCTATAGCTGGAACGAAAAGACATACTGGATCCAATACAAAGGGAATTGGGCCCTCACCAAGGGAAACACCTTCTACGATGACGAGGCCCCACAGGCCAATGCCCTTGCTGGGCTGGCACCGGAGCTGAGGACGTCCACCGTCCAGCAGATCATCCACGAGCAGTTCGACGGAACGGCTGGGTCGATCGTCATGCGGTCAGATCTCATGCAGCCAGATTTCCTAGCGGCAGCGTATGGACACAAAATGAATGGACGGGGAGTTGTTACCTCGGTAAGTTTCTGTCTCCCTTTCCGTAATCGACAACTAAACATCAATAGTCGATCCACGCCGATATCGCGTTCACGCTGGGTGAATATCTCTATAAGAAGTTGAATCCCAATCAGGAACTACACATGAATATCGCCAACCTGGAAGTCCTCAAGGCTCTTGTGGCGCAAGAGAACACCAAGTCACCACAGCTCATCCAAGTGTCTGCGAGCACCGAGAATATCCGGTCCGGACAGGCACATCTGAAATGGCGCAACGTGGTCAACGGGTCTATTGAGGAGCCCTTTGCCAGTGCGACTATCTACTACGAGGAAGCAAGCGAGTGGCTGGCATCCTGGCGTCCTGCGGCGCATCTCGTGCAGGGCCGGATCCATGCGCTTGAGCGGCTCGCAGAAGACGGCGTGGCCAACCGCTTCACCCGGCGCATGGCCTACGGACTGTTTGCCAGCAGCCTGGTCGACTATGCCGACAAGTACCGCGGCATGCTGTCAGTGGTGCTGCACGATCTCGAGGCATTTGCAGATGTCGTCCTCACCGTAGAGAAAGGCGGCACCTGGACCGTTCCTCCGTACTTCATTGACAGTGATGTCTGGGAGCGGATCAGCCAGCAGGGCGGTCGGATCCTCGTGAACATGGCGGAGCATCCGCAGGATACTATTGATGTCATGAACCGCAGTTCGAAAGAGTACAATGTGGCTCCGCTGGAGCCGCAGTGGTTTCGACCGGGGGCATTGCGCATCCGGCTGAACATGGCCCAGGGCGGCATTACAGGCCTTCTACCGCCTGAGCGACAGCATGAAGTGACGGATCCTGACTTCTCGGGCCCTACTGATGTGATTGTGTATGAAACGGATGAGGAATGGGCGATTTGAAACTGACTTTGAGGGGTTTCTGCAGCATTTCCGTTCGTTTCCTCACGCAGGTGTCAATCCAGAGGCCTTTACGGGACTGTTACAGGAGCTAAAGGACCTCTTGGGCCAGGGGAGATGTCTGCGTGGCTGTTGGCCGGCTACTTTGATTCTCGCAACGCGGGCGTTAGGATGATACTATACTGCAGTGTAATGCAGTCAATTATACAGCATCCCACCACCTTGAATGCATAATTGGCCTCTAGCCTCTTCATGGTTCTTCTGCAAGTTCGCTTATTAGTGGTGTCCTAAGTACCAACACCTAAGTTGGATCCCCATTTGTAAGGATAGAGCCATGTATAGGATGATGGTGATAAAAATATTATGTTGTAAAAGAACTCCTATATACTGCAACCGTGTATAAATACCCAGAACCCAACCAAATCCAACCAAATCCATCAAAAGCGCACTCTTCCGAGGTGGTCCCCCGGGCCAGAATGATAGGATGCGCAATAAAGTGAGAATTAGGGGACCTAGTCTATCATCTCTATTCTCTATGTGGTGCTTTTATCCAAATCACTCATGAAATATACAAAACAAAATATCGCTCGCAAAACGCAGGTATCCAACAGCTCTAACAGCATCAGCCGGGCAATCAGTCAATGTACTTGGGAAGCGTTTTCATGATGCCGTCCCGGGCAATGTCATTCATAGCGGTGGTGATCTCCTTGAGGAACCGCTCGTCGCTGCGCAGGTCGTCACCGAACAGACTCTTGATGGTGAGCAGCTCGAACGGGTCGTTGCCTCCGGCGCGAGCCTTGGCCTGGAGCTCCTCGCGCATCGGGTCGACGACCTCGAAGGGCTTGCCGCTGTCGTCGACACCCTTAACGTAGTGGAACCAAGCGGCGGCGACGAAGCACAGGCGGCGGAACGGGCCAGTAACCCAGATGGCCTCGGCAATCGAGGGCATGATGAACTGGGGAATCTTGCCGGAAGCGTTGAGACAGATACGGGGCAGCTGGTCCATGATGGTGGGGTTGGTAAAGCGTTCGATGAGGGTGTTGCAATACTCGTCGATGTTGACGCCCGGAATCTCAGGCAAGAGAGGCTTGACCTCCTCCTGCATCATCTGCCAGACGAACTTGCGGAACAGCGGGTTCTCCATGACCTCATGCACGTACTTGAAGCCAGCCAGCTGACCGGGGTAGCCTAGGGCCGAGTGGCTGCCGTTGAGCAGGCGCAGCTTGTGCTTCTCGAACTGCTCCACGGCGTGGACATCCTTGACAACCTGGACACCAACCTTCTCAAATGGAGGGCGGCCGTCGGAGAACTGATCCTCGATCACCCACTGCGTGAAGGGCTCCGTGACGACGGGCCATGAGTCCACAATGCCGAAGTTATCTGCGAGTGCCGTTTTGTCGTTCTCTGAGGTCTGAGGTGTGATCCGGTCGACCATGGCGTTGGGGAAGGCGCCTTCCTCGGCAATCCATTCCGCAACCTCGGGGTTACGCAGGCGGGCAAACGACTCGAGCATATGGCGGGTGATAGATCCGTTCTTCTGCATGTTGTCGCACGACATGACGGTGAAGGGCTTGAGACCCTGCTGGTAGCGCCGGGTCAGGCCGGCGTAGAGGAAGCCGAAGGTGGTACGCGGTGCCTTCTCGTTGGCCGGGTCGAGGTCGAACTGAATGTCCGGGTGCTCACTCTGCAGCTCATGTGTGTTCTCGTTGTAGTAGTAACCGCTCTCGGTGATGGTGAGGGAGACAATTTTCGTGTCCGGGTGTGCCATCTTGGCGATGACGGCCTCGCGGTTATCAGGGGCAAAGAGGTAAGAGTTGATGCTGCCAATGACGTGGGCAAAGCTGCCCTTGGCCGAACGCTCAATGAGGGTGTAGAGGTGGTCCTGAGAGGCCAACGCGTCGCGCATTGCGGAGTCGAAGGGCTGCAAGCCCACGCCGCAAATGGCGTAGTCAGTAACACCATGCTTCTGCATCAACTGGTCGATGTAGACAGCCAGGTGAGCCCGGTGGAAACCGCCAACACCAATGTGGACGATTCCCTCCTTGACGGCGCGACCGCGCTGGTATGTTGGAATCTTCACCAGCGCGCCACCTGCCGCCGCAATTTGCGACAGATTCTTGCTATTGAGCTTGAGGGGAGCCATTGTGCTCAGATGAGGTGAAAAATGAACGACAAGGGTGAGATTGTACGAGGGGAAGAGTTTGCAGCAGGGTCACCGCTGCTTTTGACTGCTGATCGCGGGAAAACAGAAAGGTAGTGTTCAGGAAATGGGCATTCTTACATCATGGACTGGGCCTTCAAATAGGGGCCAGTGGCGGGGGATAACTTACTCATCCTCGCCATTGCTGCCCGTACAAGGTGAGCGGTGTACCAGAAGTACTTGATAAGGAAACTGGAGAAAACAAGAGATTTTAAGTAACCTTGCATGAGCAACACAGGAGTGGCGTCATTGTAAGAGTTTTCTGCCGCTTCCAGAATGAATTAGCTAAGCTTCTGTTATTAATTGCTATTGGATGTGGCCTTCGTATCGGCAGCACTATTTAATAGCACTAAGTACGTAGTGTCTCGGGATTTGCCAACCGGGTCTGCAAACTCTGAATAGTACGGGTTAGGGATGCCACACCGACTGACTACGTAGCTATTTCCTCGGAACATACGGAGTAGTCTACCCGTCAGAATTTGAACCATCCCGCTGGGTCTAATATTGTATGAGTCTGGATTTGAGATGAATCAAATTGAGACAAAGGCATGACCACCACCCGATCACCTTACACGTGTCCAGTTTCGCAGAGATGAATGGTATAGTATAGCATTGCCTGACTATTGACCGACTCATCTACCTTTGATAAGTCTCGAACAACACGACTTTCGACCTGTTATGGTCCAAAAAAAAAGAGAAAGTCTTTTCCGCTTTCTTTAATTCCAGACCTCGCCTCCAGTCAACCCCACGCGGCCACGCCATTGCCCCAATCCCGAAGTTGAGATTGGTCCATGGTGGAGCATGGGGTAGCTATCCCTGCAACTAATGGAGCTAGAAAAACCAATCATATCATGTGAGCCTTCCACGGCCCCCTTTAATCTACGCGCGGCATCTTCCCGACAGTCCCGGATAAGGTACAGATTGCATTATTACTCCGTATTCCAGACTATTTCCTTGGAGAATAACAAGGGACCTCACATGACCCTTCTGTTTGTTTGACCCTGGTCTCAGCCATGCACTATTCCTGGCAAAATCCAAGATAGTACAGAGCACTATTGAAGTGTACACATATCCTGATTCAGTGGATTCAGAGATGGAAAGTACTTGGTATTTTCTCTTTGATCAATGGTTCTTTTAACGTGACTTACTGGTCTGATGGACTTCTCAACTTCAATTAAATATGCTAAATCTATGTAAAAGAGTTAAAGTGGTCAAGGACAAAGATGATGTGCGTTTGTGGTTGGCGGTAATATAATCACCATCAGGATTGTGCACTAAGATTGAAGCTAGTAGCTGGATTATAGTTTCAGTTTCCAGTCGTGAACTTGTGATCCTACCGGGATGAACTCCGGAAGGAAGTGAAAGACCGCAAAGGGTGAATCGAGATTCGAGACTGCTCTGGCCCTACGGTGCCTGTGTGGCTGGTAGCCGACGGATTGGGGGCTGGAAGGACCGGACAAAACCTCCCCGGCCTTCACGCCGATGCGGAAGATGGAATGTCTAAGCAAGGGATTGAGGTCCCGTGATACCATCGAACTCGATCCAAGCTAACAATGGTCTAAAGTCAGGGGAAACAGACAGGAGATTGACATGGATGTGAGAATTAGAAACCGAAGCCAGAGCTTGGTGGAGCTGCGGCTCTGGATCTAGAACACTGCATGGGGGCTGCAACGCGGGATAATATCAGGTCATGCGCCAGAGAATCCTTATTTCTAAAAAAGGAAAAAGGAGCGAATCAAAAGGTGAGATAAGCAAGGGGGACTCGGAGCATCAGATATGTTGAAAATCACACGCGTCCTGCATAGCTATTATTGATCTACATTGTACGCTCTTCTATCAGCGCCAAATATGAACTCAGGCTCGGCTTGTATAAATAATATGGAGCCTCACATAGTATGACTTGTGGAAAGAGCGCTCCATCTTATGATTTCCTAGATCTCGTCAACCATCTTTTCGGATAAAGCTTACCTCAGTGTTAGACCAACATTGTTTGCGGGTACTACAATTAGCCACACGTAAATAGGCACAGTAACTTCTACCATGGCACCCCGTTTGACCCGTATACAGGATTGTGGGTGGACTTCTGCTGATGTCCCCGAAATCAAACACAAGGAGGCACCAGCCGAATTACGGGATTCTGTGGGTATCTCACTCTCTTATAGTCCAGAGAACCTTCTCAGTGCCTTTATCTCAGAATATCAGTGCTCTCTCAGCCTTTCACATAGCATCATAACGCTCCTCAATGCCAGTTGGCTGGTCACTGTACGCTGCTTCTCTCCGGCCCAGGACGTTTACCTGGGTCTGCATTCGCCCAACATCTACTTCATCACCAGATTAGCACAAAGGGCAGGTCGTCAGGTCGCCATCGAACTGAACTGCGAGGCCCAGTCAAAAATCTAGTGCGAGATGTTTCCCTCCTTCAGTCTGGGGCGACGTCACAGATGGCAGTGGGCGACCATCCTTCTGACGAGGCGTCGGAGAAATTTCTGACGACCACGATTTGCTACGCAGATGCATTATCTGCCATGACAGAGGGATCAAGCAATAGAAATCTGAAAACAGGAGTATATATTTCCGTTCCACCAGCCGTCGCCACACACTGTGTACATCTGATCCGCTAACAGATCATAACCCCTGACAGCACATCAATTCCAAGCTCTTCCTGGGCATCTCGCAAGCAAATGGAGAGCTCCAAGCCAAGCTCACCTTCTCTGTCTCCGACATCTCTAGAGACCTTGCACTTAGTATATTGCATACCTTCAATATGGCCATCAGGACTGTGCTTTCATCTCCATTACAATCCCTGGGAGAGTTAGGTCTGTGCTCAAAACATGATCGCCAGTTGTTGCAAAAATATACTGGGAGTGTATCCGAACCCTATGAAGTGCTGCTGCACGACTTAGCCTTGCAGCATGCAAAGCTAACCCCTGATGCTCCGGCTGTCCATTCCTGGGATGGTGACCTGACCTATGCACAGCTGGATGATGCCACCTCCCGACTAGGACAGTTTCTGGCCAATATGGATGTAGGCCCGGGAACCTTTGTAATCAGCTGTTTTGAGAAGTCTACATGGGCAATTGTTGCCCGCCTGGCCATATTGAAAGCTGGCGCCGCATATATCTCTGTTGACGCGACAGATCCGCCCATTTACCTTGAGAATGTGATTCGTCGCGTGAATGCAAAAATAATCCTCACCTCTGAGGCTTATCAGTCCAGATACACTCCTTTTGTCCCGTCCATCATTGCAGTTACACCAGAAATGGTACGAGCTCTTCCTGTCAGCACTAGCATCATCTGTCCCCTGGTAAAGCCAAGTGATGCCTGTCTCATCCTGTTCACTTCTGGGAGTACTGGAGAGCCAAAAGGGATTATCCAAGAGCATCGAGCGTATGCTACGGCGGTCCGGGATTACAACAAATTGCTTGGAATCAGCCGACACAGCCGCGTGCTACAATTTGATGATTACGCGTTTGATATCAGCAATAATGACTATTTGACCACCCTCACTGCTGGTGGATGCTGCTGTGTTCACGCACCGAGCAAGTCTATATCTACTCTCGTGGAGGACATCAACGCCCTTCAAGTTAACATGACCTTTCTGACCCCGACTATCGCCGCTCAGATTTCCCCGCAGGATGTGCCAACGTTGGAGTTGGTCTGCCTTGGTGGTGAGCCGATGTCAAACGAGCTCCTGATGAGATGGGGGCCTCGTGTGAGACTGGTGAATCAGTATGGGATGGGGGAGGCTGCCACCTTCTGCGCTTATAACGATGAACTCCAACCTGGCCAGAATGCTATCGTCGGGCGCAGCGGGAGCGGAGCCATTTGGATAACAAGTCCGGAATCTCCAGAGCTCCTTATGCCCGTCGGGGCTCTTGGTGAGATACTTATTGAAGGCCCCCACTTGGCCCGAGGATACCTGGATGGTGCCTGCCAGAAGCCTGGCGTTGGATTCCTACCACATGCACCAGCCTGGCTGAAAGATCTCCACCCGTCTCGGGCAGCCACATCGAGGTTCTATCGCTCTGGAGACCTGGGGAGATATACACATGCCGGCACCGTGGAACATATGGGCCGCAAGGACACCCTCCTCAAAATTAATGGTTATCGAGTCGAAGCCACCGAGGTCGAGTACATCCTCCGTAGGTCGTTGGGCCATGGGGACGCGGTCATCGTGGACCTGCTTGGCGAGATCGATGGCCCACGAGAGCCGTTTCTAGTCGCTTTCCTGTGGTTGACTAACAGTGAGGACCATGTCGTCCCCGTTGCTTCTAACAACTCGGTCGAGTTTCTCCCGGTCACCAGTCACCATTCGGCTCATAAATTGGTGCAGAGAATGAAAGCTGAGGTCGTGGCTGCGCTTCCCGTTCACAAGATACCGGAATACTTTATTCTCGTCAGTCAGATTCCCAAAACCAGGTCCAATAAAACTGACCGCCGCAAATTGCACCATCTCGCGCAGAAGTCGTACTTGTCGGGGGTTCTAGGTAAGATCTGCAACAAATAAGGGGTACCTCGATCCTCATTGATTACATGTGAATTTGCATATGCCACTCAGTTTGTAGCTATGAGATTAATGGATAATGACTAGTTCCGGTTCTAATGCTCATACTTGCGTCTGTGTAGGATGGGGTGTCAAGAGCTCAGAGTTGAAAATATATAACGGCCGATGGCTTCCCGCAATCACTGTGTGGCTGTCTCTGTCTGCTATTGCTCCTGTCCGTCGATACCAGGTGCCGTATGCGGCCAATGCACTTCTGCGCTCTGACACAGGCACTTTCCACATCTCTCAATAACTACCAACATCGCTGTTTTTTATATCAAATCGTGCCAAAAACTAGCTGAAAGGACTTTTTGAATATGCTAAATCTTATTTATTACACTAGCGCGGTGCTAGGCCTTTTAGTGCAGGTCTCCACTCTGTAAATCGCAACTCAATCAGGACATCAAAATTCCAAAAAGGGGTCTTCCGTCTCTGATCGTCACTTCGTGCTGCGATCCATTTGTGGACTTTACACAAATTCTCCGAGCATCATGCAACTTTGTCTGCCGTGGGGGCTGCTCCTAGGCCTTTTATCTCTCGCTTCTGCAGCTGCAACACACAATGGAACTGAAGGAATCGATCTGTTTGAGGTCCACCTTCCTGTAGACTGGAAGGATGCAGTTGCCAATGGGGTAAAGTTTGTCTTCGTCAAGGTGGGTGAGATCGGTCAAACCGATCGATGTGTTCATTTCCAATGTATATTTGTATATGAGTGGCCCCGGACTTACTATTGAACGACGACTCGCCACAGGCAACTGAAGGTATCAACTACCAAAACGTACGCTTCCCCACTCAGACTGCCGGTGCACTCGCTGCAGGGATCGTCCATGGCGCAGTGCACTTCGCATCTGCGGCGGAAAGCAGCGGAGCCGATCAAGCAGACTTCTTCATCGAACATGGAGGGAACTGGACCGCGGATGGACAGACGCTTCCTGGGGTGCTGGAGATGGAAGGCAATATTGCAGGGAAGCTGTGCCATGGGATGACGCCAATAGAAATCACGGACTGGATGCTTGATTTCTCTCAGAGGTACAAGGTCCGGACGGGTCGAACGCCGATTCTGTTCCTCTCGGCGGGCTGGTGGGCAAAGTGCGCCGGGAACAATGCCACGTTTGGCGCGGACCATGCATTATGGTTGGCGAATTGGGCTGAGGAGATGGGCACGTTGCCGGTAGGCTGGGAGGAGGCTACGTTCTGGCAATATGCTGGTTGGAGTGAAAATGGAGGAGAGGCAAATGTGTTTTTTGGTAGCTCCGAAGACTTAGTAAAGTTTGCAATGGGAGCTGATGCATGATTAATGTATATATGTATCTTTCCCTGCATCCGGCTCCACCATGCTGGCTTGACTCTTGTCGCCTACTCGATGCACCCGATGCTGCGTCGTCATCTGCCGTTCACAGTATTACATCTGCAGCCGATTTGCCGCTGTATTGAGATCTCTAGTCATCTTGAAGTCATGGAGTGCCCCTAACAGTCAATCAATGCAAAAGAGGAGCTGGCTATAACCTATTACTCTTTATTATCTAGTACATACGACCATAGGGTGTGGAAAACAGGGCTTCCCGTCCGCTCAGCCGTACTTAAGCCACACGCCGGCCGGTTAGTAGTTGGGTGGGTGACCACCAGCGAATCCCGGCTGTTGTATGTTTTTTGCTCAGCTGGTCTTTTCCTTTTTTGCTTCGTTGGATGCCATTGCTGCCCTATGAAGCCTTTGAGGCACATGCAGCTGCTGCCTGTGCTGCCCAATTACTGCCCTGACCGGTGCAGCAAGCAGTGCAACCACCACGAAGTGCTTCACCAGCCCAAAGCCCAATCCTCAGTTAGCACCGGTAACGAAGGCAACAGTTGGAATGAGGTGTAATGTCCGTCTGTGTCTTTGCGTTCTACTCTGCGGTCAAAGGTATTGCACTAGTTGTAAGAATAAAGGCAGGGAACAAATGATGAGAGCCCGAAATGGGAACTAGCTCTAACTCTACCTTGAATTTCAGATCCATACAGATCATATAGCAGTACAGAATCAGTCATGATAAAGAGAATATTTTCCACAACAGCTCCTATACATACCGGAATTTCCCTTTCAGACAGAGCTCTCTCTATTCCACTGAAACATCCATTGGATATTCACTAGGGACGAATTTAAGATGCTTCTCCAGCCGATCGATTGATATTGGTAGCTGAGACACATTCATCAACCCAACTGGTTTTATTCATTCCCATTCTCTCCCATAGTTGAGCGACAGCCACAACCAGGACACATTACATCCCGTCCACTGCCTGGGATAGATCCCACTGGAAGGCAGCCTTCAGGGATTCAAGTCCAACACTTTAACCGGAGAGGCAAATTGAAGGGACCTTATGTGTGCCCCATTCCCTTTGCCATTGGTAGGTCCCTCGAGCGGAGGGCTCCATTTTTCGCCTTTCAAATCTACTTTCCTATCATCTGTATCACTGTTAGAAAGTGGCTTCTAAGCTCTGTGTAGATGCAGATGGTTTCTGCCTCTGCAGAATTTCCTTCCCTTTAGCAGTATATTTTCCTGCCTTTACTGTTGGGCCGCTGTGGCCCTCACTGCACCTAAGGAAACCACTTTATTCTCCTTTGCTAGATGATGGATCTTGCTTGGATGTGTCTGCACTGATTGTGGCTGGTGCCAGGGAGGGGCTGACACGACTCTAGCTTGGTGAAGTTGCTGAACTTTTTAGACTTGAAGTTCAAGAGCATGGTCACATAAACTGGAGGCTTGGCAAAAAGCTGGTGTGGTTGTCTTATAACCAAAGTAATGACACTCATGGCAGCTACATGTGCCCATATTATAACGCCTTTACTGCTTAGTTAGCTGTTGCTGGTGGTTGTCCTGCATTATTTATTTAATGGTTTTAAGGTCCTTGTGGATGCGGTCCATGTTAGCAGAGAAATATATCTGCAAACTAGTTGAGATTTCTTGTAGCTCCTGGTTGGACTCTAGTTAATCTGGCTTGTTGCATGCCCTAATCTGGGGTTTAGAATGAGCATGAGGCCCTTGGACATATACACTTGCAGTTGGTGCACCCCCTGGAAAGCACAGCAGTGGTGGGGAAAGGCACGGCTGTTGAGTACTGGAACTCCTGGATGATCTGGGAGCCCTATATAGCGCCCCCTTAGTGGGACCCCCTAAAACTGTAATCGCGGACGTAATGGGACAAATGATTAAGACACAGGGCGACTTTGCAGCCAAATAGGACACCCACATAGTATACACAGATGCGAGTGGCTTCGATGGTGTGGGTGCAGCAGAGGTTATTCCAAGGTGTAGAGCAGCGAGGAGATACTAGGGACAGGGAGCCAGAATGGTGGTCTCTGGGGCATCACAATGGCACTGGAGGCTTCTGTGGGTGTACATGGACCCGGGTTAGGCCACTGCAGCATCCTGACAGACACCCAGGTTGTGACACTAGCCATTCGCAACCTGGGCCGCTCGGCGGCTCATACACTCTCAAGGAGATCTCGAGCTCACTCCGCGACGAAGGAGCACAATTACAGTCCGCTGGGTCCCAGGACACGCAGGCGTCCAAGGGCGGCGGGATCACGGACATGACGGCCAAGGAGGCTGAGATGCCAAACGTTGGACCAGAGCAAATCCTGGCGACGGAACTGAAACAGAAGGAGAGGCAAGAGGCCCAGCTAGCATGGGAGCGGCAGCGGCAGCGGGATCACCGCCACGCGCCGCCTGGCTCTCGCGGAAGGCGAACCTCCATATATGGAGGAACATGCCTGAGAGTCGCGCCTTAGCCCTCTAGTAAGACTGGCATTCCTTTATCTCGATACGGTCTTCGCTGGTGTTCGTTTCTCTATATACATTTCTTTACTTTCTGCACTTGGTCTAGCTTACTTGATTTTGGTTGCGCAGTGTTAAGTGTATCTACATCTAGACAGTAGGATGCTTGCTGTTGGACGCAGCTCCCGGGCGCAGCAGGACCTGGAGAGGGCAGCTGTATGGGCATGAAGATTACTACTAGGAGGCAGATGAACCGCAAGATACGACATAGCAACCTTCTTATTACATAATCGTAAGCAACAGAGAGCACGCAAATAAAACAGGACGTCATGTAGCTCTTCCAAAAGCAAAGCCAACGGCCGCACAGTAGCAATAAGGACTAATGATGACTAGGATAGGATTTTATGACGGACTACTGAGAGGACTGCCAGGTGGTGGCTTTTTAGCTTACGCCTCCTTGCAGCACGAGTAGCAGTTAGCTACAACCAGCAGACCCAAAAATAACACATTGACTAATTGACATATCGACAGTGTACAGCGTAAGCCAGAGACCCATTGGTGTCCTCAGACCGTAAGATAAGCTTAAGTTTTGTTCCATACAATGGCCAATTGCAGCAGTAACCGAGGACAGGTGCGGCTTATCTGTTTTCGAGAGTCATAAGGGTCCCGATTGGTCCGATTCTATTTGCAATCTACCCCTTCATCACCAGTGAACCATTTTGACGCACATGCTACAAACGTGGGAATGGAAAAGGGAACAAGAAAGAAGGACCGACAAGCTTTCATTGATATCCCCTATTCGCGAACCAGAATAAAGGATAATCGCCCGGACGAGTGGAGTAGGGCAAGCATACGTTCATGGATGGCCACACAGCGATACCCATAAGGCAGCCACAGCGAATTTGCACCGTTCAACATGATCCACTGACTTTGTGGAGATATGTTTAAAGTAACTGGAAGGCTATTTGGTGTACAATTGGTGTGACGAGCCCGGAGGTTGAAAGATTGCTGGCGAGTTCGTAGGGTAGAACTGTCTTCACCAAAATCAAGGTGAGCGACTGACCCCGCTGCCGTCAAGGTATGCCGCAGAGTGCTCTTGGCTGTGTCCCAAACTAATATTGTCCCATCTCTAGATCCAGACGCCAGTAGCCTGCCATCTGGGGAATATGCCACCGATACAACTATCTCCGAATGGCCTTCGGAGCTCCACTGCAGGGTACCAGTGATAATGTCCCAAACTCGGACAGTCTTGTCCGCGGAGCCAGATGCGAGAAGTCTGCCGTCCGGTGAGAATGATACTGACGTAACTGGGTATAAAGAGCCGCTGAATTCCTGCAGGTCACCTGTCGACGTGTCCAGAAGTCGGAGCAACCGAGTACCGGAACCCGGCGCCAGCAGCTGGCGATCGGGTGAGAATGTTATTGAGCCAAAACCACTTGAATTGCTCTTGGAATCCTTCTGTGGTGCACCCGTCGTGACGTCCCAGAACCGGACTGGATAATATCGGTGTTTAGATACAAGCAGTCGTCCGTCGGGTGAGAACGCGAGTGACCCAACTATCAATGCATGTATTGTTCCCAGCAGGGAACCAGTGGCGGTATTCCAGACTCGGACTGTCCTATCAGTGGAGCTAGATGCAAGCAGCCGGCCGTCCGGCGAAAATACCACTGACAAAAGCTCGCCTGTATGTCCCTCAAGAACCTGCTGCGTTCTGCCTGTGGCAGTGACCTGGAGGCGGACAGAATCATCAACGCCGCCGACAGCCAGTAGACTGCGGTCAGATGAAAATGCAATTGGCATTGCGCGACGTCGGACTTTCTTGTCAGTGCTGCCAGTGGCCAACAGCTGGCCGCCTGGCGTGAGTGCTGCTGACTTGATCCAGCCTGAATGGCCCACGAGAACCTGCTGCAGGGTGCCGCTAGTGGTGTTCCACAGTCTCACTGTATTATCTTCGGATCGTGATGCCAGCAGCTGGTCGTCCGCCGAGAAGGTCACTGACTCAACTGAATCTGTATGGCCAATAAGATTGTGAAGTAGGGTGCCTACCGTAGTGCCCCAGAGTCGCACCGACTTATCGAAAGATCCGGACGCCACTAGTCGTCCATCAGATGAGAATGTTATTGCACTGACTTCTTGTGAATGGCCCTCGAGTGTTAGCTGCAGATGGCTAGTGGCCGTCTCCCAGATTCGGACTTTATTATCAGAGGACGCAGATGCTAGCAGCCGGCCATCAGGCGAGAATACCGCCAACTTGACCACATATGGATTATCTTCGCCGGTCTGCTGCGAGATGCTTACGACGGCATCCCAGAGTCGGATTGTACTGTCAATAGATCCGGAGGCCAATAGTCGGCCGTCTGGCGAAAACGCGACTGATTCGACCATTCCTGAATGCCCTATGAGAGTTCGCAGCAGGGTGCCTGTGCTGACGTCCCAAAATCGGACTGGATTATGCACGAGGCCAAGGTGGCCAGATGCTAGAAGTCGGCCGTCAGGCGAGAACGCCACCGAAGATACTGAATCGGAATAGCTCCTGAGAGACAGCTGTACGGTGCCGGTGGCGACGTCCCATAGTCGAACTGTCATATCTCCAGATGCGGAAGCGACTAGTCGGCCATTAGGTGAGAATGCTATCGACGAAACCGAGTAGGAGTGGCCCTTAAGAATAAGTTGCAGAGCGCATGGAGCTGTCTTCCAGAGTTGGACTGTCTCATCCAAGGAACCAGATGCTAATAGCCGACCATCAGGAGAGAAGGCAATTGACGTAACCCAGTTTGTATGGCCCTCGAGAGTTTGCTGGAGAGTGCCCGTACGCAAGTCCCAAAGTCGGATTGTCTTGTCGTTAGAGCCAGATGCCAGTACTTGGCCGTCAGGTGAGAAGGACACTGAATTCACCTGGCCACAGTGGCACTCGAGAGTCTGTAGCAGCTCGCCTGTGACGGAGTCCCAGAGTCGGACCTTGCCACCAGAGCCAGACGCCAGTACTCGGCCGTCAGGCGAGAAGGACACTGACTTCACCTCTTCAGAGTGGCACTTGAGAGTGTGTACCAGCTTACCTGTGTCGGAGTCCCAGAGTAGGACTGTCCCATTATAAGATCCGGATGCTAGCAGCGGGCCGACAGGTGAGAATGCCACTGAGTTCACATCATCCGAATGGCCCTCAAGAACCTCCAAAGTTGCACACCAGGTTTCTTCAGCTTGTGATAATTGGCAAGCCCATTCTGGTAGCTCCTTCTTGAACTCTCTGCTAAATATCGTCCGTCCAGGGGCAAATAGAAGCCCTGAGCAATAGATTTGGAGAGGTACTTTGTCGGCTATTTGTCGATTTGCAAGTACAAACCTCTTGGCGTCGTGGAGAAATTCGGACATTTCAGTATCGTTATCATCCTATAAGAGTCAGGTGAATCTAATGAAGACCTCTAGATAAACATACATCAATAAGTGTTTGCAATGAAGTAAGTCTCTGCACAACCTCATTTGCGTAACCCAGAATGCTCATTGCCTCCATCCAATGCAGGAAGTGCTTCCGAAGGAACAGAAAGGCTCTATCCTTTCCAGAAGCAGGATCCTTGCTTTGCGTCAGATGATGTGTCCAATAACGGCAGCAGTATTGTAATTCCGGAGGGATATACTTGACGATAGTCTGACTATCAATTGCTGAACGTTCTGTGCCATCATTTAGCTCGCATATATTTTTTCGTAACCCTTCACACACACGGAGACATTGCGTTGCCAAATTCTGGTGCACTTCCTTCGCATCGATCCAGAACGGAGTCTTTCCTCGTGTCTCTAAATCGAGAAGGAAGTCCCGAAACGATAAGTGAAAGAGCCGCACCGGCTGGGCCCGGTCATTAGGTACATTAAGAACCGACGGTAGTGAGTTCAGCCTCCGGCCAATACGGCTTTCAGTGGCGCCCAGCAACTTGGAAAGCGCGACAACTGATAGTGGGCTTTCAAGCAGCGCAACTGCACCAACGACTTCTTGGAATTCTCGAACTAGCAGCCTTTCCTGCAGCTTAGTCTGACCTTTAAGAAGCCGATTAAGCACAGGAAGATACGTTCTATCGAATCGAGATCCATCATTACGGCGAGCAAGGATTTCAGCCAGACCATCAACCGGGTCCCATCGAGGGTCTTCCAATATGCGGCACGCTGTAGCGGCGAAGATGAACAGAGAAACTGATAATTTCACCAGACTATGGGTATCAGTTTCCCCAGGCCAATCGACAGGAAGGGAGTGGACCGCCCGGATTGCTGAAAGTCTGTGTTCCAAGAACAAGGATATGTCATGCGCTACCTCTGGCTCGGGGATGTCATGGAGAACGAGATCTTCATATTCCCCGATTGCGACCTTTGAAAATCCTAGACGAATCCCTATTTCCGGCCTACTTGTCACAAATATTCGGAAGCGCAAGGCTTTGGAGTTTCGTAATCGTGGAAACAATTGAAGAATCATTCTGATATCCTCGTCACACTCACACTCATCCAGTGCGTCAATTACCAACACCACGGTCGGAGGCTGATCATCCGATAGCCTTAAGCTCATTATTGGTTGAAGAAGTAGTTTGTCGAATTGCTCCGGTAGTGATTTCCCAGTGATATCAGGTTCGTTTTCAAGGGCTTTCTGAACACTTGGGATCAGCTGAGGCACGCGTGCCACTAACTGTCTTGTGATTGTCGGAAAAAGCTTAAGGGCACTTCCTCTGTCCCCTTCGCCCCTCTTAAAGAAGAAACTGGCTCCTAAAATATGTGCCTCTTTGAAGGTTTGTGCCACCGTCCGGGAGATGGTCGACTTCCCCGTTCCAGCCATCCCATTCAACCAGAATATGTATTCCCCTTGCGGTGATCTGGCCCACTGTCTAACCTGACGAAGGAGCTGGGTTCTGGTGCCCGGAAGACATCCAATCTCGTGTTGATCCATGTACGAATCAAACTCGGCCCCTGGGGCAACGGGCAATCTGTCAAGGCTTAGATTCCAATGGATACTTGCCGTACTTGAAGCCACTCCGGTTAAAAGAGCACTTTGCCAAGATCAGCCCAGGAAGCTAGAGAAATCCAATATTGGAACATACGTTTGATCAACCTGGAGTAATAGGGCGAAGGATGATTTGAATCTCTCTAGATTCCGGATGATTTTGTCCACCTCTGAGCGATGGAGGGGCCACTTAAATGCCCGGATTCCAAACCTTCTCATAAGGTCCTTCCCTTTCCCCGGATCAATTACCTTTTCGAGTGTTGAGAGCTCCGACATACAACCAGAGACGCTATTGATGAGCGACAATGACGAGGCTATCCCTGTACTGCGAGTATCTTCAAGAAGTTCCCTCATCCTCAGCGAAATCGTTCTAAGGTCCTCGACCGTCTGTTGCAAGGCGGTGATGTCGTCGCGTGCGTTCTTCACCTCTCTGAGGTAGCCACCGCATATTTTCAAGACACTCCCGGCCAGTTGGATAACTGCGATGACACTTGCTGCCGCCGATACTCCTTCCATCTTGAACCTTCCCAAAGCAGTGGTCTCTCTCGGCAATAGTATAAGGGGGAGAAGCAAGAATAGAAGCAAGAATAGAAGCAAGAATAGAAGCAAGAATAGAAGCAAGAATAGAAGCAAGAATAGAAGCAAGAATAGAAGCAAGAGAAGAAGAGAATGCGAACAATGTGGATTTTAGAGACGCCGGAGGGGCAGCCCATAAAAATGAGTAGATAAGTGGACGGCAGTGTCAAGATATCCGGTTATTGGTGGGGTTCCGTAGGTGAGCCCGTATAGCCTCAACTCTTCCGCGGCAAAATCAATAGATCATGTGAGAGCAAGCTGATAGAGTAACTATATCCCCATAAGAATATCGAACATAGCCTACATCCCATCTAGATGGTTAGCCAATAACAGGAACTGAACGTCGCTTTACAGGCAAGATTATGTGGTGCCGATTTTGCCTATATCTCCTGCCCCATCATCTCGTCACGCGACCTCAAGGCGGCACTGGAGCCAGACGGGCAGGCGTCTCATAGATTGTTGCTTGGTAGCTGCTGGCTCCATTCAAGCTTCTGTACCTTAGCGGCAAAGGTCTATTTGTTGTCCTCATGTGTAGATATGCCCTGCATTCATCATTCACCGTTTAGAAATGGATTTACTGTCATGTTGATACTCTCACTAACAATATGTAAATTCCTGCATTCCGCTCATAACAGATCATAAGTCTAACTACCTGGCTCTCAGCTTTACACGTCATGTACCCATCGTGCACTTCTTACTGGCCTGTAGGGTTATCAACTTGCCATGAGCTGAAGACAACTAGCACCAGGGATAAGAGTAAGGTGAGCTAGGAGGGTCTTCATGCAGCCCATTAATATATGGATCCCCTCATGGCTTATTTCTTCCTCAAGGATCCAGGTGTTCTTAAAATGAAGAGACTGAAGTGAGCCTACGTGGAGCTATATGTATTCTTTAAGAGTGGGAGCAGATAGCTAATAGTTTGCCAGCTCAAGGTGATGGAGAATTGGAGATACAGCAAGGATAGCTGATTAATGAAGGGCATTATTGCTGGGCTGTCTATAAGTTGTAGCTTCTCCACCTTCTGCAATGCCTTGGTGGCTAACTGTTGTAGAGGATGATCCTCTGTTGGCGCTTGAGAGTAGAACCCACTTATCTTAAAAGTGTGGATGGTCATGTTGTTTTCCTGGGTGACTGTGATTGCAGTCAGTAGCTTTTCTAGGTGGTTAGGGAATATAGGGTATCCATCCAGGAGCATCTGGTTTGCGAGTGATTAGAATTAGTCTTTAATGCCATCTGTGAAATATAATTAGATGGTGTGGAGATTTATAAAATAGGGTAATAAAGTGACTAGGGCCCTAGTGTCCTGATTAAACCTTATAATATGCTGTTGCTCATCGCATTAGAGATGGAAATATGACAATATTATTAAGTATAGGAGGCATTAGCTCTTATAAATACTATACATGCCTATCTGATCCTGAGTAAAATTGGTTAGAGTGTAAAGATAAGAGTGAAATGTATCCTAATGACTGGTAACTATAGAGTATAATATCTGTTAAAGATTTCCTTCTATAATATATGCAGGGAACTTATGGGGGTCAGCAAGAGTGGAAGCCTTGTAACTAATTGTCTTCAAGTAGGGGGTGAGGTAGGATCTTGATACCTTTAGCAGGCGGTCTAATCCAATAGTTAAGAATCCAACACTGAGGCATTAGAATAGTAAAGGGACACATAATCGTTGTAATAATCTGTTGACACCAGATAGTGATATCAAGTCTGCGCTTTCTGGAATTGGCGATATGATAATGCCTAATAGCTCAATTAGCAAACACTCCAGCCTGCTGGGGATCGAATTCAACCCCATTAATATCGGATGTTACATGTACTCAAACAGAATTCAGTGCGGTGTGAATACATGCACCATCGCCCCATATGGGAGACTCAAATGCTGCTTATATTGTTTGCGTTGCTATCCTACCCATGCTAATCAGGGTAGTATAAAATTACACGTACAGTATAGAGACAAGTGGTCAACAGCAATACAGCAATACAGCTAACATAGCTACTAGGCTGGTTAATACTTAATAGTATGTTTCCATATTTACGATACATGGAAAAAGAATGGGAAAAGAATGAACAAAGAATAAAAAAGGAATCAAAAATGAGTCAAAAAGAGTGAAAAAAGAATGAAAAAAGCTTGATTAGCCAAATTCAATTTTAACTAGGATGAACAATGCATAAAGCAGGAAGTGTTTCATTGAAATGATGTAAATCTAAATGAAGCAGTGTAACAATTTTTTTTTCCTTTTGTCTCTTTTCTTTCCCTTTCCTTTCGCTGAGAACCATCGCATAAATTGTTGAGTAGTAAGCCAGCAAGGCATGGAAATAGCCAAAGAAAGTCTGGGCCGGCCTATGCCTTGTTACAACGGGCCTGTTAAGAGCAACAAGACTGCTCACTCAACCTATCAGAGTATCCACTGGTTGTCAATTACTCCAAACAATCTTGAAGCTTGTAGATCTGATAATCTTTTTTAGCTAATCTCTTAGATTTCTTACCTACTCTCTGTTTGTTGGTATTAGAGACCTTAAGTTAACATGACCTTCTGGGTTTAGGCTCTAGACTAGATTTAGAGGTTTCTAAATTAGCATCACTCTTAGAGCTATTGCTCTCTTGCTAGTGATAATAAGAGGAATGCTTTTAATGCCCTCTGTGTTGAGATTTCTTCCTTAGCTGGGTTAAATTTGTATCGCGAAATGTATGGGGAAGGAGCTGACGTGGTTGTCCCGGGGACAATGGAAAGCTGGCTCGTTAAAAGCAACGACAACAGCCAGGACATTATTGCTCGCTTTGCAATCCACGCGATCCTGCCTCCCGAAGTCAGCGGGGGAGAAAGATTTAACACAGCTGATAACTGTCTCCCATCGAGCTGGTCAGAGAAGTGGCCCATCATTTGCGAATATTTCGGCTCACGAGGAGTTGCTCCAACGAATGGATCTGGGCCGGATCCACACGGCTTCAGTGAGAATCGGAAGGAGTGGTCGAAGATGGAGAAGAAATATGGCCTACAACCGGACGTTTCGGAGAAAATACTCGGAGTGTCGTGAGATTCCCAGTCTTCATCATGACCACGTTGAATTTTGCTCGACAATTGAATTTGGACAAGATGCATCAAGCTTGGGGCATGGCAAAGGAAGAAGTAACTACTAGGGACGCATGGTACGCTGCATACAATCACTTCCGAAAGGCGCGCATTATTATTTTTTGAAAGATGCGATTTGAATTAAGTATTTATACAGCTGATTAGTTCTATAACATTGACTTTTTGTTTATAATGACTACATCTCACTCCCTCTGCCCTCCCTAAGGTCACATGAACTGCACTGATATAAAACATGAATCTTGGCTCTTTTATCCTTGCTACAGTAGAAACCTTTTGCACACAATCGTCAAAAGTAGAATATCTCATATTTGATATGGTAGCTTAACTCTGACCTTGCCTATTTTAATATCGCCTTCATATTTTTCTAGCGCTACTGCTTTCGTATGTATGCATTGCTATTACTTGCAGCCAACACCCTTTGTGAGCTGCCTACATCATTCGCAAAACCGACTACCACACTTACATTCGACCATTTGTACGGTTAAAATCTCACCCTCATTGCATCACCACTCCCACCATCCTACAGTCCATGCGCATCCGCAAAATAGGTGGATCTTGGTTAGCGCCTGATCCGACCCACAGCCACCTGCAGATGGACCATGCTTAACCCATATGGGCAACCCGGTCCTTAGGTGCATCTGCTTAGAGCACACTATTGGTCTGTTTCGTCCAACTGGTTCGTGTTGGTGTTGGATACCACAATCTCCATCATGACATAGTGGACATATCCTGCAATTACCTATCTGTCAAGTATTCGGACACCTTGAGGCGTAATCAGCTTATATGGATAAAAATTACCCATATATCATACTGCTCAATGGCATTGACTCTGTTTAAATGCCTCCGACGTCATGTTGTGAGGTGGCTTGATGATTATCACTGATCCATATGCTGGTGAGTGCAGTATTTGGCATGGCCTATCTCTGGTTGCCTCCCGCCCGGGGCGAACCGCTGATCCAACATAAATGATGCAATTGGTGCTATAAAAAAAGTAGATCTTGACATCACACTGATCACTGCTCATGCACAGTGGGTTCTCAAAGAGTGGACTCATAGTAGGACTGAGACCTACAGGGCAGAGAGTGTTTGTGGGCGCCTATAGCTAACTTGGGCGGCCCTGAAACTAGGTGGAAGGGTCAGTTATGCACTGACAGAGCGTGCCATGATTCCAGGAGCCAAGCTTAGTGCGCCGTATTTGTATGGAGCAAATCAAACTAGTAAGTACCTTAATAACACTTAAGTTATGCATTTTTTGGCATGGGATCTGCTTTTCAACTTCAGGTGCAATACTACCAAATGTTTAATTATTCCACGCGACTGAATGCCTGCGTGCTGTGATCTGCAGGCCTAAAAGTTCGGAGGATTGAAGCTGAAACCTTTATGCCCTAATGACAATGAAGATCTATTTCCTGTACGTTGCTTCCCGGTTCAGCTCTGGCGGGGTACTGTCGATCGCAGGCGCTTAATTCGTGGGCATCTGTGGGAATTGACTTGTCAAGAAGTTAGTTACTAACAGTGAGTGACTGAAATGTTTAAATACGGGCTCATCCCTCGCCTTGGGATTTAGAAAACGGAGGCAAACAATCTCGGCTCAATTCAATACCTTGGACTCTTGCCAAATCAACACTTATCTTAAGATTCCGATTTAACTTGGTGCTTTCTTTGTCATCATGCCTGCTGATACAAGTCAAAGTAAGGGAGCTACTTCCCAGCCACCGACAGACGCCAAAGCGGACCCCAAACAGCAGAAAACCTTGAAGGAAATAGAGGGTCAAATTAAGGAATCGGAGGAAGGTGAGAGATGCCGGTTGTCGTTTGAGCAGCATAAGTTCCCCAAAACTAACCAATGTGTCAAGCAAACAAAACCGACCTCCAAGCCATGTTCAATATCTATTTGTTTGATAGTGTGACCAAGACAAGCCAGATGGAAAAGTTCGTCACCATCGGCAGCATCAAAAATGTCGAGGACACAACCTTGGCCGATATTCGGAAGAGTTTGATCAGCGAGAATGCCCTGTCCTGGAGACAGTAAGTTGACCACCTACACGAGGTGTGACTTACATAAACACATAATAACTTGTGGATAGAAAGTCCAGCAAGTTCTGCAATGATGAGGGAGCTGAAGTGGACGACAAACTTCGCTTCGATGTGTACCTGGACTTTCTCAACAGCAGCGAGGAGAAGCCCAAAGATGAAGAGGGTTCAACTGATGACAGCGGAGGTAATGGTAAGAGAACAAAGGGAAACGATGGTCGTCCCGTGAGAATACCACCTGGATTTTTGACCAAGTACTATGCTAATCTCGAGCTGGTAGATCACTCGGGAATCAAACGCCGGCAAATCATACAAAGTCTACTTGAAGCTGCGTAAAATCCCAACCGAGTTGGACGAGACCACCAAAGATTTCCTCAAGGAGAAATTAGACATCTCGCTCAATGTAGGTGCTCTGCCATCACTCACAGATGCTTGTTTATATTGACTGCCGTACTTAGAAACCAGGGTTGACATCAGCCGATGTCAACAAGCTTACGAGCTCCTACAATCACAGCAATTTCCAAGCTCTTGCTGGCAAAAACACCACGTAAGATACTAACCCCCGCGAATAGTATTTTACTGGGACTGAGGCAAGCTATAACCAGCCATCCGGCGGACATGGGTGAGAGAGAGTGGTACATCGTCCTTCAGAACAATTCCATTCTCCATGGCAACTATGTGAGGGAGCTAGTCAATGGCCAGAGGAAGGTCGAACGTGCCATGTACCCTGGTACGTGAATTCATAACTTTAAAGGATTGACTGACTTGTGACTGATATCTGACTGGCGAGATAGCTTTTGCATTGAAGCCGCGAAAGTTCCATGACTTTGAAATTGTCTTTAATAGTGGTGGCAAGGACGGTGCTACCCATTCAGCTAGTGACAATGAGCCTGTGGTATGTGTCCCCTTCTCTTGGTCGCCCTATGCTAATTTTGTACTATCACCAGGTGCATCACCTGAGGATTCCTAGATTTCTTGTACAAGATGACTCTTACATCAATGTCTCTGAAAATAAGACATCAGTGGCAGACGCAATTGCCGACAGTTCGCTCTCTGAACATTCAGCTGAGGTCTCCGTGTAAGTTTTCTATGAGAGCACAGGTCCCACATACTGAATCTTGCTAATAAGTGCAGGGGGGGAGGAGCATTCGGCGTCACTGCTGGTGTAAAGGTCGGGTACAAGTCGCAAGCAGAGGTCAAAACAGCGTCGAACACAACTTCAGACTCTATGCGCATGACAATCACATATAATGTGAGTTACCTAGGCTTTCACATTCAATACGGTCGCTGAGAACCGTCACATCATAGTTTCCCCGAGTTGTCCTCGAGCTTGATGGGGAAAGCCTTGATATCTCAGACGAATGCAAGAAGGACCTCGAGAACATCTCTACGCCCGAGGCAGTGCAATTCTTCAGAAGAAAATATGGTACTTTCCCTAATACCTCTGTGCTGCCCCCGCAGGAAGTGCTAAATTATCACAGGGACTTTCTTTGCCTCCCGGGTTGAATTAGGTGGACGCCTCCATTCGTCCGAGAGCAGCGATTCCTTTGCACAAGGTAAAGTAGAAGAAAGAGCCCGGGCACTGAAGATTTCTGCTGCCGCCTCCTTCTCTTCTACATACGTTCAAGGCTCTGCCAGCGGTAGCTATGAAGATTCAAGCAACCATAGCTCAAATCGCCAGAACAGCAGCTTGAGCACTAATATGGCATGGGAGGCGAAGGGAGGTGATACTTTATTGTGCAACAAGTGGGTTGCTCCGCGAAAGCTTTCCTATGAGTTTGCTGTGAACTGACGTTTTGTTACATAGCCCTCCTGCCTGGTGCGCTACGGTGGCGTCTTACTACAATTGGAGGATCTCGAAGGTAAGTTCCTCATCTCTGTCAATATCACTAAGCCATAGCAGTGCTAATAGTCCTCACAGCAAGATGACCTCCTTTCAATGGAAGACATGATATCACTCATTCCAGGCTATGAACACGTCAAACAGAAGTTCAACAACTTGGCACCCCTCAAGGAGAGCAAAGTGGCAATAACTCCCCCTCTCCCTAAGGAGTGGGATGGCTGGGTCACATTTTGGTTGAAGCACCCCAATGAGAGCCTATATCCAACTGTCTGCGACAATCCCTCATCCAATTCTTTGGGTCTCGGTCAGTGCAGTCACATTATTTCCGGGTGGACAATAACTAATATTTATATATGTTCAGATTCCACGTTTATAACACCAGCCATGGCTCAATTGCTCGCAAACGCCGCCTCGAATTTTGCCTCGTCGCATTCCGTTGAAATGAAACCATCACTCGAGGACGATTCGCAGATCTACCAAGCTGGCACCAAGTTTTATGAGGTCTATGATGGAAAAACCGTCCGGTACAGGGTATGTCTCTTGAACCTGCACTAGTTCGTGTCATCATTCTAATGCCTATAGTTCAAACCCGGCTTCCAATATGTTGTCTGGAACAAGAAGACCAACATGTACCTGGGAGCGAAGCCTCCTATTCCTGGGGTGACCCAAAAGTCCGAACTATGCACAACGAACTGGGCGAATAGCTGCACCTTCAAGTTTACGCATGCCTTCCCAACAGACGAGATCTACATTTCGAATCGCGATCTTGTCCGTGTGGAAATCTTCGATTCTCAGGGAAAACCCATAGGCCCTCTGAAGGATATGCCACCTCTTGGTTCGTATGGAACAAGCGGTGATATTTTCCAGTTCCGTTACTTGGGTGAACCTTGAGCAGTTCTGAACTTTGAGAGATAAGTAGGGGTTTGTACTTACACTAGACAGCTGTGAGTAGATAGTCATCGCTTCGGCTGTGCCAGAGCAAGAGCTTATGACTGCCAGTGCTTCTCTATTCAAGTGGTGTGGATGGTGTTGTACGGGTATCTGAAGGTCTGCGGATCCTAGATAGGGCAATCGCGAGACAACCGAATTCCCATAAACTCTGCCCAATATAACTATCTAATTATAGAGGAGAGGGTTAAGCATCGATAAGTATAAATTTATTCTCTATCATACAGCTATTACCTATTACTTCACCAGAACCTTCATAGACATCCTAAATTATCTACTGTTTCTGTGCAACATAACTCCACAGGTATAGGCTACTGTGGTGTATTAAGCTGGTATTGATTGAGCTCATGTATTGTACTGTAAGATATTGTTTTGATGATGTCCTCGACTGGCAGGGTGACAACAGGAACAGCTATTAGACCTATGCATCACTCGTGCAAGGTTTGAGTCAAAGATGGAGCACTATGCCAACCCGAGTCCTGAGACCTATAGTGGACATACAGAGTCTTTGGTGATCACTGAGGTACAACTTTATGTAGCATGCTTACCATTGTCAAAGCATAATCATGAGCTTTAGAGATGGTTTATATGGCGAAAGACGTGATTCGGCACTATCATGATTGACTTAGCCATGAGCCGCATACAATTTTATAGTCCCTGATTCTTCTTAATTTGGGTCCGTATGCCTGCGCGACAGGGCCTCTCCAGCATTCGTACAGAGGTTACTATTTTTATATGAGACATATGGTCATCATGATCATTGTCAATTTGTATCTGGCTTGAGTGAGTGATGCTTGATGAGCTCGTTTGAACCACAGTGGTTATCAACGACTGGCTACAAATCTATAAAGCAGTACTTGATGGCTCTTTGGACGAGGGACACAAAAGCCTCGAGAAGTCGTTCTTATACCATCTCCTTTTACCCTTCAATTCATCCTAACCTGACTGTTGCTGCGTAATCCGTGCTAGAGTACTCTCAATCTCTCCCACTTTTCGAGCGCCTGGACATATCGAGACCGCACCTTTTCCAGCCTCGCGCGCATACGAATATCCGTTTCATCTTCCCCGGCCACGCTATTCAGCTCTCTGTCATCCAGATTTGCAAAGGTATTGACAGAGACAGTGAGCATGGGGCATTTCGGTCCCAGCACATGTCTCTCGACGACCTGCATCGCTACATTGTCAATGAATCGGTACAGTGCAATTTTGTAGTACGACTCCAGCCTGGCACGGACAAAAAGCACCTGGCTCAGCAAAGTCGAGATAAAACGTGGCTGGTGGCCCCGCTTATGGCGTTAGGGATCCCCTCACTCTCCCCGTTCGTTGCCATCGTCGACTTCTTCCCGAGTAAGATTTCGCCTCGTTGTTTATCTGCAGCTATCGTCTCAGAGATCAACAGGGGATGGCGAGTGACGAGCGGTCGGGCTTGGTTATCCTCGATGAGCTCCAAGAGAGCCGCATCTGCATCTCTGTTCCACTCTGCCAGCGTCTTCCCAATGATGCGACTCACTTCAAGTCGCACTTTACTATTGGGTATGGCTATCCTCGAAAGTACATCGTGGCAGTCCTTTGTGAGGTCCTTCACGTCTTCAACAAAGCTCCGAGCAATCCTCTCCCAATGGGTTGTCAGCTTCCGAAACATCCTTTCCTCCACATCTGGGTGAATACTCCCTGGGAGGCTGCGCCCCTCGCTGATTTTGGCTTCCTTGTATATCTCGGAATACATACCAGGGGCATTCATGACCTTTTCTTCCCACTCTTCCGGATTCATCGAGCTGAGAATTTCCAGGTCGTCCTGATAGCTCGAAAAGAGAATGGGCATGTTATCTGGGTTCACCATCTCCTTATAGAATTGATCAAGACGACGCTGCACTCGGTATCGCAGCATGATCCTCGGATCCTCTGAGGGTACATCTTGATATTGGCCTATCAAACTCGCATTGGCCAATTTCTGCATTTCATTGCAGAATTGGAAGACGAAGTATCTCTGGGCTTTGGGGCTATCACGGGCCTCTCCCATTCTGCTAAGGTCTGACTCGCAGTCCTGAAGTTTGCGACGGATTTCCGCAATGATCTGGGGCAGGCCTGACTGTATCTGGGCCCGCCGCTCCTTGTCGACGTACTTGATCAACGAGCGTATGCCTGTCCTATCCTTGCCCACTCCCTCCCAAGCCGGCTGGGCGAACTCCTTTAGTTCTCGTTCGTCGCGCTCGGCGTCTGTGATATGAGCTTCGGCAGGTATTCTGTTCCGCAATCCGAACCAGCCGTGGTCGAGATGAGGAACAGTAGGCAAATCATTCTGTAGGAGTTTGACCATCTAGGATATGGGAGCACTTAGCAACATAAGGCACCTACAAATGGCCGGGCGGTTATACATACCCAATCATCGGAGCCTTCCTGCTTGCGATCGCATTTTGTGAGCACGCCAATGCATCGGCTTTCCAGTCCGGGTACATCTTCAATCAATTCGAAAGTTTTGTGCCGCTCCACGTCCACATTGTCGATAACCACCCTGGACCCAAGTAGTTAGCATTTATCATTGACCACGGATCTCGTCTGGCTCTGTACAAAACGATGTTCCGCTCATTCGCTAGGTAGCTTCGAGCCAGTTCCCAAGCAACTGCCGCATTAGGCTGCGCATGTGCCTCCTCCTCTGATACACCATTTTGCTTCTTACTTTTTTGCCCTTTCCGAATGAGACCTGGGAGATCGACAATCGTCCAGTGCATCTCGTCCGGGCCGGAGCGCTCAATTCGGAGTGTGGCGTCGCTCAGACTCAACTGCTTCCCTGGCTTCTGCTCGCCGAAAATGCACTCCGTGGCCTAGCTGCATCAGTGATGAGGCAGATCAGTCTTTATTTGTTCAACGTACCTCCTCTATGATCTCTTCCATCACTTCCGAAGTCAGCTCTTCCTTTTCGATGATAAAGTCTTGTATGCGAAGGAGAAGCGCCTCGTCATTTTCGGACAGTCGTCCCGGCACAATAGTAGCCTTAACAGGATATTTATTTGAGGCGGAGGTCTGCCTGAAGGAAATCTGGATTGGGAAACGAGTGCACATGGTGTCCTTGACCGGAAAGGAAACCTCGGTTATGGCTTGGAGCACCGAGCTCTTACCGGTGCTCTGGTCTCCCACCACCACAAGCTGATATCGTTAGCCATGGCCATGTCACCATTAAGCTGCGGGCACTTAGCCTACCTCGGGCAGATCAATTGTGCTGCTTAGCCCTAGCTCCTGGAGCTCATCAATGAAGGCCAGCTGCTCTGAGCTTTCGACTCCGACAAAGTGGCGCACTCGTTTTCCCATTCTGGCGGCTTTGATAGGATACTCACGATTGCAATGCTGTTACGGATTCTGCCTCTTCCGTTGTTTTCCTTGTCCCGGTCAAGGGGAACCCGTCGAATTTATGTCCATACTGTACGCGGCCACTCGGAACTTTTGTCTGCCGTTGCTTTTCTCAGCTCCAGCCTTGCCGCAGTCGCGATGCATTAGTAGGTACACTAACAGCCACTAAACTTGGATCCCAGTACCCGTGAGAAGCGCCTATTTGTTGCTAAGTGAGTAGCGTGCGGTCCGCGCCGCAACGATCAGTGACTGTGGACTTCACCCCTGATACGAGTAATCCCCTGAGTCCCATGTATCCACATAGCCACGAATAGGGTCAATAGTCTCATTAAATTTGTTCTCAAGTCCCACTCTTGGGTCGACTTGCGTCTGGCCGGGCTCGGCCTTGTAGGAACAAGAGCATCGGTGAGCGAGAACTCAATGACACACACATTGGAGGTCTGAATTTTTGAACGACCAAAAAGCTCCATAAAATCTAATAGAGGCGCCAAGCGACTAAAGGTAGAATGTAGCGGTAAACAAATGAAACAAGCAAATAGAAACACCAGTCCATCTTCCCTTCAGGCACTGATTTTGCGCTAATTAACTGAAGACGCACTGTTCAAGCAGATGTCGTTGATGGTTGCTTGGGCTTATAAATGTGGGCATGGCTGACACTCATACAATATTAATGCAGTTAAAGCTGCAGCACCTATGAGTTTCATATATCCCACTGTACCGAGTCTGTGTCAGCGGGCATGGAGACCGCAGAATGGACTTGGATACCTACGCAAAGGTTGGATGATTTGCACTATGATGGCGTTCATACACGGCTGCAGGTTTTGCATAACTAGGCATCAACACCATGTGTAAAATATGCTATTATTAGGGAGTGCTATCCGCGTCTCAGCAGCACACCAAAACCACCATGTACCTTAAGTCTAATATCTTAGGTATTTACTAGGGGTAACTATATTTAAGATAGTAATATTAAAATATTAAAAGAAAACATCTTATAATTAAAAGCCTTTTATAAGTTTTACCTGAAAATTAGAGATATAAGAATATATGAAATTTCTGTCTTGAAAGCCTCTTTCTTAGGGAAAAATATAAAGAGAGATTATTCTATTATAACACTTATAATCTTAGTTTCTGATAATAAGGAAGTAATAGAAGATCGATACTTATATATCTAAATAATAATAAACTAGAAAAACTAAGAGTATACATACCTAGACTAGATAATCTAGATGTACCTTTCTATGGCATCGCCATATAAAAGGTACATGGTCGTTTCACTGTGGTTGGTGGTTTTGGTGTGGCTCACCCTTAACGCGGAGGGTGAGCGTAAGGCACAGATACAACGGTTGAGGGAGAATGAGAAATGAGTCAGCTGAAGGGACCATGGGTCTTTCAGATGGCTCTCAGGAAGCTCTACTCTCTAGAAGATGGTTGGTTTTGACCACAAATATAGGCTTGGGTAATATATCCTAGCCTGGGGCAGCTTCAAAGAGAAGAGCGCAGAGTTATCCCTCGGGGCCAAGATGATGACTTGTCAGACAGGTCCTAATCGGCATATTGGCAGGATCTGTTCACTATATCATTATTACTCTAGGGGTCCCTAATTCTTCAAAGATACGCCCGAAGTCTGGCTAGAAACCTGATTTCGGAAACTTCGGATATATCTAGATAGACTTTCACTCCCCGATCGACCCATCCGACGCGCTAGCCCTGGCGTGATTCACCAAGGTGCGTATTCCAACCCAAATATTGTGATACGTCAAATCCCATGACGTCGACGATGTTTCTGAATGATGTACCTCAACCACAAAGCGAAGAATGCAGCCCTGGAGCTGGACAGTGTCAGTGGGGTCATTTGAGCCTGATCAATCATCACCCGATGAGGTTTGATTGACGTTCGGGAAATGCAATTTGTGGGGTCTCAACCTCAGCGATTGGTTGTTTCCGCGCTTCATTCTATACAAAACCAGGTATGCGAATGTGTGGAGCCCCGAGTTGGGGTTTGATGACATGCTGACATCAGCTGTGGCGAAAGGGTACAAGAAGATATAAGAAGCAACTGCATTACTTTTTGCATTGACTGGATGAACATTCAAAGAGAACGCAAACGCACAGTTGATTATACTATCAGGAATTCTTTTCAAAGCACAATGGCCGAAGATCGCATCAACGCCCTCCGTGGCTACAAGGCGTAGGTTGATCCTGTTCCGACCCTTCGAAGTATTGAGTCGCCTAACAAGATGGTAGTACCTTGAACAACCCCAATGTCTCAGAGGAAGCCAAGCAGCACGCTCGGGATGTCATTGACAACGAACTGGGCGGCGACCAGGCCCAGGATGACTTCTACCAGCAACGAGGTGACGACCAGAAGGACCCTAACAGAGTCCAAGCTGGATTGAAGGCGTATGTTCCCGCCCGTGCACGCCGAAGTTTGCCAGACTAACTTCATCTAGTGCCACCCGTAACCCTGGTGTCTCACAGGAGGGCAAACGCAGCGCTGCTGAGAAATACAAGCAGCAGTTTGGTCAGGCTCCGGATGAGTAAACTACTCTGCCGGTTTTGATTGTATTACAGCCACCAAGTGTATATTAGCATCTACAATAATGATATTCGAGCTATATGAGATGAAGCTATCTACGCACGAAGCAGAAGATAAGGTGTTTGTCGCTCTAAGCCTAATCTGGCGGCGTAGGCGAGAGAAACAATGAAATCTATCATTGGGGCAGGGGCTTAGGCTTGGGTGATTGATAGGAAAAGTTGATGGATGATGGATCGTCCTCCTTTGGAGGTATTGTTTTGTATGGGATCTTTGAAATATTCATATTCTACTCGCCACATATAGTAGCGAGAAGCAAAACCCAAGTGAAGTGACCCAAGACGTGGCCTTCTCAAAGACGAAATTCCTGACGTCCGGGAGGATCTCATGGGGTGCATTAATGACGACTAATATATTCATTACGGCCGTGGCGAGGGTCAATGATAACGGGGACATATTCGTCCAACAGCGAATTGTAGGCATTGTCAACCTTGTCAGATTGTCTACTCCATGGGAAATACCGAAGGTGGAGGACCCTCCAGTGGAGGCCGGGAGCCCAATGTGCCTCCGGGAAAGACATGATTGGAGATCATCAGTGGTCCGCTGAGCACGGCGCTAATCAAGCAGGGATTTTATTTCATCTTCAAACCAACAATAATCCTGGAATGAGTCGAAAACCCAGAAAACCAACGTCATGTCCTGCAGTCAAACATACAACCTGCTCTCAGCAACTCACACAGCGCACGCCAGAGCTGATATAACCCCACATCCAGCTCCAAGCTCCGAAAACTGCCGTGATACCAGTGAAGAGAATCAAAGTCCCATATTGAGTGCTAAAGCCAGTTCCAGCGTTGTTGGTTTGCGAGCCACTCAGCGATCCCTGCTTGATTAGTGCCGTGCTTAGCGGACCACTGATGACATTGCCAATTCCCCGCCCTCCCGCCAGCAAACCAAAGACTAAGCCTGTCTCCAAGGAGGTGGAAGAGTCGCGCTTGATTTGTTTGATCGCACCCGACCAAGTGGAACTGAAACCACCCGCGAAGAATCCATAGAAGATGGAGAATAGGGTGAGCAAAGCAATAGCCGTCTGAGGCGAATCAGACTCCGGAGATGATGCCATGCCCCATAGAAGGAACACGGATAGTGCTGAGCCTATCGAGGAGAAAAGCAGAATATTCGACACTGCGAAACGATCACAAAGCATTCCCATGCAGATACCACCGACAATGGAAGTCGCGTTGAAGAGCGAGACTAGCATTGTGCCCATCGTTCTTGACAGACCAACTGTGGTGGTCGAATAAGATGGCAGATACGTGGACGGTAAGAAATATCCAAAGCTTTGGATGATATTGCCTGCCTGGAGCGTCCAGAAGGCGGCCAGGCGGAGGAACCTGAGATCCAAACGCCGGGCTGATGCAGAAGGCGAGACAGGGATTCGAGGCTTCATGAACGGCAAAGATACTAGGGTAGTAAGCAACTGTCATTTGTGTTAGAAATGGATGCAATATGACAGTTACAGACGCTACCGGAGTCGGTTCGCCTCCGTTGCAATAAATGTGCAGTTGGGAACAAAAGGAAGCAATGAACCAGGGCGTCATACCGTAGTGACAGTCCAAGCTCTGAAGGTAGTGCTAGAACCGAATTTGCGTAAACAAGCATTCGCCGCAAAGGGCAATGTAACGCCAGTTACGCTCTTGGCAGCCCACATGATACCGAGGGCAAGCCCTTTTTTCTGGATGAACCATTGGTCCATAAACAGAGACGAGGGACTAAACATGAGCGCATTGCCGATGGCGCACATGATACCCTGAGTCGCAATGAGATGCCATACCTGCCGCGAGAAGGACGATAGAAGCGAGCCGATCACGGTGATACATAGTCCTGTCGGAATGCACCAAGCTTGAAGGTGTGGATACCGCGTCAAAAGGGTAAATGTCACAGGTGATAAGAGGTACAGAAGACCCTAGTTAGTTGCGTTAGACCATATTGAATCCAATGACATGTGTGTGGCGCTTTTTCAATACAGTTGATGTAGTTCCCACAGTAGCAAGGTCGCCTTTATTGCCCTGTAAGACATCATGCGTGCTGTAGTATTCCTGGAAAATACCGAAAACAGTCGAGAATCCTGGCGTGTCAAGTTAGTCGTTGACAAACTCTGGTCATTCGCGCTTAGTGCAAACCCCAGACTGGTAGCTGAATGAGACAGCATGATGCGAGGAGTTGCCAGGCAGCTTTGCCTCCATCTGCGGGGGGCAGCGAGGGTTGCTCTATCTCTGACGAAATCACGTCATGGGAAGAACGACGGGTCGGTATCTCGCTGAAAGAGATGATCTCGCGTTCGGTAGAGCTCATGGTTGCCAGGCATACATATGTCTGATCAAAATATGGCGAATGGAAAGAATGTCTGAATCTGAAATCTGAAATCTGAAGCATGATGTGAGATGATGTCACGTGGGCAGTTGCCCCTCTCGGACTGATCCTTGACTCACAGCAGCTGCAGATCTGTCTAGATGTAGACCAAGAAAGGCACAGGTTTACGAGCTGCTATTGGCCCGGCGAAGCCAGCACCTACAATGAGCCCTTGCACGTATGTCTGGGGGCCGCGGAGGAACCAGATCCCAAGATGTCTAGTTCTTTGGATCAAACTCATGTTTATCACTGGTTGCAATAAACACAGTGGTTACTGGGGAATCAGTGATACTGCCCATGGTTAGCGTGAGTCTAGTATCAATATCGAATTATCATATAGTATCAATATTGAAGCATCAATATCAATACCAAGTACTCTATACCCCTACTGGTTAATGATTTGATATTGATACTATGGTGCTTCAATATTAATACTACATAAATATTCTGATGTTTGCAGAGATATAAGCGAATAATCGTCTCTCTCAAGGGTTAGTATGAAAGTAGTGGAGGATATAAATGTAGATTAACCTTTGATAACCACCATTGGCTAAGAATATTCCTCAACCGCCACCTACTCAACCACCTAGACATTGACTCAGTTTAGATATGGACTAAAGTGACTATAATTACTGTATTTTTTATATAAACATGCTGGACAGGCCCTAGGCTGCTAGTGCCTGTGTGGCAGCAGCAGCAGTGTGGTGGGAGGTAATCATGGTGATAAATTTATTTTAGCCGGTTTGTACAGATAATAGTCCGCCATAAGAAACGGTCTGACATACTACCCCGCTTCCTGCATGATTACATAGCGAATGGGGCTGAATCTTTAGCAAAAGGGAACCCGTATAATTCTATCTCTGTGCTTATGGAGATACTGCTTCTGAGTCAACCTTTTTATTTTCTCTCACTGATCGACAGGCCTTCTACCACCATTAGATCCTTAACACGATCCTGTGAGTCAGTCATATTGGAGTATCAGGGCAGTTAATACGCCCTTCCTGTCAGCTATTGATAGTTCCTTTATGGAATACGGTCAGCAACTCCTTGCATCTACCATGTCTCCAATATCGGACTTGAAAGCATATATTTTCCGACTATTTGCCAGCTTCACAGCCACCTATAACCCAGTCAGCGCTCCAGCAGCTCTTACAGATGAACGTCCCAAGCCCCATTTTCGTACGGACAACGACAGTTCGGACACACTCACCCTCCCAGATGGTCGAAATGTCGGTTATGCACAATATGGTTCGCTGACCGGAAGGCCTATTTTTTACCTACATGGCCTCCCAGGCTCTCGCCTAGAGGCTGCGGGTTTTGATGAGCTGGGCCTAGAATTAGGCGCCCGTGTCATTGCTGTGGACAGACCTGGTATAGGATGGAGCTCACCACACCCCGATCGAACGCTCCTTGATCATCCAAAAGACTTAGAATCCCTCGCGAAGCACCTTAAGTTGGATCATTATAGTGTTTTGGTACGGAGAGCGTATTAGTCCTGAGAAGGCCCGAGACTGTTTGCTAACACCGTTTGCTGGCGCTGCTGGATAGGGAATATCAGGAGGCGGACCATATGCACTTGCTTGCGCCGCGACATTACCGCATGAAAAGCTTAAGTGTGTTTCGATTGTCTGCGGCCTAGGGCCGCCTGACATCGGTATGAGTGGAGCAGATTGGGTGCACAGGCTTGGATTCCCACTGGGTTTTCGCTATGCGCCTCTCAGCGTTGTCCGGTGGTTTTGGAAGCTAGAGGGGTCAGGGCGCTTAGATCTCAGTGACGAGAGGCGTCTTGAGCTTCTGCTTCAGAAGCCAATCGCTCATGAGAAGGACAATGACTTTATGAAGACGGACTGGCCCCGGTTATCTTTGCGATCGACTCGAGAGTGCTTCGCACAAGGGTTCCATGGGGTGTGGCAGGATGGTAGGTTGGTGTGCATGGACTATGGTTTTCGAATAGAGGATATTCGTCCTGAACTACCTATGCAACTATGGTATGGGAAGCTTGATACTTTTGTTCCACCAAATCATGGTGTGCAGATAGCCGCCCGGCTGCGTGGTAGAGCATATCTCAGGCTGGAGAATGAGACACATGCAAGCATTGTGGTGAACCAGATGAGGGAGATATTGGAACATTTAGTTAGAAGCACTTGAGCCAGCCTGCTTTTCCATACTGATTTTCCGGCATCTCCAAACCAAACCTGCGTCACTGGGCAAGGATCCATGTACCGAGGAGTAAACGGATCTAGTAGTCCATCAGAATTAAATTCTATTTTCTTAACAACTTCTGGATATATTATTTTCAAAGGAAGCTCAGAGGGTGACAGCACCCTAGAGAAATCAATTGTCTAGTGTCTGGTACGTCCTTCTGCAATATTGGTAAGGAAAGTGACCTCTAGGCCCTTCTGCTCTTCAAGACATTTAAGAGAACTTTAAGATAATTTGTTAGGATCTGCTGGATCTTATAGAAAGTTTCAGGCCTGCAAAAGTAGAGTTTCCCAGCACGGGCCTATTGCTCCTGCAGACGAACATCATGATCTCTAGAGGACCAATGGCTCCCATGACTGGACACTCTATTCTTGGAAAGAGAATCGATGTCCGCAGGCTTACCACTCTTGCTCATAGCAACCCAGCAGGCATTCCGTAGAATTGCACTATATCTCTTGAACCGAGATTGCTATGTTTGAGAAATATACATAAGGGAACTGCCACCTGCCATCACACAAGACCAAAGTGATTCCTGGACCAACTTATGGTAAAATCCGATTGAAATTATGTAGTGGAATTTTTTAGACATGGCGCGGAACCAACGTGATTATCTCTCATGCTGCATGAGGATCTGCCCATACTGCAGGACAAACTATTTTAAAGCCAGCTGTGTCTAAAACATCCCAAAACTTACACCTCCTGGGCAAGGAACTAACTGTCCGTTCCATTGTCCCGGTACGTGAAGGCGACCTCCTGGGAGACTTTGCTGGTATGATTGGCTTTTCAAACAGCTTTAATCCTCGATAGTATCCGAGGGCCAACTGAGAAGCTTTAGGCTTAACTACGCCAGGTCACCAGACTATTGAACAAAGAGGCGAGTCCTGAAGCCTGGTGCCATGCAATTGTGCGTCTGCAAAGGCAACTGATTTATGAGGAGGATGAAACACAGCCCAGAAGGTCGTGGAGTGTATCTGTCAGGGATCTTGAGCCACCGCTCGTTCCAGAGATAGTCTGGGGACTCCCCCCACCCGGAGAGCAGTAACAAAGAATTCTTTATTCCCGCTGATAGGGCGAATGCCTAAAGAAAGCTGATACTCAAAGGACCAGTCTCTCTGTCGAAGCCTTATCCGAAGACACTTGGACCACAATCTCCGTTCGAACAGTCACCCCATTAGAGCCATCCTGCAGGTCACTGCTGCGATGTCTATGGTATGCTCTACTGCTGGCTCTTTTCCACTCATCATCCGTATGTTGGACTGCCTCCTCCGCTGCAGAGACGGACATGACCACCGCTCCCCTTTTTTGCGTATGCGGTTGTGAATCCAGTTCCAGGCCCGGGTGGCTATTCTTGGACCGACTGTTGGACCAGTAGCCACCACTTTGTCCTTTGTCTGTTGACGCCATTGACACGAAGAGACGGATCATCGGCGCGAACGTGGCGAGGAGGATGCTGTAGTTCTCTATCCTTTGAAATGTCAGACCACGCTGCACCAGAGGAGTTTGAAAGTATACTTACTTGACCCATAGAATAAAAGGGACAGTGTTATCTGAGGACCGTTAGCGTCGCCTCCAACAATATGTCCAGTAAGACTCACGTGTGATATCGTTCCGCTCTCCAAGGGTCTTGAGCAACTACTCGATTGGGTCAGCGATGGGAATAATCCTTCTCGACGGCTGCATACATATGTTTTGACAATAGAAGCAATTCCCGATAGCAGCAACGGCCCGCTGAGGCTAATAGTCTGCCAGATCCGACGAAAGAGCGCCTGTCGTGGCATTCGCCGAATGCGACTGAATACCGGCTTGTGCTGTGCTTGAGCCGAGTCCGTTGCCCTTATTGTATAACGCCACAGTTGGACCGCTGAAAGTGCCGTCAAAAAGAAATCGATCGTCGTGTTGAAACCTGGCCATCCATCAGTACGATGTATAGTGGAGACGGCAGCTGGTGTTATACCACCCTGTACGAATCCTATCGTTGTTTGTACTGCCGGTGATTGGCAGATCACGGAGCCATCGGCTGGTGGGTTATCCCACATGTAGTGGAAATAGCTGACTCGATTGACCTATTGTTGTTACCAGGGAATTGCACCGGTCAGCTATTGTCAGGAACCGGAACTAGGGAGGGGGAGTTCACATACCGCATGGTAGGGATTGGGGCCGCACTGCACGATAATCTGAACGGCAGTCACCGAGTTCACCACGACCTGTATTGCCATGCATACGATGATGGATAGGCGGATCTGCTTATCAACGCTGCTAAAGCACGTGTAAAGAAAACACATCATGCCGGAGCGACTCAGCATGGAGGCAGTGACAGCTAGATGACAGACCATGAGTGTCTACATCGAATGATAAGGAAAGCCACTCACCTAGAGGCTGGGAGATGAACTCGTTCTTCAATGCTAATTTTCTTTCCGCATCCGACAGGAACCACATGTGCCTCCCGAGACCATTTTTAAAGCTTGTCGATGTGTCAGAACAGATCAGGTGAGGGTTCTGGCTAGAACACTAACCTGCGCTGGATAAAGACCATGTGGGCGATATCAAACGCATATGCACTGCCGTATAGAATGTCCTCCAAACCCCATACTCTTTCGGGGGAACTAACACGAGGCAGCATCCATCGAATCCATGTCTTGGTTGTATACCGAAAGGCCAACGCTAGTCCTGCAACTCCTGTCAAAGCCTGAGCGCGATTCTATCAGTCATCTCTCCCGTGCGTAGGGAAGGATAGTAGCAACTAACCCACGCTGCATAGATGTACGGACCAGCTGTTTGAAAAATTGGCTTAAGTATCAGTATTCCATCTATACCTCGCTCTCTGCATTCGCAACCAAGAGTCAAAGGGTAGACACTCACCGTAGTTGGTATCGTTCTCTAATGCAGTGGGCATTTTATTGCCAGGGCTGAGCAGTGCTTTGAGCAGAGTTATTCGCAGGGCAACTGAGGGGACGCGTGTTAACAAGAATAGGTATATATTTCCGTGGGATTCTAAATTTCACTGAACTCCTGACTAGGAGCTTTGAGCATATTTCGAACAGGGAAGAGGGAAAATAGAGATCTAGCATATAATGAACCCATACGCTTGGCTTCAACCATTACCGTACAACAGGGACAGTCGAAGAGGTGATTTTGACACAGTGTCTGTTGGAACTGCAGGCCTCTCGTACTCGTCACCAAGTTGCTCCTGACCAGCATTGATGATACCCCTGGTTCATACCACGATCACATGCATCACCTACCAAGACAATGCGTTCGGGAAATAAAGCAGGGATGATTGAAGCAGCAATAACCAAAACCAGATAATGCAAACAGACCATGGAGGAAATCGTTCCGGAGAGTAGCCCGTCGAGCCTATTCGGGGCTGGTCCGATAAAATCGACTGATATCCGGAAGTTAGCCAATGCCGGGATGGTAAATATCAAGGGAGCAAGGTTCGACTCAGGTACTTGGAAGCCTCCTTAACAGTGAGCACTTCTAGGATAAATAGGCACACGTCATCCTCATTGGTATATGGCATCCACTATGTGCATGGGTCAACGAATCTGCGCTGGTAGTGGGATTAAACTACAGGGATGATACGCCACTAAGTATCACGGTCTTCTTAGTGGACTTTGCAGTGATTGAGACTTATCCCTTCTAGGGATACGAAGGACAAGGACAGTATCAGGCCACAAGCAAATCCCGATTCTGGACCAGCCTTAGTTGCAGGAGAATTTAGAAGCCGTCGAATTATGTTGCCACAATTAGACCGAATCAATCCCACACATATCCACAATTTCTTCCCTGTTCTTTACAAAAGGTCTACCAGTTATAGTATTTTGCCGGAGTCGAACCGCACTGTGGCAATTAAGAATCATTGGACAACAGACTTGACACAGGGAGATATCCATCACCATAGTCTGGCAGAGACAGGGATCATAGAGACAGTGGTTCCATTAATCTCTATTTGCCGCAGTTGGAAAGTAACATCTAACTAGCAGAGCTTTCTACCTTCCTCATTTCGATCAAGCCCTCTCCAAACGGCGGATAAGCCTCAAATGTCACCCGAAGCCCAGCCAAGTCAGCCATTTGATGCCATTCTGTCGAGCTTCTCTCTCGACCTCCATACAAGGCAATCATGGCAGCGTGCATTTTCGCGTAATTGACATTCTTGGCAAACTCATGAATCAGCAGTCGCGAGTGAGGAGCCATAGCATCCGATATCTTCTTCAGCAAGCGCACGGCGTCCAGGTCCGGGAGATTGTGAAGAATATGAGCCAAATGGTAAACCAGCGCCCCCTTGATCGGTTGGGGGCTTTCATCCTTGTAGTTCCAAGTAGCGAGGGTGACCCCAGGGATATCGGTGATATCATGGTTGAACTCTTGGACGATCAAGCCCGAAGTCCGAAGCTGGGGAAATGCAGCCTTGAAATCGAGCAGCATCTCGCCGCGACCTCCGCCGATGTCCACCATCGTGAGCGGGGTGGAAGGATGCGCATCGTTAAGGACGGATTCCAGACCGTACCCTAGGGCTTGGAGACGGTCAGGAGCAGTGTTTGTTTTCATAAACTTGCCCACCATGAAATGGTTAAAGCTGTCCATGCGGCCTTCTGTAGCCATAATGGAATAAGTATGTTCTTTCGCGAGCTCTTCTTGGCCCATTGATTTGTAGGCAAATTGGAACGGTGTCTCCCGCTCTTTGAATGGATACTGAAAGTTCTCTGCCTCGAGTTTTCGCATCAAAAATGCACCGGCGAGAAGGGCTTCCGTGGTACTACTAACAGTTAGCCATGGAGGTCCAATCAATGGAAGCTGAAAATAAGATCAAGCGTACAAGTGCACAGCTCCATGTTGGGCGGATGGAGTGGCAGCCAGATGCTTGGTTATGGCATTGGCACGGTACAGATTCTCTCCGGCAAAATCAACAAAGCCAAAACCGGACATGGCATACAGCGTATCCTCTAGACGAAGAAAGTTAACGCCGATTCGACACGTCTTGTCTACTTGGAGGTCATCTCACGAATCAAAAGTAAACCTATGTCACATATTAGGACACGTGACATTCATCAGGACAAGACATGGTACTTACATGGTATATCCTGTCTTGTTTTGTCGTCGGACCGTTCTTGGAGGGCCGTCAAGACATCTTGTCCGCTCACCGGCTTGTCAAGATCTGCCAAGATATCGAAAAGCTGAAAGCGAACCGCAACAGGAACAAAGCCGAAGGCCGCAGCCTAAATAGTCAAGCATGAGTTATCGCATACCGGCTTCCGGGGATCTTGAACCGACCGAGGTCACTGTGCTCGCAAGAGCTGCAGCAGCAGCAGGCGAAGACATGATGCTTGATGGAGGAGAGGCTAGCGGAGTGCTGCTGCAGATAGCTGCGGCATGGAATAGATATCTTGATCACGGTCTCGCAGCTTGTGTGGAATTATCCCATTGTTTTTGGCTCCTTTCCTGATCCGCAGTAAGATTACACTAGAGGTACATTAAAAATGCCGGTTGCGCACTAACTTAGACCAGTTTCAACATAAATTAAACCTACAAGGTTGCGTCTACCTGATCCCTGCTGTCACTTTCAGGCTAAGCAGTACTAGTATTCACTATCAATTTAGTGGGCTGCGCCGTAAATTGGCTGCCCCTCATCATCATGACCATTTGCTGTGATTGCGCCTCTGGTGATAATCACTTCTGCGGTCGGTTAACCGTCTAGATCCCATAGAAGACAGACCGGCCTGGACTATTCCTTGCCAAGATAATTAACACGATTGAGTCGTCCAGGTGGTTGCTTGCGCAAGGCTTTGTATCCTCGTCCTGGACACTATTGGGCAATTCGAACAGCACATTCCTCCGGCCGCGTGGCGTCTCTTGTTGGTAACTGCCTCCTGATAATTTTTCCGCTTTCTAGTCATGTCGAGTCCTTGTCAGACTTATATCGTATCCTTGTTGTGACTCCGCTGTGCAATTGCATCCATCCAGAACCTCAGATCTTGCACTGTCTTGCCTGCCGAGTTGCACATCATGAGTGAGACCAGGTTCGAGGACTCAGTCAATGCAGGCGAAAAGCCCAATATGAGTACAGAGGGTACTCAAACAAAAGTAGAAAGTCATGTTACCGAGATTGATGACGAGGATGGCCGAGATCCCCGGAAATGGAGTCCAAGGAAGAAGCTTCTTGTGTTTGTCGCACTCATGTCAAGCTCTATCTTGGCTGATGGGTACGTTGCTGTGGGATTGCATAATCCCCATGTTTTACATGCGCTGATCAATTCCAAAACAGAGGGATGACCTGGGGTGCGACATTGATCGTGCCTCAAGCGTTGGAGTGGGGAGTCAGCGTTGATCATTCCGCGACCAGTATGAACTACGGCATGCTGTTACAGGGTGTTGGTGGTCTGATGGCCATACCATTGATAGAGGCGTATGGACGGTATGTCTTCGCTTAGTCCATCAGTGGCAGTAATGACGGGTGCTAACGCCAGGAGTAGCCTCCCGGTGTGGTTGTGGCCGCAGTTCGTCACCACTTTCATGGTCCTCGGAGCGACGTTATCCAACAACTATAGCACCTTCACTGCGTTTCGCTCTCTCCAGGGTCTCTTTGGCACGATCCCACAAGTCGTCGGTTTGCCGATTATTCATGACATGTATGAGCCGAAGGGTATGCAAATTTCGAACTCATTCGAACCAATTCAGCATGGCGGTGGCTAACAATTCATCTCAGATTGGCCTCAGATGATCAATATCTGGTATGATCGGACATGAACATATTTACATCTGAATCTACTAACTGACTTCAGGGGCACTACCTTCTTGATCGGGCCCTTTCTAGGCCCTGCCCTGGCCGGATATATCGGTGCCGGCAGCAATTGGAAGGCCTCGTTTGGCGTTCTGACGGCTTTCTACGCGCTGTCGACGGTCCCGATCTTTCTCTTCGGATACGAGACTTACTATGCCAGAGGACATCAATGCCAGCGAAATTCGCGCCTCCAGTCAATGGTTGGAATCAAAAACCACAACCTACCGGTCGGGCGCACTCTGGCCTACTGGACCAAGACCCTTGCCATACACATCTTCAAGTTCCCGCTCCTCTTGACAGGAATTGCAACAATGGTCAACTTTTGCTGGCCGATCGGTGGGTTCGAACTCCGCAACATAAAGATATATCTGACAACTGCAAGGTATAACTGTGACCGTTTCCACGTTTGTTGCGCAGCCTCCGTACCTTTTCAACACAGTCCAGTCGGCATCACTGCGATGGGCCCCAATCATCGGAGGCTTACTTGGTGAGTAGCCTCCCGAGATCCTTGACCGAGGTCCTGACCGTTATAGGATATGCCTTTGGCTACTGGTTTAATGGTTGGATTGAAAACTCTCGCCAGCAGACGTGGCGTCCCGAGTATCGACTGCATGGTGTCTGGGTTGCCATTGGAGTCATGGCTTGTGGACTGCTCACATACGGCATGACCCTGAACTACCATAAGCATTGGATTGGTCTCGCATTTGGCTGGCTAATGGTTGTGTTTGGCATGATCTCCAGTACAGTGTGAGTCTGCCTTTACCCACAGTATGACCTGATGAGCTAATTACTGTATGCAACAGCTCGATCACGGCATACAATCTGGAGAAATATCCCGACCAGTCAACAGTAGTCTCAGCCATCATCAATGCCTGGCGTACAGCCAGTGGCTTCTCAGTCGGATACTTTCAGCCCTCCTGGATCGCGAAAGACGGGACTGCGGCAGTTTTCGGAACACAGGTGGCGGTAGTTGTTGCGGTTCTGATCCTCACAATCACCCCTGTCATAGTCATCGAAGGACGGAAACCTAAACCCACCATTGGCGAGGCATGATTGAGGGCAGAGATTCTTCCTCTGTTCCGTCCATGTTGAGTTGGCTGGTTGGCTCATGAGGAGTCTAAGAATAATACAACGTTTTCCTCTGTTCAATGTGGAGTCCTAGAGCCCCGTCGTCGCGGACGTCGCCTTCTCAGAATATATTGAACATATTCCACGTGGAAAGTGAATTGTTAGGTGTATTGTCCCACAAAGCAGCCTGTTCCATACTGTCGCCCATGAAAGCATCATTGAATAGGCTCTCATGGGTATCTTCAATAGACCAGGAAAAGTCGTTCCATCCCCATCCATTTGGGACAGCACTCGCGCCGTCCATGACAGTGGGCACTTGGTAGCCGACCGGACCCTGTAGGAAAGAAGCGGACATGTCGTCTTGACTCTGAGCTTGAGAAGAGGGAGCCAATGAGGACGACGCTATCGTGTTGGTCGCAGTCGACTGTGTGGACTTCACATTGCGACGGATGTGCAGCCTCCCGAGCAGAGGAACTTGCAAGGTCAGTGTCTGCTCAAAGGCAGTGTTTTCTTCCTGTCGTAGAAGCTGATTAAGGGCACATAGCGTATTAAAGGCTTGTTCGGCAAACTCAAAGCCCGTGGGGTCCTTGGATCTTTGCCCCATAATCTGGATTACTTCGGGAATCACACCCTGAATCTGGCTGGTGTCGACATGAAAGCTCCGCCGGTCCGTCGGAAAGGTGTTGCGGGACAAGAGCAAGAGTACCGCTGTAGCTGTGAAAGCCTGCAAGTCTATTACTCGTCCAACGAACACACCTGGAGGCAGTTTTCGTCTGAGGAAAATATAGCGCCTTGCCACGGCAGCGCAAGCGTCCATGCAGGGTAACCGACTGTATAAATACTCCTCTCGCGAATCTTGACGCAATGCCATGGGAAGGTATACTCGCATCAAGATTGTATAGTGAAAGAACTGTACTAGGTGGGTGGCGGTGACCGGGGATGCCTCGTTGACAAGCCACCATGTGCTGGGCGTCTGAGCAGCAAGGGTGCCCAGATCCCGAGCCATCTCCAGAGCAGTCATGTGGAGTTCGGGCGCGGGTCCCTGAATGGCACTAGATTCATCTATCTCGTGTATTCGGACAGCGATATGGAGCAACTTCGTGACATATACATCAGGCTGAACAACGCCGTCGACGATAAGTCGTAGACTGGGTGAGGGTTGGTAGCGCCGAGTGTCAGGTGGGAGATTCAAAATCATTCCAGACAGTCTTTCAATATTGCAGAGCAATTCCCAAAGTTGGGCCATGCGGTAGGAATGCTGGTCATCGGTTCCGCTGATCTTGTCGAGACGAACTGCCTGATGTATTCGAGGCAAGCCCATCAGTTCTGCAATGGCGACGAGCCGCCGTATTGTCAACCATGACTTCTGGAAGTTTCCTAGCCCGAGATGACTACAGAATCAGCATGTGTTCATGTCGCGTGACTGAATCATAGGTGCGAGTCTCACAGTCGGGCAAAATGTACGGCCATTCCAAGTCCTTCACCAGTTGCAAGCAATCGATCATGGCACAAGAGCGTACTCTCCATGGTATTTATGATTTTTCGACAAAGGTCCGACCGCTTCTGGCATTTCCTGAGCTGATCGTCACGATTTTCGGTCTCTTGCGGAAGTTGTTGGGCCATGATCGCCAGCGCTAGGAGCCAGGATGCCAGAGTAAGGATGTTCACATCAGGACTACACATCTCCTCGTACCCGACGACGAGATCTTGCTGTGAGACAACTGTGCAGGGTTGCGGTAGGAGGGTATGTAGCATGGTCAGCCAATCAAATGAGGATCCTGCAATCTCGATCACCTCATCCTTTGGGGGATTAGACTCTGCAGACGAGGCCTCACGAGACGCGAGAAGTGTGTGGAGACTTTTCCCTGCGCTTTGTTCTCATTTTGCGAGGTGTCGGAACTGAGCCAGTCATTCTGGAAGAGTGAGCGTAGATGAGATGGACGATCTGTCATGGGAAAATCCGACCCGCTACTTTCGATATCGGACTCTTGCGCATCAGGAGCTTGAAAAGTGTCAGGGTATATTACCCGGGACGGTTTACTCCCAAGCTTGACTTCAAGGCTGTTGACAATTTTCGTGAGCTGAGTGACCTGAAATGCCAGCTGTGTAATCCTTTGTCGAGACGAGAACCGTGCTCGAGAGGACCTCAGTCGGGTCGAAGGCTGGGCAACACAGGCTGAACCTCGCTCTTCACATTGCCGACACGATTTAGCATCTTCGGAGATTCGGACGCATCGAACTTTACGCCGTCTGCCTGCCTTGGTGATTAAAACTGACGAAACATAGATGATGTTGTCTTATGCTCGCTTACACTCTGTGCAGCTTTTTGTTCCCTTCCGCGGCGCAGTGAGATCGCTTTGAGGACTTGACATTGCCGAAATGACTGGCGCCTATTACTGTTTGTGATAAATCGTCGGAAACACCGAGACAAAATTTCCTCCGAGCGTTATCTCCGAGATGATGTAGTTGAAAATAGGGAGATGAAGAGCTGAAGAGGCAAGAGTCTTGTTCGGTCGCGGACGAAATTTTGGGGCCGCGGACGAAAAGTGCGAGCCGACCGCGCCACCTCTGTCACCTGATTGGCTTCTCTTTCTGTCGTCCCGAGGCTTCACTACGCAAAGGCCACCCAGGTTGTTGGCAATAGGGATTTATACGAGCTAGCTGGGAGCTAAGCGATGGATAATGACAGTCATTCGCGTTGTCGGGGCCCAACTCGCCGAGCACCGATCCTGGTCCTTGATCGGCATTTGGAGCCAAGTAGGTATATATTCACAGCGTGATGGGGACGCTGCTTGGACATAATGTCGCAACTCTCAACATCAAACCTGGCCACTGCTAAGGCAGCATCTCGACGAGACAGTGTCCAACGATGCTTGACAAACGAGGAGGGCCGTATGCGTCGCCCAACGCTGGACTTGGGGTCTACCCAGTGTCATCCCCGACATTCCCATCTGTGCCGTCTTCCTCGCCCTCTACATCGGATTTGCAGCTGCGAACATGACCATCCTCCAAATAAATGGTCGAAGAAGCCACAAGTTCCTTATGTCGGGAATGCTATTTGGCTTTTGTATGGCACGGATCACCACCCTAGTCTTGCGCATCGTCTGGGCCAATCGACAGCATAACATCCGACTCGCCATTGCCGCCAATATCTTTGTCAATGCCGGTGTTCTCCTAGTATACATCATCAACTTGCTTCTCGCACAGCGTATTCTTCGAGCGAAGCAGCCTCGGCTCGGCTGGAATCCCGTTTTGCGGGTTGCATACAAGATCCTTTACGCCCTCGTCGCTGCAGCTTTGATCATGGTCATCACGGCTACTGTTGTCAGCGTTTATACCCTGGACAAGCATACGCAGTCACAATGCCGCGATGTCCAACTGGCAGCCATAACTCTTCTTCTTGTCATTACCTGTCTTCCTATCCTGCATCTCCTGGCTGCGTTTCTGTTTCCACGATCCGACCAGGAGGAATCATTCGGAAAAGGAAGCATGGCCAGCAAAGTCATCATCGTGATCCTATCGTCTGCGCTGTGCATCCTCATCGCGGGCTTCAAGGCTGGCGCAAACTGGAGTACGCCTCGGCCAGTCACCAACCCCGCCTGGTTCCATTCCAAGGCCTCCTTTTACGTGTTCAACTTTGTCCTCGAGATCCTTATCCTTTGTCTTCTGACCTTCAGTCGCATCGACAAGCGATTCCATATTCCGAATGGATCTACAAAGCCTGGTGACTATAGTCGTCTCGGACTGCAGTTGGATAAAGGAGCAGAAGAGGATCGGGCTTCTGCTTCTGTTGAGATGAAGAATAGTGCATAACCGCCATGAAGCGGATGTCAAAAAGGGGTCAATAGAGTGAAGGGCCTTAAATAGTAATATTAGAACTTTAACGATATCTCATATCAATACTGATGATGATCAAGAATGTAATTAAAATGCAATCCACCAACAATCAGACTTTCTTTAAATAAGTAATGTTATAGACCGAGCTCCAATGACTCAGAGGCATGCTAAGCAATAAGGACTGTCCGGTTCAATGTCTCCATAAACGGAAAAGGGCCAGCCTGCAGGTTCTAGTCAGCACCACTTTTCTCGTCAATCAAAACTTGAGGCAACTCACGCCAACCAAGGAGACATGAGCGATGTTGAGTTGCGCCGTCCCTTTTCCAATAGACTCGGGAATATTCACGCTGAAGTTCTGATAAGGTGGCTGGCCGGATTCATGATACTCTGGCTTGAAGGGACCGTTATATAAAATAGCGCCCATGACGTCTTCCGAGGAATAACACTTGGAGTCCGCGCAAGATGATAGACCGATCGCAACGGCTATTTCCTGAGACCCTGTGAGGGAATTCTTAAAAGCATTACTCAGCTGTTGTCCTTATGTTGGAGGCTGTCAGAAACATACCGGTCTTTGGATTTGCACCACAGTCGAACTTCCCAGACTCAAGTTCTCTCCTTCGCAGGGCAAACCGATGGCGACATTCTGGGCAGACACAGTCGTCGCAAGAAATACAAGGAAGCAAGGGACCTTCATGATGGAAAATAGCGATCTCACGGAACTTCTGTGGTGGTGGACGCTAACTGACAATGAATTTGTTGTTCCTGCTACATCAGTTTGAAGCGGACGGATTGTTGATGGTTCTTATAGTCTGCAGGACATCATGTCGTCAAATTTGCGTATACATCCAAGCATCGAATGTGCCAAAATAAAAAGGAGATCATTCGATGAGTCTCAGCGTGTCTCACAATTTGAGGCCTCCTGCAAAGCTACCTTGCACAGCAGGTGTCCCAGTTGGGCAATCTATGCTGAAGATCCAAACAACATGAGATCACTCTCTTTCGTCGACAGGGGTCACGTGGTCTATGATGTCTTGATCACCAAATGCTCTCGCTGTCTTTCATTGACCAGCTCAGCTATCATAATAATACAGGGGGCCTAATGTCAACGGGAAGATGGCCGTTATAAATAGAGTCCAATTCAGAGATTGGCTGTGAGACATGCACTGGCAGATGACAGAGGAAGCGTATCACAATTTGATTGGTTCGAGTGCCGAAGAAAGTTCGGCTGTTGAAATAGCCAAGCGTTCGAATCCCGCCAGGCGCAAATCCTTTCATCATTTCGCCTGCCACTCGTAGCCGACCAACCCGCTCTTATTATTATAAACAGACCGACAATACACTTCACCAAATTAGCCTTTTCTATCTGTAGGACTAAAAGCTGTTTTACGTGGGTTGACACATGACTCATGCGGACACATGATATATATTGAGTGTCTCGCCTGCCAAGAAGACTGGTTAAAGACTACTTGACATATTGGAAAACCACCATAGAGTACACTAACTCTAAATTTTGGTATCAATATTCAAAGGGAGCACGGAGATAGAAGATAGTTTAGTATGAGAGGGAAACCCTGCGACAAGGCGCTGATATGACCTCCTGACAAGTCTTAGGGCTTCAAGCACCAGATGCGCAGGACTGAAACGATGTCCCTCCTTCTCTCATATATATATCCCCTCACATTGCTCGCACAGTTGGGCCTTGGTGGTTTTCGGTTGCTCCTACAAGACACCCTGGGGTCTCTAGGCTCCATTAGTAAGTCTGTTTAACTTATAGGGACAGTTACACGCGTATAGAGGGCGCCACTACACAGGTATTCATGCTACTCCTGCTCCTCCTACTACTATCCCTCAATATTGACGTGTTATTCTGAGCACTGGACACGTTTAGCGGAGAAAAACCAGTGCAGATGTCGCCTCGACAGACGCACAATATTTGTTGACTGCTTTTAAAAGTTTTCCTATAATGAAGGACGTAGCCCTAGTTGGGACATCATAATTGCAAGTCATGAAAGTTGATACGATGTGGTGCAAGTCGCACTCATAGATTGATTGACGACTTGATTTGATTTCTGATCCCAGGGACGTTATATCTAACCACTAGGCAGAAATGAATAGTCATGAGTTTCTCTACTGGAATGAGCCACAGTCGATGGCCTTCTTCATCGGCGCCACCTCAGAATACGCTCTGTTACGGCGACGAGTGCTTCTTCGACCTTCTCTTGGAAGGTTAATACCTACCCTGCCTTGAACCCCGGAAGTGCTTCAACGAGATGGTCGCTCATTACAAATAGCGGAGCTAGTGTCTGTAAACACAAGAGCATAGTAGTCGTACGTATCTGTCCGCGATATGAATAAATATCCTCTGTCAAAGTAACCGTATTTCCTGCATCTGGATCCATCATAGAAGTTTATCATAGAAGATGCTTTGAGAACGACATCAACCCTCGGTATTTCAACTGGAATCAAATAACAGGCTTGACAGGGCGGACAGGATCTCAGAGAGCCCAATGTTGAAAAGCAAGTTTGTCAACCTGCTGCCGTTGTTTTTCATGGAGCTATGATTTCCAACTGCATGACCATGTTCTGAAAGCAGTTAATAGGCCGTTTACAATTGACGAGGTATATTCTGCAGACTCGTAGCACGAAAAAAGGCAATAATTCTGTTCTTTCTTACTTCCAACTCTACAATTCTGCGTGCTGGGTCTGAGTTCAGGGCAAACCCAAGCAATGCCTTGGCAAATCTGCCAAACCGAGGAGAGAGATCTTGTATGGCTATTCCCATGCCAATCATCGTGTCTGCCTTGTCGATCCTGTGTTTCAAAGTTGTTGGTTTCATCAACTGTAGCCGCCGCCACCAACAGGCTCAAGATGGACCCTGATATTTTGGCCCCTTGGCATGGTTATCGAGGCTGAGTCGCATCCATGCAATCCCCCAACTTTCGAAAAGCCAACATGTTGGTTAATAGTTATCAGTATATGTATGTTATTGCGAATTGCTATTATTGTTTGTGTCAGCCTTGGGAATCATGGGTGATTGAGGCACCTACATAATGCTTCGGCAATGGTCTCCAAATGTCCGTGTATTTTCGTTGACGAAGCAGAGGGACTGTTAAAGAGTCGTTCACACACCAAGAGCTCCATTGCAAGTATCAAATCATGACTGGCCTACCTTTATTCTCGCGTCTCTCCTCTCGCCGCTCAGATTCGCTCAGTGACACAACCCTAACTGAGCGACGGCTTTCTGATCTTTCCAACAAGTCTCTACATACTTATCATGAGCCAAACCAGGAAGCTCCTCGCCGGTGGGTTACGAGCTTTAAATCAAGACTCAACCCTACAGTCGTGGGCAAGAAGAAAGCCCGCAGAAATCGTGCTCTTGTTGTAGTTGCGATTATCCTTGCAGTGGGTGGTATAGCTGTACTGTAAGTATTGTTGTCAAGTAAAACCTTTCCTACTGACACTTCTAGGGTGTGGTTCTCACTTGTCCTCACATTGATCGACCGACTCACACCTACCGTCCCTTCGAACGGACTACAGAGGATCGTCGAAACATGGAAACGCCCGGCGGACTCTGTCTCCTTACTAGCTCCCTGGCCGAAAGACTTCAGTCAAAGCATCACACCGGTCCAATGCCACTCCCACAACGATTATTGGCGCTCAGTGCCTCTATACGAGGCCATCGCGGCTGGCTGCACAGGCGTCGAAGCAGACATTTGGCTCGAGGGCGGCGATCTGCTCGTCGGTCACGGGAAGCGCTCTCTATCCCCTGATCGTACACTGACGAGTCTCTATATCGACCCGTTGACATTAATTCTGTCAAACCTAAACGCCAATTTATCTGCCAATAGCTCGGTAGGCGTATTCGAGGTTGATCCCACAACAAGCCTTACTCTCCTGATCGACATCAAATCGGACGGAAATGCCACTTGGCCGATCCTCCTCGACCAACTGGGTCCTCTACGCTCAGGTGGATGGCTATCCCGCTGGAACGGGACGAGCAAATCTCTTGTCCGTGGTCCTGTCACGGTCGTGGGGACAGGAAATACCATGTTTGAGTTGGTAGTCGCAGAGGAAGATCGATATGTCTTCTTTGACGCCCCGCTAAACGAGCTTGCTCAAAACACCGCCTATACAGTAGAAAACAGCTACTACGCCAGCGTCTCGCTGCAAAAAGCCCTAGGAGTTGTATGGCCCTGGGGCCCAACAGACAATCAGAAACAGACCATGCAGAAGATGATCAGCGCTTCCTCGGAAAGAGGGTTACTCTCTCGGTTCTGGAGCATCCCCTCTTGGCCAGTCAGCCTGCGCATGAGGCTATGGCGGTTTCTGGTTGATAGTGGGGTTGGCATGCTGAATGTAGACGATGTGGTTGAGGCTACGAGGTGGAACTGGGACTGGTGTATTGTGGCGGGGTTGGTGTTGTGTTGATCTTTGGGGCCGTTTTATCATCTAGATGCAATACCCTGTCAATTATATGCCAAGATGTTGGTTTTCTAGTTCATGTTGGTTACTCCATACGAAGAGACTCTAAGCCACGTTTGCCTATGACGCCTAGGCAAGATAATCAATTGGTGTTCGCAACCTTGATCTATATGAAGGAAGTCAAGAATATAACATCAACAACCATATTTGTCCATAATGGCTCTGAAGAAGGGTCCTGCAGAAGTTGTGTTGCGGTCAGACATTCGTCTTGGGAATAAGTAAATACTCTATTCATAATGGAGGGCACAAGTTCTCGCTCAATTGGATCGGCGTCGGGACGCCAGTATGCAATTGTCGATGCAAGGTCATGCTTTGGATCGGGCGTTATCCCCTGATCATACCAGGAATCAAAGCCTCCCGGGTGAGTGTATAAGCCCTTCCAACTTTCAGGCAGTGGACCCAAACATCTGACAATACCAGATATTAATCCACCTTTAAGGTGAGTAGGAGAGGGCGTATAGCCAAGATAAAGCTCAGCGAAAATGATCATGTAGCTCCACATGTCGCAGGCAAAACTTGAATCTTCCTTATGAAGTCGATCAGGGGAGCAGAATTGCATAGGCAGATAGCCACGTGGAGTCACAAGGTCGCCGAGATGCATCGCCAGACCGAAGTCACTGAAATAGAACTTCTCTGTGCGTAGATTGTCAGGGTCCTCAATGGGCCGAACAAGCTCTCCCTGCTTCCAGAGCTCCACATAGGGTATGATTCGCTTTAGTGGCCGGCCAGGCGCATCGTATTTGGCACTTCTGTCGAGATTATGGAGAGGAACCATCCCAAACATACAGTTCCTCTCGTTCAAATCTGGCGAATATTCATTAGATGCGGGTCTAGTTGAAGACAGACTTCACTCACCACGGTGTACAATACCGGCTTTGTGTAAACTTTCCAAAGCTTCTAGCGGTTGCCGAGCAGCAGACATTCGCGCCGCGCCATGGGCATATTTGTCAGGATAACAGGGTAAAGGCAAGGGAAACACTAGAACTCTATGATAAAAATTGTTTCCAGGAAGTGGAAACGTCGCCGAATACATCACAAGGAGACAGGTATCCTGGATGTTCTGGATGATTTTGTCCTGCATACGGATTTCGGTTTCTCCCCATTCTCCCGAAGACATCACTTTGAGGGCTACATCCTTCTTGTCGTGGAGGTCACGGGCCATCCAGACTGTGAAGAAGCCCCCCGAGCCGATCTTAGTGTTCTATCAGGTTTCTTTCATTGAACTGATATTGCATTGCTTGCATTTCTCATCAGTTCATGTACAAATAAGATAGAAGACACGTGAAGTTTCCTTTACGTCGTACTTATGCCAGGGCTCAACAACGTCTTCGAGATCAAGTTTCTCGTCTTCATTGCTCGCAAAGTCGCCAAAGTCTGCCGTGTTATCGCCCTTGGTGTATTGGGGTGCTGCTGCCAATATCCCCATACCTGGCAGCCACTTAGGATCTTGGTGAGTATGTATTCATGTCAGAGAGTGTGATGGTGGGGTGGTTCAGGGAGCAAGACGGGGGTGCTATAGCGGGGTTTGTGGCACAAAGAAGGCAGGAAGTTGTGCGAGGCATAGAGAATCCAGTTACAAAGGTATATATTGCCTCCGTAGTGTTCTGGTATTGATATTGCTTTCTGGTGGGAAAAGTTGTTTCCATGCTCATTTTGCCAGGTTATCTTTGAAGTAGGAAGAAGAGGACGTCGGCAGCTGAACCATGCGGTCTTGTCTCAAAGAACGAATCGTTCGTAACTTGGAAGATTTCGAGAAGAATAAACTCAAAGAAGCATTTGGGACAAGAGTAAGCGCCCCAATCAAGAGAGGGATTCACTAGACCAAGACCATGATATCACTGTTCTCGCTCATGTCCTTTCATAAAGTCGTCATCTAGAGCACTCATCGTCTATAAATTTGAACTTCCGCTGTTAATAAAGAAGCTGGACAGCTGATGCTCAGTGTAGGCCCTCGTTAAAAGCCCCAAGCATGTGCGTCCTCTCATCTTCTGTAGACGACGGTTTGCTTAGGCAGTGGGGTCCCAATTTATGCCACTGCATACAACAGTGGATGATCCCTGTGTATAGCCCGATTGCACATGTAGCATCGGTTATATGTTGAAACTCAATTCTTACAAAGCGGGAGGCCCATTTAAAATTTGCCATGAGCCGAAATAGGTTGACGACAATGAAGAAGACGCCCCCAGCCATGAGGGAGATAGCTCCATTCTATTGCCAATCAGCATTCGAACGGTCTAATAGCAAAAACATGCGACGACCTACCTTGCAAGAGAGTCTTAGATCTTTTTGTTTCCAGACCACCATGACCATCTCGAACATGATCTCCAGGGAGACGGTCGAAAAGAGAACAGATCCTGCGATATAGAAGTTAAGGAGGCTGCTGTCTCTTTTCACCTCGGGGATAACGAGCAACAGAACAGAAACAATGAATAAGATGACCAAAATGCCCCTTGCACGTTCAACGCAAGGACAGACTTGGTGGCCCTATTGCGGCGCGGTGAACTGGCGGCATTGTAAGCGCGTATAAGCCGATATAGTACATTCGCAATAAGAATAACGTGGAGATACCAGCAAATATTTCCAACTATTGCCATGGCGCGACGGTTTCCCGGCAGTTTTCTCTCGGGGAACAGAACGCGTAATGAATCAGACAGAAGAAGCGATATAGATCTGTGCTGAATCATTAATGAAGAAGGTTCTTGGTCGGTATGCGAATGTCATGATCATGGAGATACTCACATTATATGACTTAAAAGGCAGATGAAAAGGGATTTGAATGGAATCGCGTTCGGATGATGTCTCGGTCTTCTGATCAGACATGAACTGCTGAGAAATGCAAGCAATGCAATTTCAGTCACCATATCAAAAGTAATAGCGACAATGTCCGCGATTCTTCTTTCCGGTGACGCATATCTCAGTTGAAGACTCGCTGAAGGCATGTTGTGCGGTGAATATGGTAAGGCCGAGGTGATGAAGCGTGCACTCTGTTACGGGTGAAGTTGGCTTCTCAAGCTCTCTTATGAAAAAGTTCTCTATAAGGGAAAGAGAAAAGGGCAGATAGTCCCAGCAGCCCAATATACATAAAGATCTGTTTTAGGGCGAAGAGAGCTTGGTGGAACGCAACTATTGCCCGGCCATATGCAGTGTTTTTCGACGGCTTTGGGGAATGAAGCGGCAAGGCTGTCACTGCTAGATTATGTATCTATGGCTAGCACCAAGTTCATGCTAACTGATCGACAGTCAGGAATATTGGTCACTTTATCCATGCGGGTCATGGACCTTGGTGTGCGACGCTGAAGGGGCCACAACGCCATGTTCCATGTCCCTTGCCTTGGATGTGTAACAATCTGGCATACATGATGAGAGACAGCATAGGCAAGACAACCCCATAAGCGCCCTCGGGGATCCCCACTCATCAAGATCGGGTCCTACCCCGAATAATCGCAGTTTACGTCGAGCAACAGTTCTGGGAACAGAAACGAGCCTTGTTCTACACACCTGCTTACTGCCTGGGACTCAGCCACGCTGCATTCCTGGCACCGCCAGTTGCCTTGCGTTGCCAAGGAGCAAAAGCATTACAGTATTTCGACCAATGACCGTAGATCAGCGAGCGAATCAGCGTTAATTGTGCCCGACCTATCTGTCCAATGATGTCTGAGTCTCAAAAAAGCAATATGATCTGTCTCTTGCTGTTTCTAACCGCAGGCTCCCTGCTCCGCTCTCTGCTTTACTATTCTGAACTCCATCCTCGCCAGTTACTACCTACACCGATTTTGAACTCTTTCAGTTCACTATGGTAGAATCTGGGCAGGTATACCCATCTCCTACATACTCCCACTCAACTCTCTATCAGAGTAACATCGCAAGGATCCTCAGCCCAAACGCCACGGAGGCGGATACGTCCCGCCAGGAGGGAAATATCAACCTCGACGCCAGTCAATTCTGTTGGAAACACCAGCGCTTCGACCGAGTTGTCTATGAATTCTACCGTCTCTCGACAAACCAGGACTTTGCCCTTCGAGCGTGGTGGCCACGGCGGAAGCTATGTTCCTCCTAAGGGCAAAGAGACACCTAGGGCTAGCTCGTAACAACGGGGTCGCCCAGGAGGGAGCAAGCAGGTTTTTGCGTGCGAGACTATACTGGAATGCGCTGCTTGGGACTCAGCTGCTCTATTACCAAGCATCTCTGATCAAGGCTTAGTTATAAAGGATTTGTTCTATTCACCTGGGTGAATTCATGAAAAGAGCATGCCAATATCTACCATGATGTCTGACCCAAAGACACACTCCCATACAGTCTACTTCCGAATGGCACGACAGCTCGAGCCTGGAAGCATAAGGTGATTGACTATATGATATATATCACGAAAGTAACTATTGCAGGGGTTATAGGTGCCGTGCTTTACTGGTATAGATGTGTGCAATGTTACTTTCACAGGTACTTATATTCCATCTGTCAAGGATGCCTGCGGTGGCCTGGCGCGAAAGCACATGACATAAGAGGGGAAGACTAACTATTTAAAAGTATCAACACGGACAAACTCCCCCACATAACCAAAAACTTCCACTGCGTCAACGTCGAATGCCAGACTGATGTCGCCTTTTTCATATGCTGTGAAGAGGCCAGTCGAGTCCGACTGCAATGCCAGAGTAATGACGCCCAGGACATCATCCTTGACCGAGACTTCCAATCTACTGTCTGTTGTAGAGAGATCTGGGTTGATCTGCGACGTCTCCTCAGAGTTATAGAACACTCTGGGAACTGGCGCAAGCTGGAAAATGAGATTTGACTTGGCAACGCCGCTGAGTGAGGAGCCTTTCGGAAAGTATGCGCCAAAGATGACAGATTCCGATGCACTCTTGCCTGACACAAGCATAATTTTTGCTGTGCTGATCAGGGACATGCAAGTGGCTACCTGCCGAATATCTATATCCCGAGAAGAATACAGTCTCTTTTGTGCTTCGATGGGAAAGTCCTGGGGCAAGGCCATTGATAGCTGACTTAGGAGTGGGAGATTAGTGATCAACCCCTCTGGAGGAGGCTGTGTCTTGATTGAAGGAGCAAACAGTTCCCTAAGCAGAATCTGTGCGTCTCCAACAGATGATGGGGGTTTCGCAGACGGCAAGGGTTTGATCGAGTGTAAAGGCCCCAAGACTCGGGGCAGTCCCAAGAAGAGGTTTTGCTGATGCGTGTTAGCATATAATCTTTTTGTCAAACAGAGCAGTTTGATACGCACAAGTGACCTGTCAAGTACTTGGTCAAAAGTAGCGAACGACACACCAGTAGCATCCGCTGCACTTCGGTCGTCAAATGCGGCCAACAGGCGGTCTGTCACAGTTTCAACCTGTGACAGACATGAGGTGAATTCATCTGGTTCAATACCGGCCACATGCAACTGCGTCAGAAGCATCAGGCGGAGCAAAGGTCTAAAATCCTTCAACGGGATCAATCCATTCGTCAACGTTGAGTTGGACGACGGAAAATGTTCAGCCGGAGGATACTCAGGCCCTTTGGTCACAGCGGTCGGAAACCATGGATTGCGCCTGAAATTACCATACGTGATCAGATCGAGCGCTTTCTGAAGATGAAAGTCATCCTCCACCTTGCGATGATCTGGAGTAGTGGCCTGCATGTCTGCCATGCTCTGAAACAGTAAGGTGCGTTGTGCGGCATTGAGACGATCAGGGTAGATGAGTGACGCTTTGCCGTCATCTTGTTCAAGAAGCTTGCCTCCATTCAATCTTAGCAGCATAATCAGTCCTGTGCGCAGGACGTCCTGCGACATAATACCGTGTGGATCGTTGTGGTACGGAAACGATCCAAGTCGCAGGAGGCAGCGATGTAGAATTGGGGCAGCTTCACGGATACACGCTGCCAACTCTGGAGGAAAGGTGCTGATCATGAATTCCTGCAGGTCTGACACCGTCCAGACTATAGAATGTTACTCCCATGAAGTGGATCAACAGTGCACTCAGACGTACATTTCTCCGATTCTGACTCGGTACAGAAGATCTGGAAAATGGTTTGAAACCATTCATGCTTAGCATCACCCAGACAATCTTTCCAAAGACACCATTTAAGTCTCTCGTAAAGTTCCTCTGGAGACGGTCAGTATTCGCCGCCACAAAGAGATGGATAGAGTCCGCCCAACCCCGGGTTTGCACTGGCGGGAGAAACTCCTCAGGAGATTCTTTGGTTGCAGTCTGACCCATGGCTCAGGTTCGACAGAAATCTGAAAAGAGTTCTAAGTTTTCTAATTTGGAATTTTTGATGAAAACGAGATGGAAGTCAATGGAGAAATCTGGGGTATCGAGAGAAGAGAGGGGAATGATGATTGATGGCATTTAGCAAGGATGAAACCAGCAGATCAGGTGACCGGACAATGACGAAGTGAAGTTGGTCGAGTCTGCCTTGTCTTGACATCTGCGTCCACTCTCTGAGCTATTTTCTTCGCTCTTGGGGGGAAAAACCAACGTCAGAAGATCCCTGCTGCGGAGCAATTCTGGCCCCATCAACCAACTGAGGCGTCGTTGGCTCTCAATACCACTGAGGCATCCAACATCTCCAACCTGGTCAATCTGTCCGTGGAAAACGATCACCAAAAGACAACCAACATGTTGCAATCTGCGATGACGGGGCGATGCGGCTGTGATGTTTCAAGTGTGGAGGCCATGTTCTCGCAAAGTTGGATGTGTTGAGACACCAACCGATCATATGATATCAATTTAAACCTCTCTCTTCTCCTCCGGCACTGAGCATTATCCATCATCTCATTCTCTGATTCACAAGGTTCTACAACATAACTGCTATACAGGATGCGTCTCCACCTGTTCTCGTTCATCTACGTGGCCATCTTTGTCTCTATCGTCAGTGCAACAGGTTGCAGCAAATGCCTCAATCAGAACGAGGACAATATCCGTCTCGGCTGCTTCAACAAATGCAAAGAGGCCTTCAATCCCAGCAGCAGCGAGTACCATGCCTGTCGCGAACAGTGCACCGAGTTTGTCTTTCAGGATCACTGCTGCACGTCTTCCTGCAGCAGCAAATCCAACGTCTGTCTGAATGACTACTTCCACCGCGTGGGCCTGACTAAGCGCGACTCGCTGGATGAGGAAGCCTATTATCGATCTCAGCTGGATGCGATACGAGAAAATCCAGATCTACTCGACAAACGAGCGCTGCTGGTCGGTGATGCTCCGTACCATCTGATCCGGAGTACCGAGGACCTGCACTCGCTGAATCATCCGGACTTCAGTGAGACGATCGTGTACGATATGTTCGAGCATAATGTCGCAGGGGCTTTGGGTCGTCGGATTGACCAGGGCCAAACCTGTTGCTGGGTCGCGGGGGCGGTGCTGCAAAGGGGCATCACTGAGATAGGGGCAGGATGGACAAGTAATGACTGGACGGACGAGCAGCGCCAGGGTCTGGTGCTCGTCAGTTTTGGCGTTGCGGCAGCTTACGCTTGCAACCTTGTTTACAATGTGCAGTGTCTCTTGTTCAATGCCAGGCCTGCGCCGCAAGTTTGAAGGGAAGGCAGTTCAGGTGATCTGGTGAGGGATCTTGGTTGGTTTCATGTTGCGGTTGCATTTGATAGGTTATATTTTCTTGGTTATTTATTATTGTGGCTGTACTTGTGTCATGATCACCACTGTTGCCTTGTAAGAAATTAACATCTGACCTTGCTAAGCTATATATTAAGCCCCGCCACCCCATCTTAGCGCTTTTGCTCCATTACTTCTTTTATCATTTTTCCTTCCTCGGTCTCAGAGGGTTCAAGCTAGCTTTCATACCTCGCTTCCAATTGACAAAGCATTTGGGCTTTACCATGGACCAAGAATCCTCGACACCACTCTATCTTCGACGGGCTCTAGCAATCGGCCTGGCGCTCACTGCACTCCGTCAAATCAAATCCCTCCGTCTATCCTATCTGTTTCCATTCTCGAATCCCGTCGCCGATGAAGTCGATAAAATGTTCGCTTTCGCGGTGAATACAAGCACATTGTTCTTCGCATGGTGTATCGCCGAGCCTTCTATCACCCCCCTCTTCCGATAACGAATCTGAACGTATTGCGCTATACCCTGGCCGGTCTTATTCTTTCTCTCACCGTATGCGGCGATAGCCCCCTCAAGCGCCTTCTTGCCGGACTCGCGCTCGGGGCATGTTGGATCCTTGGATGGACGATCACCTCTGTCGAGCAGCGGGCGGCCTATTGGCGGTTCATGAGAGACGGGCTAGGTTTCACGCTAATTAATCTGTGGCGGAAGGCCACTCTTTAGAGGCTCGTTCTGTTTTGACGGTGTTCTTGGCGATGCATGTCGAGGCGGCTGTGTCAATTCCGTTGGACTTTTTGTTAGTTGGTTGGTTGGAGAGTTATTTTTGGCCAAAATGGTGACGTTGTTGGCTTTGGCGCCGGGTATTTGTCTTGTAGGCGGTTGCGCAGATCAGTCATTATGCCAGTCAGCTACCAAGCTTGCTCTTTCTCTCTTCCTCTCTCTAAGAGAGGTATATCAAGTCTCCAGATAGTATACTGTATTGAGGTTAGCAGTTCTTGAACTTTTGTTCTTTCCATAGGTGCCGAACTGAACCGCCAAAATGAGAACCAATCAACCCGGGTCAGATATGGATTTGCGGATTGGGTTAAACAGTCTAAATATATGGACCCATCATAGTGTCCATGTTGACATATCCATCGTAATCATGACTCCTAACCCACGCCAGGTTCCATGAATTGTACTGGGTATCTTGCAATACATCCTTGTCGGTGCTTTCCTCCAATCGTCCCAATCTACGATGTAGCTGTTACTGTGTGAACTGGGCGACATCTATATCGTAGCAAAAGGGAAATGAAGGGTTTACTTACCATTACTGGTTTTCATGATTCCAAACAAGATTTCGGATACCACAGCCTTCGTGGACGATGCCATAGGAGACGTATTCTCTTCCATGCTGTCAGCTATGTATCCCGTGTTTCTCTCCTCCTCAAGGGCGTTGCCATAATCTCATCAATCAAAGTCGAAACTTACATCCATGGTTTCTTGAACGATTCCCGAAGTTGATCACGTCCTGCTCTGCTCATGCGGCCGGACCAATACCCAGGGGTTTCTCCGGCGATTTTCTCCATCAGGCTGTAGTCGATATATCCGCCTGGTGCCTAGTCCTCATCGCCTTGGGTTTCGGATTCAATGCGAACAATTTCGCCGTTGATGAACAACCAGCTTAGGTGAGGTAATCGAAGGCACTGAGCTCTCGTCGTGAAGGTGCCCTCATGTCCGGATCTGCATGTTGCGCCCTGACTTGGCGAGACTTGAAGGTCGTATTGAAGTACGGTATCCTAAATGAACTCAGAAGATAAGAGTATTACAATGAGACAAGGAACATACTGCATCCGAGCCTTAACAACGGCTTCTTGACTTGGGGCATCGATGTTTGAACACACAAAGATGCTACCGGCCTCGGAGGGCATCATGCACTTCTTGACGTCAGCTTCGGTGGCCAGGTCTTCATTCTCTGCAAGCTTTCGATCGATAATCCATGTTGACGGCTGAGGATCCGTAGACATAAGACAGGCGATCCACTTATCCTCATCGAACCAAGTGATTCCCGAACGAGTGTTGTCCATCACTGTCACGGGGAATCGACTTGACAGCGACAGTGGAACGTTTACGTTCAGCTCATAAAAAGATGGTTTACGAGTTCTGCGTCCTTGCATGCTCGACGGGGACTCCTCATAACTTCCAAAAAGTGGCTTAGCGTGTTTCTGCCTGGGTCATGAGAATCCAAGCAAAAACATTTCAACACTTTGCACCAACTGTTAAGTATAGAGAGGGTAGGTAGAGGTGAGAAGTATTCATCCAGCAGAGCGAGCAGCAAGTCAAAATCTTGATTGGTACGGATATGAAGATTCAGTAACAAAACAGACAGCAAAGACATCACATTCCACATGCACTCAATTCTAAATACCCAGGAATCCAACAATACATCAATATCATCGCAATGTACGAATACTGAACACTCAGTGGATATCGTCCCACACCTCGGTGGTGTAAACCATGCAGTTGTTCCAGACGATATTGTAACTAGGGTGATCGCGAGCGTACTTCAGACCTGCAAAAGTCAGGTACCTACAGAAAGCCACGTCAGGAAACAGTCCAGTAGACATACCTTGGTTCTCGATATACGCATCCGTCGCCGTGGTTTCCCCGAGATACTCGTACTTATTGTCCTTGCTAACGCGCACCCATTCTTTCTTCTTGTAGTTGAAATAGTGGTTCGCCCACCAATTCTCGGTCACCTGAGACTCTACCTTTCCACCGACGGGGGTCTGCCCGAGCTTCGTCTCTGCCTCGTCGCTGATCATCTCGAAGGCTTTGCCGGAGAAAGCCTGCCGTCCAGAGCGCGTGTTAAGGTTGAAGAACTGGCCGACGATGAGCCGGACGTGCGAGTAGTCGGGCAGACATCTGTATTCGCCGTAGACGGGGGCCCATTTCTCGCGAAAGGCGTAGCGTTTGCCGTGCTCGAGCTGGACGCCCTTCTCGGCTGCAGCTAGGGTCACGGCCTCGTAGTTGTCTTTGTCGACCTGTTCTTGATTGGGGAACCTGTCTGGGTGCTGTTCTGCGACGCAGAGGCTGAAGATGGCAAATAGGAGGATAAGGATGGAACTGAAGGCTTTCATTGTAAGGTTTGATACTGAGGTCTGATTTAGATGTGGTTTGTGAAAATGATAGGAGTAAGGGCTTAATGTTGTTCGACTCGTCGTGGATTCTCAATTACAACTGAATTCTATCCCTTTTTATAAAGCTCCAGACTATGAGTCTTCTACGACTCTATACATCTACATTATTCCCGCCCCCAATGCCATGTTGCATGGAAGGAAAAGAGGTCTTTGCAAGGCGCTGTTTTTACTCCCAACAGCAGCTGATTCATGGGTTGCAGCAATGCCACCGGTTGGTTATTGACTGCAATGTAAACCAACTTTACCCCACAAAAGCCCTAGCGTTAAGGGGCCACATAAAAGGCAAAAAACAAGGCTGTTCCATAGGTGGACAGGGTCTATATCCCTGCCAAGACCAACATGTTGGAGTCTTCTCCAGCGGCCCTGGCCAAAAGGCTGGGGAGGCTTAGGGCTTGGCTGTTGGATGGGGCAGCGATGAGCCGCGTCTCATCCCTATGGTTGTTTCACATTAACGCGGCATCTGCTTGAGATCTTCGGGAGAGGCGATGCTACCGGGTGTCATACAGAATACTTGCATTTGAACATTCTATAACATCCCGCAGGGTCAATACCATGCAGTAGATATGAAACTCGCCGCCCCCAACAAAGGATTCCTTGTTGGTCCATGCGTTCATGCGATAGCCCTATTTATGAGCCTCTTCTCAGACAGCCTTGCTATCTTTATTCCGCTGTGAGTTGACCTAATGTTGGTTGATCTCCAGCAATAGATCATCTGTAGGAGATGTGAGTATGCCTCGCTGTAGCCCCCAACACCAACAACCAGAGTCTGAAGATCGACTTCGCCATCAGTCGAGGGAATTTTGCTTGCCTTGCGGTATCGATTGAGGACATGGATGGCGTCGCAATGAAGACGTGGAGACGAAGGGACTGAGTTGGTTGGGAAATGGCTGTGCACCGTGGAGACACTTCAAGGCATCATCTCAAGCATTTCCTTCAGTGGAAGTCAATGAAAGTGAAAGATATAAAGCCCATGGCATTTCCCGGTCCTCTGGCATAATCATCAACAACAGCAACATCACAAATCCAGAACAGCAACTCAAACAATCATCTTTGATCGCTTCTAAGATACTCATCAATACAATGCATTTCTCCAAGATTGCCATCTCCCTTGGCCTCCTGGCCACCGCCGCGACTGCTGCTCCCAGATCCTTCGAGGAGCGCTCTCCTATCGTTGTGCGAGATATCGTCGACCTCGGCGTGACTCCTCTGGGCGCCGGAGACCTCGAAAAGCGCGACATCATCGACCTCGGCGTCACCAACGACGGATTCGATGACCTCGAAAAGCGTGGAAAGAGCAACTACATTTCCAGCTGCGGTAAGAACTGGATGCCCATCGAGGATGACAAGAGCAAGAGCCACTCCGGCTACCGGTCGGCCGTCGAGCAGTATTGCTACCATGTCACCCATAGCCAGGACGGGCTGCCAACTGTCATTGGAGCGGGACAGAAGCATGCAGCGATTGTCAAGAACGGATACTACCTCAAGGGGGATGTTCCCGCTGCTGTGGACTGTGAGTGCCGTTGATCCGAGTTACAGTGATACTGGCTGACTGGGATATAGTTGAAATCCACAACAAGATGAAGGACGGAGATCACACTCCCAACCAGGCCGACTGCGAGACATACCTCATGAAGATGGCCGATTCCAGCTCCAAATGCTACGGCAGCAAGAACAAGGATACCAAGGGCGGAACCTGGCAGATTGGCGACAACGATGTCAGCTACCACGCCCTTCCCAACCCCAACTCTACTTAGATGAATCCATCGTGAGACGGAGAGGACTCGAATCAATGACTGTTAGATTGCTTGATTGTTGTTCCTGCTTTACTGATATTCTGTTACATCTCTTGATTGCCTTGTTTCGAGTTTTGTCTAATTTCAGTTTCCAAATGAATATCGTTGCTCTTCTATGAATACAACGTCATATCCGCATAAGAATCACACCCATAGCCATACGTCACCCGTATATATTCAGCTATAGTACTACGAGAAACCAGGATGTCCAACCTCCGCCAAAGCCTGCTTCACCACCTGCTCAAGATTCCTCTCCGGCAGCCCTAGCTCCTTGTTTCTGATATGCCTGACGGGCTCAAAGTGGCCACTGTAGGGCCCCTTGGTAAATCCGATATTGATTAGGCCATATCCTGCAGACGCTTCACCATCTCCCCACGCCTCCTTCAAAGCAGGAATAGCCTCCTCGGTGCTGATCGACTTGCGCTCCCACTTCTCGCCAGTAACTCGCTCAATAGTCGCAACAAGCTCCTTCTGCGTAGTGGCAAAGTCACTCGTGAAGACAATTTGGTTAGCCGTCATGCGAGGATTGAGGAGGACGCGATTCAGCGCAAGAGCCGTGTTATCCAGCGTGGTAGTCGAAAAGTAACCCTCGCCGTCGTCGGTGAAGGTGATGCTCCTATTGGGATAGTTTAATCCGAGGAAGTTATTGCGCAGGGACCTTTCCACAGTCAGTCATCAGCCTCACTTATTTATGTGTAGATGAAGAGCCAATACCATCCTATCCACATGCCGCACGCGATAGCCGTCCAGGTTAATCCACTCGACTCCTTACTACGCAAATACTGCTGCACCATTCCCTTGTCTTTGAATACAGGGGATAGTTTCTGCGCCTCGGGGTTATTGTTGTCGAGCCCATACTCGGATGGCACATAACGCTTGACACCCGCGGCGATCGCGGCGTCGATGAACTTGTGCTGCTCGGCGACGGAGAAACTGGTGATTGCGTTCACGACTGCATCTTGGCCCGTGAAGGCCTTGACGAGGTCCTCAAGAGGGTAGGAGTCGGCGATGGTAATTATAGACGCGGTGGAAGGAATACTGCCGCGTGCCTTGGATGATTCTCTAGTGAGAACTGTGACGTTGAACCTGGGTTCGGACAGAAGAGACTTCAGAAGGACACTTCCGAGGGAGCCACCACCCTGCGCGTTGGATTAGCTGGGTACCTCTAGTAGACATGCGTTGACTTACTCCGACCAGGATTATATTTTTGTATGCGTCTGTAGCCATGATATGGTGGGGGCCCTATAGTTTTGGGGAATACAGATTGTGTTTGGAATTCCATCAGTCATTTTCCATCTGGTTTTATATTGTCCCTTTGGTGATCAGCTTGGCATTTGTTCAGTAATCAGTATACCCTAGCTTGAATAATTGGGGTATCCTAGTCGCTTTAGCTGAGAATTCGGCTTGATCACTAATATACTCCCATCAGCAATGATATCTCTGCGCCAGTGGTATCCATCAGGTGGCAAGGGTCTAGTGGTTATAGGCATCTAGTATTGTTTGTTTCTGATCCTCAGACATTGACCCAATCAAACCTTCCTATCAAGAGCGGCACTACCTACGAATGTATCACTAGCCTCAGCCGTGCGAAAGTCCTAACAGATAAACTGTATTGGAGCTAATTTAGTGCATCAGAGACTGGAACCCACTATCTTCACAAATGCTAGTCCACAGATCGACGTAAAGACGGAGACCTTGATTAAAACCTGAAGGATTGGAGGGGCACGGAACGGGGTATGACAATCCGTGCATAGTCAGCGAGGGTCTTCCAGTCCGCCCCATGTCGACTAGGAATAACTATTCATGCATGGACTGACTCGATGATTCCTCCTGCTGCAGATGACCAGGATGATACTGATTGCGGTAGACGGATGCGACATGGCCGCTGCCTAAAATGGACATGCGACTGCCAATTTGGGAAGGCCCTAGGGATTTTCTATCTGGCCAATGAACAGGCCCTAACGTGGGCATTTCCCCACTGGCCCACTCACTCTAATCCTGATAAGGTTGCGCGACTTCCAGATCGGGGATAGCGATAATGAAGCATTGCTTATCAGATAATCTCATAAGATGCCATTTATTACGGCGGCTGAATCCCTAGCTATCTTCTTGATGACAAGCTAGCAGACTAGTATGTTCTCCAGTGGGGCTCGTAACATAATCATGCCGTTATCTCAAAATCATTGGACCATTCTCTGTTGCCGTCCAGAATTCCGCCCCAGCTAGCGGGTCCCGCTTCTTTACGGCGGAAGCAATAAACTACTTATGCGGTCCCCCATGGTCATGTCGGCGTGAGATGAACCGTGAGGTTGGAGGCGAATTCTGAGACAGTGCATAATAGACAGACAAGGATTCATGGCTCGACAGAATTTAGACTGTGTGCCTGACTCCTCCCCGACACCATGCTATAAAGCATCGGGCTCATCGCCTCAAATAGGCATTTGAAAAGTCGTGGCTGTCTGCTTTGAACTATACCGTGGAGGATCAATTGTGAATCATGGATGCATCCCCGCTTGAAGAACAATCCGACTGTCGGAACACACCCGAACCTTCCCCTCCTATTAAAACCTCCAAGCCTCCCAAACGGGGTCGACCTAGGATAGATCGTCCTGGAGAAACAGCGGGTGAGGTAAGGACTTGTGAACGGCGTCTGTTAGGTCTATGTCTAATTCTCCTCCAGAGACGAAAACAACAGATCCGACTTGCACAACGAGCCTACCGGTTTCGCAAGGATCTCAGAATTACAGAACTAGACCAGGAAGTTGCCAAGCTTGAACAGACCATCCTCGCAATCCGCGACCTCTATCTCAGCGTGCACACTTCTGTCGTGGACTCTGGAATTGGAATGTCCCATCCGTTTCTCGCGCAGTCCATGCAAACGAATCTTCAGCTCTTGCTTTCTCTCACGCAGTCGGTATCGTTTTCGTCCACGTATCAGAGCACAGACGGTTCATGGGACGAGACCTTTCTCAGGCGCAAGCGCCCGCTCCCGTCGCCTCCCGTGTCGAGCCAGAATCCATCGTCCGACTCTGAAACATTGAAGCTTCCTCTCGACAGCACGTCCACAAGTCCGGGAGAAGGCTCGCGCCCGTCGCCGAACCAATTCGTCCTAGATCCGCTTCTGCTCTGTGATGAATACTTCTGGGAGCAACCCGGCATGGGCATGAACAATGATGAGATATCTCTTGGTCATTTGACTTTACAGGAATTCTCTTCGTCTCACTCTTGATCTTGTTCTCTTAGCTACTGCGACAGTGAAATCTGAAACCCTTCATCAAGTAAATCCAATACAGGACATCGTTCATGCATAAAATTCTTGCACCAAACGAAAAGGACGAGCAGGTATCCCACATCACCCAACGTGCCATTATCTCCTTCCTTGCACCTCCCTTTTACATGTTCACGCTAAGTATTGGGTTGATGTAGCGCCAGATTGCCGAATCCCCTTCGTTCTCCATGTCAGGGACTCAGGATGTTCAGCCAGCGCAATATTCCAGGCCTCTTCCCAATCTTTCTCACGAGACGGATCATATAAAAACCGCTGCATTATTCGCCGTACGTGGTTCCAATCACTTGCCGAGTACCTTTGCTGGATTGCCCTCCGCAGCAAATGCCGCTGCTTGTCTCTGGAGATGATCCGGCTGTTTTGTGGTGTCGCAACAACAGTACACATCCATATCACACACTCAGTAAGGAGGGGATCATTCCATACCTCAGCAACGGCTGCTAATACTTCGGCACGTCGCTGAGGCTTACGAAAAATCAACGCTGCCGGATGAGTCCCCATAGCACTGAGGTCATCGGCGAGACATGCCAGGGTGACACATATGCACTTCTCAAGGTTATTTAGATTTCGGGACATGGAGCAACGCCACGTTTGTCGGACTGTGGGCTCGCTTTCCTTGCTTCTAGTAAGCCAGTGTGAAAAGCCCCTGATAATTCCAACCGCCTCTTCTGACAGATAGCGATAACGGGCCAGGTCGCGAAAGCCTGGCGGTAGATCTAGAGCTGTCTCCTCCCGCACCGGCAGAGGAGAAGGCAGCCCCCAGTTGCAAGGGAAGCTTGGCCATTTGTGATTGTTGTCTGGACGTGAAACTCGACCATGCTCTGGGTTACAAGCAGACTCATGCGAAGGTTCCTCCCAAAAGCATTCTCGTCGGAGCTTCCGACGGCATCGAACCCTCCACGGAGCTTGACCACCTCTCGCATCCCATTCAGATGGACCGGACCAAACTCATAATGGCCCAGATAGTCGTCCACCGGAATTAGCAGAGCCATCCCCTGTATCAACACGTCGTCCACTTGCTGCCGGGACAAACGGCTGTGCAGATCGAGCAGGACTTTATTCCGATGGAACATGATGGCACGACTGGTGTTGCCGGTAATGTCCTGACATTCCAGACTGCACAGGGTAAATGCTGACAATCCATGCAGGATTAGATCGTGCTTTGAGGCCCACGAGAGAAGTCCGCGGCCGAATGATCTCGTACCCACTTCTCCCAGTCCAAGAGCCTTTGCGTCGTGAGGGAGAAGGATGTCGAAATCTGACTGATATCAATACCGGTGCCCGCCCTGGAGTCCGAACAGGACGGAGGAATCACTCACAGTAGCTGAGAGCGCGCGCAGTCAACGGACCTCTCGAGGCCAATTCGCCGAACGGGTAGAACCTCCCAGCCCCGACAGGCGTGGGAACAACCAGCGCTTCTGTCGTCGGCTTCCCGGGTGCCTGACCATCGTCTTCTGGCGGCTGGTGCCTTTTATCAATTATTGGCTCTTTTGAATCGGGACGATCTGGAATATGGAGCCACCGCAGGGTCCCCTGCCTCCCCCTGTGCTCGACCTCTTCTGCCCTTCGCTTGTGACTTCTGCTGCTCGCCTCTGTTGCCACAAAAGCATTGATTGCTCGCCGCGTGTTGGTGTCTTTCGTCTTTGATGGTCCGCGATAAGGAATGAACATGGTAGATTGCACTTTGGACCTCACGGTCGCATTACCACACCTGCAGGATACTCTGCTTGGATGGTGCAATAAAACGAACGCAGTGTCCCAGTTGTCTTATATCTCTTTGAGCAAACACGCAGAGATTGTCGAAGGTCTGTCGTCGGGCATGATTATGAATTTGTTGCGTGGCACTTTTCCTCGGCTGCTATTTTTCTCGTGTGGCGCTTATTGTCCCCCACTAGTCCATATGAGCCTTCTGCCATCGTCAACCTGACAATCTCCAGTTGCACCATGGGGACCGTCCCCTGATGCAGAATGTGCATATACTCAATACGGCGCCATTTCTGGAAAGGTCCCCAATATCTGAATTGCCTGCCAAGGAGTGTTCTTGTTTGCCGGTAAATCCGATGGCTTGCATTCGCTGTGTCGCCACTCCGTACTTTGCCTGCATCTGATTACCAATCTGGTAGTTGGATGGCTATAACAGGTTTCCACACTTGTATTTGATCAATAATCATTATGGTTCATGCTTCGGTCTTTGATTCATTGTCATCGGCCTTTGCCTGCGAATCTCTAGCTGCGCGTCTTGGATTTGCGTCAATATGACAAGATCCTGGAACAGACCCCTTGATTTCTAATGGTCAACTCTGGAATAAACAAAGTATTCAATGCTGCCATCATATTCTATTGGTTCCACGATCAAAAAATATTAGCAAATGCACCAAGTCACTCAATGGCCAACTTTGTCGGCAACCGTGGAAGGTATCACAGTTATAGCCACCTCATGTCGACAGATATACATGCAATCATACAGCCAAGTGACACACCATACCCTAGCCCGCATCATCAGAGCACCGCATACACAAATTGAGATCAGCTTCAAGATCTCCAGACGACTGTGTTGCCAATTCCTGCAGATTCTTCGACCTTCTTTTCAACTGCATAGTTACCACTTCCGTCATCGGAGCTGAAGAGATAGCGCTTAAATAACGACATTTCGACTGAAGTATGTCCCATCCGGAACGCTCAATCATGTTAATTCTCCAGCTCCTCTCCTCTGTTGTGAAAATCATTATTTCACCCGTCCACAACACGCTGATGGAATCCTCGCCGTATCGAGTCCGATAGAGCTCCACCAGATCTGGTATCAACGACATATCGAGTGGTCCGAAAAAGTTATACTCACCGTAGAGGTCCCCATCAAAGTCGATATCCGGCTGCTCCTCACAGGTAATATAGAGGTCATACCAAGTCTGGAATGACATATCGAACCACCTAGAATTTGGGTACCCAGTCCCTTGCTCCGCGACGTATAATTCAGGGAACAACACTCTGCCACCAAGCTCGTTTGCCCAGCAATCGATCGTGACTATAACATTGCGACACTCGCCAAGCAGCTTGAATATCTTCTCGATCGTTGGACTGATGTACTCCACCCATTCACCCGTTGGCGACAGATTTTCCCAGTCAAGAGGCCGGTATACATCTAAATCGCGAAGGTCGGTCACCCACCTTTTACCTGGACGTCCATCTTCCAGTATGGGAGCCCATTCCAGACAGCAATAGCATATTTCGATCCTCCTGAGGTTTTTCCGGTTGTGCGGACCGATCATCACAAGCCACTTGTAAAGCGTCTGCCAGTCTTTCTCTCCGAGTTTAATGGAGGCTTCGAATAGGGTGTGGGTGTAGAACACATGCGCAGCTTCAAGATAGACTTGCCTGTTGGTGAGGAACAAGTCCGTTGCGAAATATTTGTAACGAACTGCGGCATGGGGCCTTCTTGTCTCTGTGCCATTCTGCTTGTCATTTGCGCTATTGTTCTTAGACTTTTGTAGCTCAAAGTGTATAGGGATACCAAAATATCTCCAAAAAAGGTGTTTGTAAATCTCGATACGCAACTCCGGCGGAAGATCAAGGAAGCTGATGGGATTACTGATCCCCATGATGAGACTACTCGACGGTCACGCTGCATGGAAGACAGGATAAGCATGTTTGATTGTTGTTACAACGTAAGAAGAGAAGTTCATGTGGTAGTAGGATCTCAAGTAAACCCGTATTTATTACGACATCGTACCAGAGATTGCACATGGCCTTAACCAGCGTCGGACATGCGATTCTGGCTTAGTGAGAAAGGCTACCACGGACAACTTCTCATCTTGATAAGGCTGTGAAAAGTGTAATCTCTATATGCAACACTAGACGGATTATGGATTACACATTAGATCGAAGTTGCGCGAGGTTGTTGGATTTCCGCATACTGGAGGTGAGTGGACTCCAAGGCACTCAATCAACCTCATCGTAGTCCTGCCTGACGACGATAAATACTGTAGCCATTCTTTTCGGGTACGAATTCAGTAGATTTGTTTCTTTAGAATGCCTGTTTTGCATATACTTTATTCACGGATAGAGGGCAATGTCGAGTAATGCACGAAGAATCTAGAATACCGCACATTTATCACATGCTAATACATCATTGGCAGGTATGAGTGGCATCCATCCACATGGTTATTTAACTTGTACGCACACTCTTCATGGATATGGATGACCCATTAGGTGCCCACGAGCTTGGGCCTTTTAGAACTCCTATGCTTACCATGATGGTGGTGGTTAGCAATATATATCACGGCACCACTTTTCATTCTGACCTTCGAGTCTATCTCCTACCCCCTTAATTAGACTTATTTGAGCCTATAAAACTAGTATTATATAAGATCTATATAATTAGTTTTTATATTATTGAAATAAAATATAGAATATCCGGACGGCTTTAGGTGATCAGATAGACTGTGGTCAGGTGGCTACTGGAGCGTGATGTTTTGGTCCTTTGGGCGAGCGAGAGCCTAGCATGTACTTCGTAGACTCCTTTGGATCTTCATAACAGGAGAATTTTTTCTTTATATCCTCAGCGGACAGATAAAGCCAATAACGAGCCATCTTCTGTGTGCTATTTGTTTGTTCCAAGAAAAACCATGAGAAAATCATCCTTTTTGCCCCCTGGGCCCTTACTCTCGTCTAGATGTTTTCCTCACCGTGGTCTTGTTTCTAAGAAGGCAAACCAGCCGTACAATGATCCCTACCATGAATCAGGCTTTTCCAGCTTGATGTTGCCAGAGCGATAGCAGCCCAGTTTGTGATTGCTGTTCAATATATTCATTCACAAAAACTCGTCCATGGAGACCTCCATCGCGGAAACATTCTCCTCCGACTGTCCCGTGAATTCGATGACTTATCCACTGAAGAATTGTACGAGCAGTATGGGGAGCCGATACGCGAGCCAGTCAATCGATCTAATGGCCAAAAGCTCCCGGCAGGTATCCCGCAATATGGTATATTTCCTGTCTGGCTGGGGAAGCAAGTTGAAAACATCGCACTTCCAGAAGCCAGGATCATCCTTTCGGACTTTGGTGAGGCATTCTGTCCGGCGCAAGAAAAGAAATTTGAGTCCCGTACGCCTCTCCTGATCCGTCCTCCAGACGCCTGGTTTGAGCCAACTAAGCCTCCGGACTTTTCATCCGATATCTGGACACTTGCCCGCACCATCTTTGATATCGTTGCCCAAAGGCCAGCAAATTGACGCACTTGGCCCGTTGCCGACTGAATGGTGGAAAAAAACCGAGGCAGGTCGAGACAAATTCACCGAGAATGGAGAGCCAAATAACCGATCTGCATAAGAATCATGGGAGGATCACTGTGAGACAAGCGTGCAGCGAGCACGTATAAAGTAGGGAATGCCGGCTCTTGACTCAAGCGAACGAGATTCTCTTTCCTCCATGTTGCGGTCAATGCTTTCCTTTATGTCCGAAGGATCGTCCTTCTGCGCGACAAGTTCTTGAATCTCAGTGGATGGTGAAAATGGGCCCTACCTGAGTATGAGAAGTCGCACAACACTGAACAATAGCAGGATGTGCATGGCCTGAATATTCTGGTTTACTAAACCCATCATTGTAAGCCCACATTATCTAAGACGCTGGGATCATTTTCCGAGCACAGTCAGCATGCCAATAGCATCCTAACGCATTGCCTGCCTATCACTCTTGCACCTGATCTAGCCAGCTTTGAGCCCATGCTGCATTCTAGTGAGATATTTGCCAAGTCTGACCTGCCCAAGCTCCAAACCCGCAATCTACCTTCTGTCCTTTCAGCCGCTGATGCTCGACTTCCTCAGGATGCAATAATGCACCTATCAGGCTGACGGTAAGACCGTTGGGGTGTCAGCTTACGGGGCAGTGCTGATATCAGCGGCACGGAATTGCGGAGATAGCCCCAGATGCGACTAGCTTATAAGCCCGGTATCCAAATCCTCGATCCTTTGGCTTATTAACGATAGGGCCTTTCCCCAGGGCCATTGGAACAAGGGAAGTGATATATAAATGTGGCATTCTTATCTTGATGCAGCATACAACTCATACCTCAATTATCTCGTCCAACTGAGACTATCATGTCAACTATCGACAAAGTCGCCATCATCGGCGCCGGCCTCTCAGGCCTAGCCCTCGCTCTAGCCCTCCACAAGCAATCCATCCCTTGCTCCCTCTACGAAGCCCGCTCAGCCCCCTCGATATCGGTGGCGCCATCATGATCTCCCCAAACGCCCTGCGCATCCTCGACCAGCTAGGCGTCTACGGGCGCATCCGCCCAGAAGGCTACGAGTTCGACAAACTCTACTTCCGCTCCCCGGACGATCAGCCAATGGACACCTTCGATTTCGGAGGCACAGAGAAATACGAATACCGCGGCATGCGCATCTACCGGCACGTTCTCATCCGGGAACTCTCCGCCATGGTCAACGAAGCGGGCATCCCCATCAACTACCACAAGAAATTCGTCGGAGTACTCGCAGAGACAGGGGAGGATATCACCTTTGAATTCGCCGACGGCAGCAGCGAAACAGCAACTTGCCTCGTCGGCGCGGACGGCATCCACTCCCGCGTCCGGAAGTACCTCTATCCAGACCTAGAACCCATCTTCACTAACATCGTCGCCGTAACCGCCGCCGTACCGACAGCCCAGCTCCAGATCCCGGACGGGTATTGCCTCCCGGTGACGATCCTGAACAGAACGCATGGGGCATTCGTCATCGCGCCGCAGTTGGCCGATGGCTCGGAGGTTCTCATCGGGCGCCAGAAGCGGGCGCAGCAGTTGAGTCGAGAGGGGTGGGACGAGCTCCTAAGTAATAAGGACTGGTGCGTGGATTTCCTGCGGGAAGGCGCGGACTCGTTTCCGGAGATCGTGCAGCGGGCTGTGGCGGATATCACGACGGACAAGATCAATCTTTGGCCGTTTTATGTTGTGCCGAAGCTTGGGACGTGGAGCTCGAGCCATTGCAGGGTGGTGATATTGGGGGATGCGGCGCATGCGATTCCGCCGTCGGCGGGGCAGGGGATTAATCAGGCGTTTGAGGACGTGTTCACGTATGCTTTGATCCTGGGACGGTCGGATAAGGGGTCTCTTCAGCGGGCTCTGAAGATTTGGCAGGAGGGACGGCAGCAGAGGGTGGATAAGGTGCTGGCGCTGAATGCGCAGATTGATAAACGGAGGATGCCAACGATGGGGGAGGAGGCAGAGAATAAGCCGTTTGATTTGGAGTGGTTGTATAAGCCGGATTTTGTGGAAATGGTGGACAGCTGGCTTTCCAAGATGCCATCTGATGGTAATTATATTGCATAGATACAGCTAATCATTACAATGCAATCATTTCCCTCCTCAGTTGAATATAGACATAACCCCTGAAAAGACATTACTCAACAACCTCAAACCGGACAGACCGGTCTACACCAAACGTATCCCTCCAATCATCCCACAACTTCTCCAACGCCTTGATATACTCCCCTTGCAACTGATCAATATACTTCTGATCCGGATCCCACCGCTGCTGCGTCACCGCAATCGGCTTCCCAACAACAACATCCACCGGCCGCCGATACGGACAGAAGATATTGAATCTTCCCGTGGAAAACGCAACCTTGTGTCCAACAGCCCATTCCCACACGCGAGCCACAAGCCCCGGCACAGACGACGAGGACACATCCACACGACCAAACAACTCATTCTCCCCGAAAGCAATAACAGGGACGAGATCCGCCCCCGTCTCAACCGCCACCCGGACAAACCCCTTGCGAATGCGGACGACCACCTCCATTGTCCCCGGTCGGGCAATGTTATACTCGCGGCTCCCGCCGACGGTGATGGTAATCGCGCGGCCCATACCTTGCCCATCGTGCCCGCCTCGCGTCAGGTGTCGGATACACGATGAGCGGGACACGCCGCTCACGCCGGTGGAGAGGAGGTATTCCCTGTAGAGGGGCTGATAGAACGCCTCGTCTTTCATTAGTAGCGTGTTCGTGATGCCTGGGAAGAGCTCGGAGAATCCGGCAACGTCGGCTGCTAGGGTCCCGACTGCGCCTCGGAGGGCGATACCGTGAGGATGGTAGCCGAAGATGTACTTTTTGCGAGGGGAGAGGGGTGCCGAGCGGTAGAGGCGGAGGGGGAAGTAGGAGGTGTAGGCCTTCCAGATCCAGGATTTGCGGAAACGGTCGTTGCGGAGAGAGAGTGTGCCGGTTTTGTGTGCTTTGGCGAGGTATTTGATGTAGAGGATGTAGAGGAGGGCGAATAGACGCAGGCGAGGGACGAGGAGAAGGGAGTATCCAATAATTGGGAAAAGAAACCAGGCGTTGCATAGTGTAGTCACGACGAGGGTTTCTTTGATATCTCGGAGGATGGGGACTCGGGCAGCTTTGCTCTTGGTTTCAGGGGGCTGCGCGGTTTGGAGCACCATCCCTGTACGGTTCTTGATCTCGTAGAGGGGACACTTGGTGTCTTCCACCTTCACCTCTGGCATGTGCATTGTCATCTTCTCTGGGTTGAGCGCCAGCTCGACAATCTTCTCGGCAGCCGCTACACGGCCTTCCTTCCTGTGGCAGAGCTTGGCCAGCTCGAGTGCCTTGGTTTTGTACGACTTGTTACCCATGACCTTGAGCAATGCCTTGCTTAGCTTTTTGGCATCAATGTTAGGCGCACGGCTTTTGTTGCCATAAACTCCAATTCCGAGCCATTCTGCTCGGGCTGCATTCTCGTAGCAGTCCTGCCACGCAGGCAGTACCACATGGGTGACACCATTTCTATACTGTTAGTTAGTCTGGAACAGCCGGACAGGAAGGCCAACTTACTGAATTGCTTCGTACCACGAGTTCGCACCCCCATGGTGAACAGAGCAGATGATCTGGCCCGTTTGCAGCATAGCCATGGGCTCGACCTCAAACCAGGGTCGGATCCGCGCGCTGTCCGTCTCGACCTCAGCCTGAAGGGGCTTGATCGACTGAGCGTAGACATTCTCCTCGTCATGCGGATGCTTGGGCAATTTCCACAGAATCTGAACCTTCTCTCCCTTCCAGGAAGCGAGGAACATTTTAAGTCCTAGGGCAATATTCTCTGCGACCGTTGGGTCTGGTGCGTATAGTGTCCCCAGATTAACCAGGACGGTCGGCGCCTTGCGCAGCCAGCTTGCAAGTTCTGGGTCCTGTTTTTCTACCGATGCAGTAGGAAGAAGGATTGGTCCGCACGGGAGGATGTTATCCGGCACGTCCATGGGCCAGTCCAGCTCTTTCAGCGCCGGCGACAGATGGAAGCGGTCCGGTCGCCAGGCATCCGCAAAGGGGAACCGACCATGGATCTTGTGTCGGATGCGCCATTCGCGGATTTCACGACGGCGACCGCTGCCGTGGTACATTTTGGCTGTTTTGAGCACGGCCAGTGTGTTGAGCGGGATGAGGTGCGGAGGAAGCGGGTAGGGGAATCCAGTTCCGGGTCTATGCAGTCAGTACAAATCTGGCTATGTTGGGCGAGGGACCTACAAAGGATATTTCCATAGAGCAGCCGAATGTGGCTGCAGGCCGAGGACGATATGTGTGAGAGATGTGGTGTTGATCAAGATGGCCGTGTAACCAGCGTTATAAGCGGCATCGCGGCCCTGCAGGAAGAAAAAGTCGGCTGCAATTACCGAAGGCTGTACAGAATTGATGATTTCCATACAGCACTGGTAGATGTCGACGTATTCGTCTTCTGTCCAGCCCCAGATGTCTTCGCATAGGGACTGGAAGCCAAGCACGGCGCCACTGTACCCGGGAGGATGGAACGCTCCGCGCTTGCCCGTGCGGATGAAGACGTCTGTATTGGAGGGGCCGCGAATGGGATGGAAATGTATGCGCGATCGAAAGGAGTCATTGTATGAAGGGGCATTATCGTTCAAGAGTTTGTTAACCCGTCTTTCCAGCGCAGGGAATGAGGCAATATGGACGTCTACATCTCCTCGGACCAGCAGCTCATGGGTGATGGCCAGGATGATATTCGTCTGGCCATGTTCGCTATTAGCGAGAAATAATACCCGGGTAGGAGTAGCCATGAGGACTGAGTTGAGGCAAATGTTAGGGATGGAGACAAGGTGGTACGTAGTGGGACAGGCTTTTATATGCCAATCAATCGACCGAATCAACCCGTGTGATTCAGGTAAGTAACCGCAAATGTAACACCAGTGTTCAGGAGAACCTCCTGACCTTAATTCGGTGATCAAAATTGGGGATCTGATTTTCGCGAGTTTGTATCCAGGGTTCGTTTCATGTGTCCATCACCGGCGGATCCACTACTGCCGGAGGAAGCGCAGATCGGCATCGTCCTCACATCAACCATCACATCAAAGCGATCACACCATAGAGAAGTGATAGATCGAGGGAGTTCGGGCAAAACCGAGGCAGTATCACATTATGAGCAATTTCCACCCGAAACTCAGGTGAGCAAGTCTTCGCAGTGCTTACCAAAATCTAGCCCTAGCTGATCTGATCCCGAGGAATGGGATTGCAAAAAGGATAAATAGTAGAGGGTGTTCTGTAAGCTCGAGAGGATCATCATCCCCAACACTCGTTTACTGCATTCTCAATATGGTCCTCGTTGCGATGTCGCTGCCCTCGGGGCCTTTCCCTGAACTCGCCTACCCGGTCGTCCCCTTTCCGGTTCTTGCTGTCCTTCTAGTGCCATGCCTTGTACTACTGGCCATACGCCTGGCGCCAAAGGGACCGGTCATCAAAGGCGTACCTGGATCATTCGTTGACCTATATCTCTGCGGTGTAAGTTCCTATCCTGCAGGGCAACTAGAACCGCATCTCATATCCGCAGATTGGCACCAAGCTTGCCTTTATCTCCGGCCGCAGTGCATACCACTTTCATTCCCTTCATCAGTCCTACGGTATGTACTGCATTACTTGCTGGCTATTGAGTGATTGAGTCTAACAAACCAGGCAACATCGTCCGATTCGCCCCGGTCAAGCCACCACCAACACCGTCAAAGCCCTGCGTCAGATCTACAGCACCGGCACTGGCAAAGGCGCTGCGTTTTTGAAAACTGGCTTCTACAGAAACATCTCCCGTCGTAACGTCTTCACCGCGGCAGATCCAGTGTACCATGCCTCGGTTCGCAAGCTGTTCGGCCCCTCGTTCACCCCTGGCTCTATGCATGTCCACGCCGGTGTCATCCGCGAGTGCATCCTTCGCTTGCACGAGGTGATCCGAGGCAAACTTGAGACGCACAACACTATTTCGCTGAACGAGCTTCTCTACTGCCACTCGGTAGATACCGTCTCCGAGGTCCTCCTGGGTAAGCCACTGGGCTGCCTGAAACGCGGGAAGCCCTACTTCTGGACCGAGCAACTGCCGCGTATCTTCTACTGGGCAACAATCCGAGACCAGTTCGAGGGCTCCGGCATCCCAACAGCAATCAAGTGGCTGCTCCGTCGGATTCTACGCAAGGGGATCCGTCTCCGCGCCGAGCAAGCCCGCATGCGACTCATCAACGAGTAGGTTCTGTTTCTGGTAATTGTCGCGAAACAAGCTAACGTATCAGACAACTGCGCGCATCACACACCCGCCGCGACATCATGGTCGAGGTGATGGAGCGATCGGGGGGCAGCGATCTCCCCGAGGACGAGATTGCCGAAAATTTTTCGGCGATCATGCTCGCGGGCTTCCACACGACGCAGAACGCCCTCTGTGCGGTCATTTACCTGGTGCTGACCCACCCGGAGACGCATGTGAAGCTGGTGCAGGAGTTACAGGCGGCATTTGCTTCGGCCGAGGATATCTCGGGGGATGTGGCGGCGCAGCTGCCCTATCTCAATGCTGTGATTACGGAGGCGTTGCGCTTGTATCCGCCTGTGCCATTGGGTGGTCCGCGTGTTTCACCGGGGCGTATGTGGAAGGGGTGTATATCCCGGCGGGGGTGAGTACATTCTTCAGTTTCAGACTTTAGTCCCTATGCTAACGTGATATAGACTGAGATCTGTACGTCGTTGTTTGCTCTGCATCACAATCCGGAGTACTTCAGCTCTCCCTACGAATTTATCCCGGAGCGATGGACTGAGCCTGGATCGACAGACCAAAAAGAGGCGGTTCAGCCATTCCTAGTGGGAAGTCGGGCTTGTATTGCCAAGTACTTTGCCAAACAGATGCTACAATTGACTCTGGCCGGCTTCTTCTTAGAGTTTGAGGCCGAGTATGTGGGCAAGGTCAACGACTGGCAGCGGCAGTCTCGGTGTTATGCCTTTTGGGAAGTGCCGGACCTCAAGGTGAAACTGAGGAAGCGATTGGTTGACTGATAAATTGTACTGTTTTCACTTTTGTTTTAATTAATGTGATGCATCTCATACCCATAGTTAGTTAGTCTGATTAGTTGTTTGACCTTTCTCATAGCCAAGACCACTTCGTACCTACTCCGTATGCACAGATCCAGGAACTGAGTCTAACGGCGCGATCCCGAGGCCCACTCCTCATAAGTTTCGCACAAACCTTAAGAGCAGCCTTATTGCTAAGCTAAACTAAGTCTAGAGATCGTTCGACTTTAGGCTGTTTAATTGAGTTTCGCGTTCGACCCAAATTTCAGACTGTTTCATCGTTCGCCGCTATAAACACCGGATGTTTGAACCATGGAACGTCGACACCTCAGAGTTGAGGTATCATCTTGCCCTATTATTTCATCTATCGCAAACACACTTCCATCAGATTTACATAGTTTCGGGTACCTGGAAGGCTGGAACTCAGTAGTTTCCATCAATAAGATTGATTGATACCAGCTGAAGAAAGGCTCGTGTGGTGCTGAGCCAAGTGAGACGCTAGTTGCTTCAGCTGTCGATCATCTCCGTGACCATCCCATCAAGTTAAACTTAAGCAACCATTTGACTTTACGATGTGACTGAGCACGGTCTCATAAGTCAGTCACTGATCGACAAGGCGATGATAATATCGCAGTCACCGAGGCTACGGCACTTAGGCTTCGGCAGTTGAAGTCCGAGGACGCTGTCAGTTCGTGACGTCTGGTTTTTGAAACTCGTCTAGACCCCTGCTGGTGAAACGTTCCACCATGATACATTGAGTAACGACTGCGAGAAAGTATCACAGGGTCTCAGACATGCCCCGTCTCCTGTCGACAGCCACATTCCTACATACCAGATATGTCGTAGCTAAGATGTCCACTCCAGAGCGAAGAGAACATCCACGATGAAGTCAAAGGAGGACATAGAGTTAGAAGATCTGCCAAAAGTAAGTCTACTGCACTCTTCGACAGCAGCCAACTAATGAAGTAGTCTCCCGGCGGGAGTTCAGCGACACTCTGCCTGTCTGAAGCAGAGAAGGCCATCCTGCAAAGACAGATCCACGCACCAGACTCGCATGTAGGCTTCTTTGGTATATACCGATATGCCTCGCGATGGGACATTGCCATCCTCGTCGTCAGCTCGGCCTGCGCCATCATAGGCGGCGCTGCACTACCTTTATTCACTGTACGTATCCATCATCCGTCACCATGTTTGCAACTGACATGATAGGTCCTCTTTGGCAACTTGACCTCAACCTTTCAAGATATCGTCAGCGGACAAATCACCTACGCGCATTTCCACCATGAGCTCACAAAGTACGTCGTCTACTTTGTCTATCTGGCCATCGGGGAGTTCGCAACCATCTACCTGGCCACGGTCGGTTTCATCTACACCGGCGACCACATCGTGCAGCAGATTCGCGTCGAGTACCTGCGCGCTATTCTTCGACAGAATATCGCCTTCTTCGATACCCTTGGCGCGGGAGAAATCACGACCAGAATCACGGCCGACACGAACCTCATCCAAGACGGAATCTCCGAAAAGGTCGGCCTAGCGTTGACCGGACTGTCGACATTCGTCACGGCGTTCATCATCGCATACATCAAAAGCTGGAAGCTGGCGCTGATCTGTAGCGCCACGCTGGTCGCATTGCTGCTCATCATGGGTGGCTGCTCTACAGCCATGCTCGGCTTCAACAAGCGCGCGCTGGCTTCCCAGGGTCAAGGCGCCAGCTTAGCAGAGGATATTCTCGATTCGATCCGGACGGTGGTCGCATTTGACGCACAGGAGACGTTAGCAACTAAATACGAGAAACACCTCAAGGATGCAGAGAGACCGGGGATGAGAGCGCAGATGATCTTTGCGCTGATGGTGGGAGCATTACTCTGTGTGATGTACCTCAATTATGGACTGGGATTCTGGATGGGATCGCGATTCCTAGTCGACGACGGGAGCCATGTCAAGGCTGGTGATGTGCTGACTATCTTGATGGCGATCATTCTCGGATCGTACAATCTGGGCAATATTGCGCCCAATACCCAGGCACTGTCCACTGCCGTCGCGGCCGCAACCAAGCTGTATAGCACGATCGATCGGCAATCCCCTCTGGATGCGTCACTAGACAAAGGAATCACCCTGGGCCATGTCCGGGGAAACATCGTTTTGCAAAACATCCGCCACGTCTACCCTTCCCGGCCGGAGGTAATCGTCGCCCACGACCTGAGCGTCGAAATCCCGGCCGGCAAAACAACAGCCTTCGTCGGCCCGTCCGGATCCGGTAAAAGCACCATCATAGGGCTCGTCGAACGCTTCTACAACCCTGTAGCGGGGAATATCCTGCTCGACGGGCGTGACATCCAGCATTTGAATCTGCGCTGGCTCCGGCAGCAAATGTCTCTCGTCTCGCAGGAACCACGCCTCTTCGCCGCCACCATCGCAGAGAACATCCGTGTCGGCCTCATCGGCTCGCAGCACGAACATGACCCGCCACAACAGATACACAAACGAATCGAAGGCGCAGCCCGCATGGCGAACGCGCACGATTTCATCATGGCGCTGCCGGACGGGTATGAAACCAACATCGCGGGTTTCTCGCTATCCGGGGGTCAGAAGCAGCGCATCGCGATTGCGAGGGCCATAGTCAAAGACCCGAAAATCCTACTGCTAGACGAGGCGACCTCGGCGCTGGATACAAAATCCGAGGGGTTGGTGCAGGCGGCTCTGGATAAGGCGTCACAGGGCCGGACGACGGTGGTGATTGCGCACCGGCTGTCGACCATCAAGGAAGCGCATAATATCGTCGTCTTGAACAACGGATGTATTGTCGAGCAGGGCTCGCATGATCGTCTCATGGACAGAAGGGGAGTCTACTACGGCATGGTCAAGGCGCAGCAGATCAAGAAGCGCCTCACACGGATGAGCCAGATGCCCCGGAGCCCGATGCAGACGTTTTTCTTTGATCTGGACTATCCGACCGACGATGACGTTTCCGAGTATGACCACCAGGACGACGCGTCTGACATTGGGCTGAAAACAGGCGAGAGACTGAAACAGCGGATGTCGAGGATGTCAATATCGGCGCTGCCGGTGCACTTGCACAAAGCCAAGGAGATATCCTACTCACTGTGGACACTGTTTAAATTCCTCGCCTCGTTCAACCGCCCCGAATGGCCGCTCCTCGGGCTGGGATTAGCTGCATCCGTCCTAGCCGGAGGCATCCAGCCCTCGCAGGCCGTCCTCTTCGCCAAAGCCGTGAGCACGCTGAGCCTGCCACCCTGGGAATATCCCAAACTACGCCACGACGCGAGCTTCTGGTCGCTCATGTTTCTCATGCTCGGCCTGGTCACATTTATTCTGTACGCCTTCCAAGGAAGCTTATTCGCCTACTGCTCCGAGAAAATGGTCTACCGCGCGCGCAGCCAGGCCTTCCGGGTCATGCTCCACCAGGATATATCCTTCTTCGACGAGCCGGAGAACACCACGGGCGCGTTGACAGCCACCTTAAGCGCAGAGACAAAGCAACTGGCCGGCATCAGCGGCGTCACACTCGGCACCCTGCTCATCGTCTCTGTGAACCTGGTCGCCTCGCTGGGCATCGCACTAATCATGGGCTGGAAGCTCGCGCTAGTCTGCATCTCCGCTGTACCTATACTCCTCCTCTGCGGCTTCATCCGAGTCTGGATGCTGGATAAATTCCAGCGACGCGCAAAGGCCGCGTACCAGCAGTCCGCCAGCTCGGCCTGCGAGGCTGCATCGGCGATTCGCACCGTCGCATCGTTGACGATGGAGGGTGAGGTTCTGGGCTCGTATCAAACCCAGCTGCAGCACCAGCTCAAGCGGGATATCCTCCCTATCGTCAAATCGTCGCTGCTGTACGCCAGCTCCCAGGCGCTGCCGTTCCTGTGCATGGCCCTGGGGTTCTGGTACGGTGGAAAGCTTCTGGGGCATGGAGAGTACTCCCTATTCCAGTTCTACGTCTGCTTCAGCGAGGTGATCTTCGGCGCTCAGGCGGCTGGGACTGTCTTCTCGCACGCACCGGATATGGGCAAGGCGAAGCACGCCGCGGGGGAGTTCAAGCGGCTCTTCAGCGGGGAGACCATGCAGTCGAAGTCTGCGACTCAACGCCAGAAACCCCAGCCGGATATGCGAGGGCTGATTGAATTCCGCGACGTCTCCTTCCGGTATTCGAGCCGGTTGGATCAACCGGTTCTACGCAGACTGAATCTGACCGTCAAACCCGGCCAGTTCGTGGCGCTCGTCGGCGCCAGCGGCAGCGGGAAGAGCACGATCATCTCGCTACTTGAACGATTCTACAACCCTATGACTGGGGGAATTTACATCGATGGTAGAAACATCGCTACCTGGGATTTAACCTCGTATCGAAGCCACCTGGCGCTGGTCAGCCAGGAACCAGCTTTATTCCAGGGGACGATCCGCGAGAATATCCTCCTGGGGAGTACCAGGCCGTACACGTCTGAAAACGAGCTGGTTAATGCGTGCAAGGACGCAAATATTTACGATTTTATCATTTCTCTCCCGTACGTCCCACCCATATCCTTTATGTACTTATACACTGCTAATGCAGAACAGACAAGGCTTTGAAACTATTGTCGGCACAAAAGGGGGCATGCTCTCCGGCGGCCAGAAACAGCGCATCGCCATTGCGCGCGCCCTCATCCGCGATCCGCGGATCTTGCTGCTGGATGAGGCAACCTCGGCGCTGGACTCGGAGTCTGAGAAGGTGGTGCAGGCTGCGCTGGACGCGGCGGCACAGGGCCGGACGACTATTGCCGTGGCGCACCGGTTGAGTACCATCCAACGGGCGGATGTGATCTATGTGCTGGATCAGGGGGAGGTGGTGGAGTCAGGGACGCATGATGACCTGCTTCGGAAGCGAGGGCGGTATTTTGACTTGGTCAATCTGCAGAATCTGGGATGAATCAGTCCGTAATAGGCAGGCGTTCAGCGATCAGCGTTTGTTTTTCGATCGTTATATCTCATGAGTCATGTAGTTTAGGGCTGGATGAAGCGATTATTGTTTCAGATCTGTCAATATCAAGTAATCTCTCTAATTATGAGTCCAAATTGTTGGGACTTTGGGCGAGTTCAAACCGCATTGGGAAATTCGTCCGAGATTCCCCAAATATCGGGCGAACCACGAACTATCAACAACACTATTATGAGACATGGCCCACATCACAAACAGGTAATCGGCATGTTCAGGGACGGTACTCAGGTCTTGGTAGGAGACTCAGACTCTCAATCTTCATCAGATCAAGAACTAACTATCCAAGACATTCTGAAACTGTGAGGGGATAGACCCCAATGGGATCCGACTTTATTTCCTGGATGTTCTGCCTGGACCTCCCATCGGATTCTTATTCTGGCGCAACTGCCGAGGATGGGTCTCTATCCAGCCAAGAACCGTAGATATAAAGACCCTTGTCCAGGGCAAGGATTGTGATTAGCAACTCTCCCAAGACAAGGGCCCAAGACAAGATGAACCTGCGCCTATTGACCCTTGCCCTCGCCGGCCTCGCCGCCGCAAGTCCAGTTGCCATCCAGGAGAGACAATGTACGTATACCCTTGCCATCTTTGCGTCGTGGTCGTGTCTAACCTGAACCCAGTTTCCTCAGGAAACGAACTACGCGATGGAGCCTGCAAACCCATCACCTTCATCTTCGCCCGCGCATCCACGGAGCCCGGTCTCCTCGTAAGAGCAACCTGCATGCTATCCAATACCAACACTAACATATACAGGGGATTTCCACCGGCCCAGCCGTCTGCAACAACCTTAAAGCCGCCAAACCAGGCCAGGTAGCCTGCCAAGGCGTCGGACCAGCCTACACAGCTGATCTGGCGTCCAACGCACTCCCCGAGAACACCTCCCCGGCAGCTATCAACGAAGCCATGGACCTATTCAAGCAGGCTGCGTCGAAATGCCCCGACACGCAGATTGTCGCGGGCGGATACAGCCAAGGCACAGCGGTCATGGACGGCTCCATCAAGCGGCTTCCTGAGGAGGTCAAGGAGAAGATTAAAGGTGTTGTGCTGTTTGGGTATACGCGCAATGCGCAGGAGAGGGGGCAGATTGCGGATTTCCCGAAAGACAAGGTCAAGGTTTACTGTGCGGTGGGGGATATGGTGTGTGATGGGACGTTGATTGTGACGGCGGCGCATTTCACGTACGGGGCGGATACGGGTGATGCGGCGCGGTTCTTGCTGGGGAAGTTGTCGACGGCTTGAGTCTGATCCATATCTCATCCTCTCTTTAAGTATTGATGTGGTGTTGTCGGAGTCAGGAACCAATAATTGAGTAATGAATCTGTGTCCTGCGTACATAGTGTTTACTAATTACAGTCTGAAGTACGTCTAATGCTAATCTGAGCTATCGAGGATGCGAGATATATATTATGAACCTTACTACGTCTCTACTCCCTTAACTTAGATTCCCAATGGAGGCTTTAGTGGATTCATTGTCCTAAAGTAACATAGGGCATATTGCCTCTTTATTGTTTAAATAGAACCTTCTTTGCTGTCCATGCCTGCTATCCTCTATACCACTTGAGGTGTTTAGGTTGATGAGACTGTTTTTTTACATGTTTTTCTGTTTTTCTGTGTTTTTGCCCTCTCCTTTCCCTCACGCTGGAACCCGACCCAACTCGGTGCCTTGGCTTTGGCCTTGATCTCGGCCTTGTTCTCGGCCTTGTTCTTGGCCTTGTCCTTGTTCTTGGCCTTGTCCTTGTTCTTGGCCTTGTCCTTGTTCTTGGCTTTGGCCTTGATCTCGGCCTTGTTCTCGGCCTTGTTCTTGGCCTTGTCCTTGTTCTTGGCCTTGTCCTTGTTCTTGGCCTTGTCCTTGTTCTTGTCCTTGTTCTTGCTCTTGGCCTTGGGGGGTCATTCTGCGCCGTCGGGGTTCGTTGAACGCCAGCGCCCAAACCTCATATTGCTCACTGGTTCCATCGTGGGGGAAGGGGAGGACATGTGTCGTGGAGTACCTATGACAGAAACTATTAGTTTCTATTACCAACAACAACCATGGCCATGAATTTATTTACCGTCTCTGGATCCACATAAATGCCCAGTAGACGAGCACAACTATTGCGGCTATAGCCGCAGCGCAGCTAATCACAATGCCGGCAAGCATTGGCGTGTCTTTTGCCACAAATGTGGCCGCAACGGGTGCGCTGGTAACGCTTACGGAGTTGTTGGACATGGTGGTGGTGTGTGATGTGAATATTGAGCTTGCTTTTCTTGACGAATATTTCAGGCTCTTAGAGGCAGAATTACACAAAATGAAGTCGATTTCACTAGACGGAGAGATTGACTACGACAATAATCCAGAGATGGGTGGTGTTATCACTCGTCTCAAGGGAAGGAGTGGCCCAGCTTTGGTCACCGAGTAACGCATGCTGCTTCCGTCCGGAGTGATGCCCTAATTATTGCATATGAGACTCGACTTACAGGGCCTTCAAGAGAGACGTACTGCGATAGATGAAGTCATTATATAGACACCTCCGTCAGGATTCTTGTCGAATATTGGCTTAGCCGCTTGCATGAGTTGCAAATGCGACATAGTGTTCACTTTCCAACACTGCGTACGTTAGTTTCTTGAACAAGGACAGCCAGGCCGTGCGCGTCTTTCCTTGTCCCATTCCTCGAAAGACAAGTCATAAATGTCCTGCTTGTCAGCGAATCGAGTCCACCCAGCATTTGCAATGACAATATCCAAACCCGATAATTGCTCATTAGCCTCCTGAACGATACGTTGATTGTCCTCTGGGAGCTCGGCGTCCTGTATACCGTTAATTCTCTTCTGAAGTGATTTCGGGAGTTGACCTGACCCCCTGGAGAACAATGGACTTGATAGAATACCCCTTTGCCAATCGACTGGCAAGGTCTTCCGCGACCCCACGGCTTGAGTGGTAGTTAATGGCTACATTGCACCCCTCAGCTGCGAACTTTTGGCATATCACAGCACCCAAACCCCTGAACCGCCGTTAGCTTTTGGGGAAGAAGGCATATTAGATGCTACCTTGAGCCTGCCGCGACGAGCACATTCTTCCCTTTGAGACTATATGGCATCGTGTGTTGGGTTGCAATCGGAGGTGGACGATGGTTGAAGCGAGATGACTCAGTCGATGACAGCCAAATGTTGAGACTGATGCGGGGTAGATTTGGCCCCTCTCATCTATGCCATGCTGTCGCCAGGGATACCTCGGGGCGAACGGGTACCCGAGATAAACGGATGAGCCGGTTAAGCCATCGTTGTCTGCAATTCTATGTAGCCTGAAAGTCGAGAGACTAATTCTCTGTGGATTGAGGGAAAGAATGGAAATGTGTGCTCTATGGAAGGATAGGCACCCCGCTAGACAAAACACCTACGATTTATCAGAGCTAGGAGTTAACTGACAGCAAAACACAATGCTCAATTTCTGTACATTTTGCGTTGATATAATCCGTATAAAGCATCATGAACCTATCCTATCTAGACCGGCCGAAAGCAACTTGTGCGCCTCCTCTATCCTTTTTTCCTGCGCCAGCCTCTCATTTTCGGAACCCAGAAAAGTTGTCGGTGTCCTCCGAATAGCAACCAAAGCCTCTTTCGTGTTTTCCATGGCATCACATATGATTTCCCGAGTTACCTTGAGGCCCGGATCGAGCAATCGTGTCACAACCTCTGCGTGACCTGACTCCCCCGCCAACCCCAGCGCTGTCTTGTCCCAGTTGTTTCTGTGCCAAATGTCCGTACCTGGTACCTTTAATAGTATATTCACAATGTGACTTTCTCCTTCTTTGGCGGCGAGAAGCAATGGGGTGTCTCCCCATCTATCTAGTGGGAATAAATCCACATTATGATGCTGTAGGAGGAGCTTCACCAGTTCAGCTTCCCCATTAAAAGTAGCGTAAGCGAGGGGAGTCATGCCACCGTAATCTCGAGCGTTGACATTGATATCTGGGCGAGCTAGTAAAGCCTTCATGATCTCCGGATCCACACACCGTTGGTTAGCTGCGCAGTGGAGCAGTGATTGGCAGCCGCTAAGTTCATCTGTTTGCAAATGGACGTCTACATCAGGATGCTCTAGAAGAGCTGTGACTTTACCAAGATCCGCTGACTCGACGGCAAAGTATAAAGCAGTCTTACCGTCACGATCCTGATAATTGATGGGGGTCTTCTTGAGAGAAAGTAGGTATCGAACCACTTCTTCACTTGAATCCTCGGCGGCACGGAGGAAAGCCGTCTCCTCGTAGCTGGACTCGTAGTCTTCCAGTGTGTTAGGAAATGCCTCGATTATTGTCCTCACAATGCTGGCCTTGCCGCCCGTCAGTGCACGCGGAAAGACAGTGGACAACTCCCTGTAAGCCTCCGGATGACGATAAAGTCTCTGGAAGACGTCTTCCCTGCCCATCATCGCAGCCACTTCTAATGGACTCCCCCCAGGAGCGCCTGCCGATCCTGCATGGTATATAGGTCTAGCCAAAAGATTCACGACCCCGTCCATGATATTGACATCGATTTCCTCTCCCAGTAACAGCTCCTTCACCACATTGTCAAATCCCCTTGCCGCGGCCCAGATCAGCGGTGCTCTCCTCAAACGGTCCCGAAAATTCACGTCCACTTCTCCAGTTCTCAAGAGCTCCCTCACGGCATCCGCGTGCCCTCCCCTAGCAGCCCAGAGAAGTGGCGTATCACCAGCGGTATCGACCACGTCAGCGTCCGCTCCAGCCTCTAGAAGATAGTTCACAAGAGATGAATGCCCTCCTAACGCAGCAAAATGCACTGCAGTATCCCCATTTACGACAGTCCGCGCATTCAGGTTGACACCCCTGTTGATCAGAAACCGTATGCTGTCTCCTTGCCCGCCAAACGCAGCCGCCATAAGAGGTAGATGGAGCAACTCATCCGGATCAGCAATATTTCCTATACGCCACGCAAGCAGGTCCTCCATATCGTTAATTCTGCCCAAGTACGCAGCCGCCATCAATGCAGTACCGCACCATCCCTCTCTGTCGCAGTCGAGGCCATCATCAATAGTTTCTCCTCCAGCCCCTGCCGGAGCCAGAACACGATTGATAAAGTTAGTCCCCGCCAAGCCGACAAACATGGATACCATGCCGGTTAGATACCTTGTTCGGAGCTCCTCGGGGTCCGTATCGCCCCTGTGCAAGAAAAACTCAGCAACCCCGTCCACACCCGCATTGATCGTGTTGACAATTGGGTAAACACTCCTCGTTGTGCCCCCTTGAAGGCGACTACGCTCCACAAGCGAACATAGTAATCGTCTTGCCATTGCCATAGTTGAGGGGTTCGGCGCCCCATCGCAAATGGGAAGCTTGCGATCGATGAGCCCGGCTCTAATTGCCGTGTGGAAACGGTCGATCACGATATCGTCGAATTGTTCTGTACAGTTAGCAACTGCATTCTGAGTAGTTTGATATGGTCAAGGGACGTACTATTGACGAATCGTAAGTTCAGAAACCAAAGTAGATCTGCGCGAGCGAGCATGACCTTCCTCCACTTTTTCCATCGCCAGCCCCATCGCCAGCTGGGGGTGGTGCGGCCGAGGATATTGTGGATGATTTCTGGTGGGAGAACGGCCATATTCATCCTTGGAATGCAGAGTAGGTACGTTTAGAATACCGATGGGGTTTCCAACCTGGTGGGGAAACCAATGCAAGGAAGATCTTGTACTCAGTGACTCATAATTTATTGACAGCAGAGGCTCTGCAGTCAATCTGCCAAGCATATTCCCCTCCGCTAGTAGGTGCTTGACAACCAATCGTGATAGTGGCGGTGACGATAGTAGAGGATGGTTGATAGTCGAGCGTTGGAATAGATGAGAAGTTATGACCAGACGGTGCCTGGACCCACAAGGACAAGGTGCTAGAGAAGAACATGGATTTGATTCGAAAGGGGCGAGAACCCACTAATCCAATGAGTTGATATAATCAAGATCAGAGCAAGTACAAAAACATCATTTGGCTCTAAATCACTCAGCAAGTACGGATCATATCAATTCAGCAAAGCTACAAGAGCAACCACTTCACGTTCCACCGTCAATCCTCGATATCGTTGATGATATCTACTCCCCAGATACAAGCGCGGTATACTCGACGGCTGTACAGATCCTGCCCATAGATGACATTAAATTTGACTGTATCCTCTTCGACCTTTACGTCGATATCCGGGATGTGGTCAGAAGGTGAGGTCCCATTCGTAGCGAGACAACATGGGCAAAATTCAGTGCAATGGGAGTGATAAGGAACCCTGTCAGTCTCTCTCTTGCGCGAGCAGCAGCCGCACGTTCTAGAGCAGCAGCCTCCTCGGGCTGCACATTCGTATAACAGCGAGGTACACAGATACCACTTGGGGTAAGATCTCCAGGAGAAGAATGCTCTGCGGAAGAGACCACTAGGCATATGCCACCTGTGGTCGCCCTTATCACTCCGGCACTGTGTATACATGGCCACAAGACGTTTGTGATGCTTTTCAGTGTCATCCAACTCTGATTCCAGCTTTTGGCGATATTCCAAGTGTGAGGTTTGAGTGAGAGCATTTCGCCCCCATTCCAGCCTTTTCTCCAAGAAGATCAGTGCTTGAACAATACGCTGGGTTTGTCTCTCCATCTCAAGGAGACTCTGACACCATGCCAACACAGAATAATCCGGCGGCTGTGTGTGGAACTGAAAGAAACGAAGAACACGCGCGGATATTTGTTTCCCCTTTCGATCCAGGAGTGCTGCCAGTCGTTCTACCTTCTCTTGGTGACCGAATAGGTTGTCTGGCAAGCCTTTCTGAAGGCCGATTCTGTAAATAAACCGCGCCTTATCAGATTTGTCTATGGGTGACAGGAGGAATGGTGTATAGTCCTGCAGAACCTTTGCTTTTTTAAGTTTCTTCTCCCAGTACTCAACACTCTCTTCCTCAGGCTGAGACTTCGTCAGTGGCTTGAGAAGCGATCTCATCTTGCTATTAGAAGGCATGGTTTTGAACATTACTCCTGAATAGTCTGTGAATGCTGCTGTATTTGTGAAAGTGATGAACAGGCAGTAAACAAGTTGGCTGAGTCAAATTAGGGGAAAACTGAGAAAACTCGGATCAAAGACGCGATACTGACATCATGGTTCATCCAAAATATTCACTTTTTGCATGTCCTATTCACTAGCCCAGTAAGTAGTGAATAATAGAAAATTCACTCCATCTCTTCAGGCATAAGGGTAGACCTTCCCCCGGAACTAACTCTCCGTACTTTCCTATCTCTGCAACATAAGACCAAGGGAAAGATAACATTCATCCCAGTTCCTAAACTCCACATTTCTATGCATTTATTCTCAATGATAGAGAAGAATATCTCTATCAGGACTTGAGATGCAAAGAACAGCGCAAGTTCTACCGCCGATGATGCGGACGGTTTTATCTTCAGCAGTAAGATGCACAGGGTGAGCTTACCGATTCCTTCCTGCATTTACCGCTGAAATTGCATACTGAGACGCTTTCGCTTTTTACTAGACAAAATCATGTCCTCGACAAGCTCTTCCGACAGCGGCAACAAATCGCCCGGTCGCAGCAACTTGACAGTGCCCGGCTTTTCGTAGGGCTTGTGACAGCTCTACGGGCCAGTAGAGGCTCCCCCGGAACCGCCATATTTACACTGGTTCGTCAGTTGGACAAGAAACACTAATCATGATCCTTGCTGGTGTTGATGATGGACTCTAATGTTAAGCACAGTATAATCATAGTATCAAGAGAATCTGATACTATCTCACCATGTCTGTCAGAAACCCTTCTGATAGCGCTTCCAACTCCACCCAGGAGAAGGCCCCCGACGCCGCGCTGGTCTATAGGCCAGTAGAGGCCCTGAAGGCATGGGCAAGAGATGCTAAAAACCACCTGCCAAAAGACAAGCAGGCGGAGTTAAAGGACCTCATCAGTCAGATCGAGGCCGGGCCAGAGGCCGGAAAGCCGATGGCCATCCGCAGCCTGCGAGAAAACAAATCCGGGAGATATTTAAGCTCGGGCAGGGCAGGGGGATGGATGTCTCCCGGTACAAAATCCCAGTGCCGGAAACTGTCAGTAAGTCATAGATCAGTTCCTTCTATGCAATATTTATGGCCGCAAGTAGCTAATCTTTTGTGTGTAGCGGTCCCTGAACAAGGTGACCAGGGTGAAGGTGTTGTTCGATTCTGACTGCTGTAGATATGAAGGGTACTTTGGGGTTATTGCGAGATCCTTGGTTATCCAAAGAAATGCCGGGATTGTGGTCTGAATGACCAGATAAAAAGGTTTGAATTCCAATTGCTCGCAACAACCCCAAAGTACCCTCCAAATCTACAAACGCTGTCAGCGTCAGTGACGCACCCCTCGCTGCCACATTTACAGTGAAAGATGCCCCAATGCTCCTCGGCATTGGACTTGCTGCCGATGCTGCAGTAGCAGCATTAGTTATACTGGTGTACTGGTGTGTCGTGAGAATCCAGTGGCGGTAATTAAAATCCATCGCCACGGTTGATGTTGGTAATAGATACTAACACTTTCTGTCATAGTTACTCGAAGTCACATGTCCAACAGTTTCCTCACGACACAACTTGAGGGTATTCCAGTGCACCTGGAGTAACGCCTGCGAGCTTTTTCTAGGGCCTCATTAGGGGCCTGTTTAGACACGGCAACAACAGGAACATGGTTGTACTTCCGACTGCTTGACGATGAAACATTTAAGTTAGCTGGCTATGGGTATAGATATTCCCCTTCAATCTTCGGAAATGGGTAGAGAAAGGGAAGTAAATTTGAGGCGGGTGCAGAGACATACCTATCTTATTCCGCATTAGGATTGTATGTTAAAGGTTCTACGAGGCAGCACAGTCTTGATATGGATGGATGTGCACACATGGGCTTTCATACTCTATACTTAGATTAGACTGATGGAAAACCAAGTTTGTCATTGCTCATTGCGATTTGCGGCGATTGAAGGTTTCCACCATGGGTTTAGCCATGACTCTCTCGTTCTTCAACAAAGGATGCAGAATATTATTTGGCCCTACGCTGACCGAACTCTTAAGATATAAAATCTTTCTTTCCCTCTACTCCATGCCAGCAAGCAATCTCCAAGTACTTCGACGATACGAATCTCTGCATCTCTACCTTGAGTTTATCAGCTTCGACATCAACGGGCCTAGGTAAGAATATAGGACTGACGGGATCCTCCCTATTGCTTACATCTCTGGAGAACAGCCATTGTACATTGATGACATTATTGTCTTCTCGTATTTACAACTGCTTTCTGGGCGCTTCCCCACCCTTTCTGGGCGGCGGGCGTTGCGGACCACCTCTGTACACCCCATCCTCATCTGCCAGGCTCCACAACTCGCCCACATCCGTGGTTGCAATGGAGACTGACACAGCCTGACTGTTGGCATAGCTAGCACAGAGCCGTATACTCTCCAGCGAATCTTCAATACTGTAAATAAGGAGCAGGGTATCCTCATCTGAGGCTGTCTTCTCGTCGGCAACAAGGAATGTAGTATAATCTACTACAGTTTCTGATGCGTCCTCCTGTAGGAACTCGGCGATCTTGCCTATGTCCCAGCCGAGGAAAGGATACTGGAGGGACTCAACCGGCGGCATAGTGACTGAGTCTTCTGTGTACTTCTGGAGTTCGGCCGCGTCGGCTGTCATGATAAGAATAAGGCTTGGAGGTGAATCGATTTTGCTTGAAGCCTCGTATGCTGTTGAAAGGATGGACGTGATAACCTATTATGTCAGTTAAGATGTGCTTTTTCCACCCAGGATCTGAGAGGGTTCCGTACAGTAGGGGACACCTCGTGGGTGCAGATGATGGGAATCAGGCTCATTGTGAGTGGCTTGCACCTCGTGATGTCTGTTATTGATTCTAGAGTTGGGAGAGAGGATGGAGGTTGTTATGTGGAAGAATTAGAGGTACTGTGGGGGTGGTAAGACGCTGTTGCCTACGTTACTTGAATAAACTGATCGTTGCCTGCTGATTAATAACCACACAAACTTGAGCTGTGACGGAGCTGTATTAGCAGTTCTAGTTTATGGGGCGAACGATAAGGCTGATGGCCGCGCTGAAACATATCTCATGCTGTTCTATGTACAGCCATTGACCGAACCATCGGTTTCGCTATTTTACGCAAAATGTTGCCTATTCCTGTTTTACCCCAAGCAGAAACTAGATTGGAACGGGAAGGAGATATGCCGCCATTGACTTGTCCAACGGTACACTTGGATGCTCCCAAACACTCTCTCTGCATGGAGAGGCAAGGGGCGCTATTCGGAGCACGCTCTATATTGCAGCCTTAGATAGGAGCGTTATATGGTTACAGCTGTTCGCTCAGGCCCCCCTCCCCGTGCCGAAGCTTGTCAGCTTCGTGGCTTTGCTCGTTGTCGGTTTGCTTATTGCTCTTATAGTTGGCGATTAGGTCTATGGCTATCCAATAGACGTATATTCATCGCCACGGTTGGTGCAATTCGTAATTCTGCAGGTCGGTCGAATCCACTACCTGGCTGAGTTTCTTTGAACAGAACTGTCTAGAAGAGCAGGACGGATGTATTTAGAAAGCCCTTGTCTTAGGAATGCTGATGTCCCGTTGTGAAGCGAGGCAGGCGGTTGTTGTGACACTGCCTTTGGCTCGACCAGGCTGGCCTAGATGGGAGTTGTCTAACTAGGAGCAAAGACTTGCATTGGCCCCGTAACCTTTGTATAAGCTCCCTACCTTGGCAGAAATGAGTCTTTGCCCTCGACTGAATCGAGCCCCTAGGGACTGAGGTTGATAAGGCCCTTCCGTTTGCAAGTGAAAAGGATCGATACGAGATTGTGGAGTTGTTTCTTGAAAAAAAAAAGGACAGACCACCCCCCGGAGACGATAAAAACTGCACTCCACTCTTGCCAGCGGTCATGATAACACAGATAGATTCTTCAATCTCTCTTATTCAGACATGCTCAGTCACCTCGTGGGCAAGCTGAAGACGGAATATGCACAGATAAAGACCTTTCCCGTGGATATACCCAGTCCACCTGCTTTAGGGGTCCGCTAAAGCAGCAATGCGTACAAGGCGAAGAGTAAGCGACGGCACTGCATCTTCAGAATCCGACTATGTGAAAGAAGGAGAGAACAGCTACCATTTTGTATTTGTTTGCCTCAGGCCCAGGAGGCCAGGACAGTATACAAATCAGGTGACTTTGCTAGCGCTTGAAGCATCGCACATCTAAGGTACCTTCAACAAGATCCCAAACACACATCCACGACGACCCTGCCTTGATTCGATAGCTCTTTCCTATGTTATCCTTCTTTTGCGTGGTGGTATGTTTCTGCCTTACCTGGTATCCGCCCATCCTCTCCAGACCCAGCTGCCCCGTTTTGACGAGGCCAGCCAAGGTGGCTTCGTTTCTGGTAGGCACCGATGTCAAAAACTCGCCTTGATGACTCTGTGTTGACATCAAACGGGATCAAATCACTGCTGAATCAAGTTTGCACCACGACTCGACTAACTTTTCGTTATAGGACTTGCTTGAAACGTGGGCCGAGACCAACACCTTGCTTTGCCTTGACGTTCGAGCACGTCGCGCTTCCCCCGCAGCTTCCAAGAAAGCACGATAGTATCGCCCAGACCAGGACCTGGTTCAACGCCTTCGCCGGTCGGTGAACAACGTCAATATTGCCTGTGATAAGCCGTCGATCTGGGATCCTATGGAGAAGTTGTTGCAGATATGCCATGTCTTGTTCGCAGCTACAGGCACTATTCATGTATCTATTGACACAGATCTGACTCGCATGAATGGACGATACGAATGTCATCGCAGCTATGTTCGAGCACAGCAACATAGTTATGGTTACTCTCCTAGCCCGCATATGCCTTTGGCATCTCGAATACGCGATTTCGAGGCAACATGTGGTATGTGCCTCTTCTTGATATTTCCGAGCAATTTTACAATGCACAAGTTAATAAAATTTCCAGGTTTCGCGTGATTAATGCCAGCAAGATGTTTGCAAGTGTGAAGGTAGGGACTGCTACAATTATATATATCGCTTCGATCGCGAGGAAGCTATAGTTGATGATCCATTACCACGCACAAAATGAATGCACTATATGCATATATACATCTCTGGTGTGAGTTTCGAAAAACATACAATTATACATTAAAATTATGAGAGGTCAAACAGGTGTTTGGGTTCCCGAAGTTCCTTCGATCGCGCCCCCAAAACGACTTCCTCGCTTCAACCTCGGGCGGAAGGGAGTCCACCACGTGTCCGAGTTTGGGGTCAGAAGAACCTCATTTTGATCAATCAGAATCGACGACTTCCACTTCTCCTTGAAAAACCCGCTGGAGTTGTTCGACGAACCTGGACCTCGAGCAACGTAGCTGTGGCTCTGGTACTTGCCCAGCCAGAGCATTTGTTCATGTTCTCGGAGGTACCGATCGGAAGAGAAATTGTTGTACACATTGGACCGACCCAGCATGCCAAGCTTTCGACGCTGCTCGGCCTTTTCGTACATACGCCGTGTGATCTGTTCTACCTCCTCACGCGAAGGGCGCAGGGATAAAGTTGGGGGTACATAGCCCTCCTCGTCCTCGGCAAAAGCGCTCCATTGGCCCAGTAATGCCAGCACCCTGATTTGAGCGCTGGCAAGGGATATAGCGTCGTTGGGCGCGACCACTTCGCTGAACTTTTTACCCGTGGCGCGGTCAGTGACCACACAAAACGATGCACCTACGTCGGTGCAAACCACAGGGACACCAGTCAAGGCGGCCTCGCCCATGGCTAATGGCAGACCTTCGGAAATGGACGAGTTCATGAACAACCACTGTACTGGATCAGCCACAAGATCACCGAAAGGAAAAGGCAGAATACAACTTACAGCGTCTTGGAGGACCACAGACGGATTTCCCAATCCTTTCAGGACAACATGCTCACGCAGGCCCTTTGATGCGATGATTTCCTGACATTCCGACGCGTAAGCTGGCGCACGCTCCATGTCTCCGTAGATGTGCAGCCGATAATCCTTGAAGCCCCAAATATTGACAATGAGGTCAGTTGCCATGATCGCTGTCTTGATGTCTTTCACATATCTGCCAGACGTCAGCTAATTCAATCCTGCAATTCAAGTCTCGAAGGACATACCGAATATGTGACAACATGACTACCGTCGGGGTAGCCGTCTTGATCGTCTCAATTGGCTTATATTTGTCCATATTAGTGATCCCGTTCACAACTGGGTCGATCTTTCGACGGAAGGTCCGGCGATGCTGGAGGGCACCTTCGCAGGTTCCTAGTTCGATTTCCCATCCCGGATTGAAGTATTCGGCACATGGAAGGACAACGTCTGCGTGATGCTGGATCAGAACACACGACAGATGTCCTAACCCCATCAGAGTGGTATTTACGAAGGTCGAATCGAAGGACACCGCTGATGACAGGAATGTGGTCATCTCACGGAAAGAGACACAATGGTCCCAGACATGCAAGGCGCATTGACGCTTTACCTTGCATAGGACACCGTATGTAGCGCCTGTGAAATGATGCGAAACCTGGAAAACATCAGGAATCTTGTCGGGAACGGGGATGGAGAAGATAAAAAGGTCTACCAAAGTCAGTGATCATGAATACATGACTGGCAAGGGAACGATTAAGAACTTACAGCGGTGCCACATGTCCAATGCCGAGTCAAGTTGCAGGAGCGTGGGTCTTTCGGAATTCAACCATTGTGAAACAGGAACAGCGCCGGGCGTGTCTTCGCTGAGCCACATTTCTCGCCACGCCTGTTTGACAGTATCACTCATCCAGACATCGTTCCAACTGCGGGACGACTCAAAATACGTGTTCAAGTCCACCAGGGCACGCGTCGCTTCCTCGATATGCGAGCGGGTGAGCTGGACGGCTCGTGAACACCGAACTATGCTGGACAGAATGGGAAGGAAATTGCGTCGGATATCTGCCACCGTGGTGTCGTATGACTTCTCGACCACCGCGGAATCCAAACAATTTTGGAACACACCGTGTGTTGGGTTGAGGAAGTCCAGACCCCATTGCGGCAAAACAGTCAGCGACTGCACGTTCCGTTCTATCTGGAATTTAGGGACGCCAAAGTCATTCGCCGCCTCAGCGAGGATGTGCCACCGGATATACTTCAGATCGTTGACCATGTCCCTTCGGCATGCAGAGACACCTCCTGGCTCATTGGGCCAGGTGCCGGTGTCCATCGCCAAAACATGCAGTTCGCTGTCGGTATCTTGCAGCTGAGTTGACAGTGTACGTGTGTTGATCCTTGCGTCACCCCTTGGCCAAAACTGTACAGGTCGCTGATTTTGAAGGCCAGTTGTGTCCATGAACTGATTTCCGGATCAATATCAACACGAGCCAGAATGGTGTCTACCTGGGCGTCAAGATAGTCCGCTGCTGAGACGAGACGACCCCAGTCACGCCGCCTCCAGTACGGACGGAGAATACGATCAGATCGAAGCAGAATCTCGTCTAGCCACCGGGCAGTAACTGCATCAAACTCCTTGGAGGCCTTCCATGATTTCCAAAGCTGTGTTCGAGCACGCGAGGTTGGAATTGGATATTGCTTGACATTTAATCGCAGATGGCGGGCAATAATGTTTGTTTTGGTGGAAGAAAACGAGACAAGGGGTTGTCATGCAAGAAGGTGCACCCCGTTGGCTTCTCGAGGACATGGAACCAGTCGTCACAGATCATGGGCGGCGTGGGAATGTGTTCGCCGTTCAGAGTAGTCGCAATGATTGGATGGAACTTGTGATCATACGTCCACTGAGCATTGTAGACATCGCCGTCTTGGATGAACACAGCCTCAGTGACCCGTGGATACGGGATCCATTTGTCCAGGCGGTCCGGACGCGTCGGTGGAGGCATACTCCATGCGACCTTGATTTTGATATGCGGAAAGACATACTCGGCTCGAAGCAACTCGTCGTCGAACTTGGCGTTCTTGCGGTACCAGTACTGGAACTGAACCGGATTGACTCCTCTCATGGCGGAGCCGGTGGTGATGTATCCACGCTGGTCGTATTGGACGACTTGTCCCTCCAGGTCGCCGGCTAGGCATTGCCGTTGCATGGGGAGCTTTGCCCTGGACGTTTCGGGATAATCATATACAAACTCGTTCTGCAGAGTCCCCTTGCCATCATATAGTTCCCGACTGCGAAGTATGAGCTTGTCGGTGTATGTGTTGATGGCCACCAGATTCTGCCGTTGACTCGGTTCTTGCTCATGGTGACCGGAGTATTGGTAGAGTCGAGAACAACCGTCTGGCTCGATATGCATGAAACAAGTCGTGAGACCGTTCAAACTTTCAAGGACGATACGGTTCTTTTCCAGCACCGTCTTCTGTCCTTTCATGTTTTTGTACAGAGCGGAAACCTTGTCTCGACCATGTAACTGCAGAATATTAGCGCAAATCAAGATTACAGAAAGGATGACATACCAGAACAAGGGGGAGGATAAGGTCCTGCAAGGCCTTGCAGAAAGACCAAATAGCAGTCAGAATCCATGTGATGGGCCAAGAGATGACCAGCGACTGGCCACGAAGGATATAATTCAATTCTCGCTGATACTCGGGATCTGCGACCAAGGAGAGCACAGTGAACTTGATACAGGTTCGAATCTTCTGAAGAAACCTCATGACTGTTACTCGGATAAACTCGGTAAACCCCTTGTTCTTGAGCTCGACCTCGGATGACACCGTGGTAATCAGTTGATCATAGCTTGAGTCGCGGAAATCTGACCTGGGTCCAAAATCCTCATCATGGGCAGCGATCGCTCCGGCGTACTGGCCTACAAGTACGGCCAGGGAAGTACTCAAGCTATATCTCGCAACGAGACAATGGAGGTCCACTGCGTCGGCTGTGCCAGCTCGAGAACGGATCCACTCCACATCTGGCGCAGAAAGACGAGTTGGTTGGCCGCATGCTCTCTCTATCAAGAAGGCGTGGACATGCCGAGGCATGAGATCCCATTCCATTTCAGGATCCATTCCCAAAAGAAGATGGCGGAGCATTGTCTTTTGAGCGTTGGCAATCACCCGTTTCCTTTCCGAGGAAGAGCTTTCGAGCTGGCGCTTGATGCCCTCGGGAACGACAAGCGCACCACTGTGGTGATGCTGGGCTACCAAGAGCTCCGCTAGCATTGCATGATCGCGAGAAAGTCCCAGTCGACTTTCAGCCGTAACATGAACCAGAGTCTCAGCGATGGCTTGGCAATTGCGACGAATGTTCACGACCCACTCATCCCCAACAAGGTCGAGGCTGATCAGAATGAAGATGTGAAGCCGGTCTCCTGTTCTTTGTGTGATCGCGCGCATGGCAGGGTCCTGTGGTGGCAGCAAGAGATGACGTGCCGACACAAGCTCGACAACTGTTTCTCCCGATTGCCATAGTTCGGCTGTGCGATGCAATATTGTCTCCGCTTGAGGAAAGGCTTGTTGCAAGCTGGGCAACGTCTTGGTCTCGCCCTTCGAACGAAGAATATGCATCACCTCCGTGCCAGGGTGTTGAGAAGGATCCAACTTGTACCGGAGCTCGGGAGACAACGCACGAATTGCGTCAAAGGTATTTGATAAAGTATTTTGTGAGAAATCCGGATCGGGCTCCAGTGTGCTGCAGGTGTACGTGACAGCATCCTTATCCTTATCAATGCCGGTTAAGTTCTGACCACGGGGCCATGCCACGCCAGCCCTCCAAAAAGACACAATCGCGGTCGTCCAGGTGCCAACTGCCAATCCGAGTACACCGCTATAAGCAAACTGCCGCGGGAGGACTCTCAGCAGGATGCAAGCCAGAAAACCAACAACAGCGCCAACAGTGAGCGCCCGATCCGATCGGGATCCAGTGTAAATTCTGTTATACTGATACCAAAGAAGACCCGTATATGCACCGATATACGCCAGGTACATGATGATGGCACTGCGGGAGCCTTCGAATGACCAGACTAGAGCGCAAGTGACTGCAATAGCCCAGATATGGAGGAAAGAGAACTTGAGCAGATTCCGCCAGTACAGCGACCGTCGAGCACATGCATCATTGCGTGTGGCCTCGCGCAGAAACTCGAGAGAGGGAATTGGCTGAGGTGTCCTCTGATGTGCCAGCGTCCACAGCGGCTGCGAGACGCCATCGAGGATGACGGCTCCGATCAAATAGTAACACAGACCGAAACCTACAGCCAAGCGATATGTCTCACTTGAAGCGGAGGAGAGCCCAACCAGTCCTTCGCCGGTGAATAGGGCTGTCCACTTGTCCATGAGGGCGATGATGAAGTAGAGAATTCCGCCCCAGACGTCTTTCCCCGTGTGCCGCCAGTGAAGGAACGCATTATGCAATTTGAGTCCCTTTTGCATGTCGCCCATGGTGTCGACGGCGGCTTTGAGCTGCAAGTTCCACGTTGGACTGTAGGCAAGAGGAAGCCTCGTCCGGGAGAATTTGCAGTACCACACAAGCAGAAACATTGTGGCGGAATATTCGTCAGCGAGACGCTTGATGAATGGGTCGGCCGTGGACCTGGTCCAGAACCAATGCTTTCGTTCCTTCAGCACGCAGGCCAACAGGGTCTGACGGGCCAGAGCAGTGGATGCCAACTCCTTGTCGGCATCACCAGTAGACGCACTGGCGAGATACGTCCGCTGGTACCAGTCTACTACCTGGCCGTCAGTGATGCAGGGAATATGCAGGTACCAATTGTTCCACTTTGCAATCACACGTCGGGCACCGAGCAGTAGTGCTGTCAGGAAGACGGCCAGGACGCAGGGATATATGATTATGTCGTGTTGGAGCCAAATGGTAAGAACGGGAGAGACGAACAAGATAGGAATGCAGCTCATAATAACCGTGCGGCCCTGTCAAGGTCAGTAGTTATCCCTGTTATCGTGTGCATGCAAAGACTTACCGACTGGAAATGGAATCCAGGGAGCTGATAGATTGACAATGCAGACAGTGTCATCAGATATATTGTCAACATCACTAGGTATGCGGAAAAGACAACACCAGACACAAAGCCTTTGGCGATTCCTATCCCAATGAATGTAAAGATACCTCCGACGGAGACAACTGCTACGCCAGCGATGAAGCGGGTTAAGACGAACATGCTCATCGCGGGAAACGCCATGGCATATAGGTAGTAGCTGCCTCCCGAGCTGATCCAGCCGCCGAAGCCACCGCAGAGTAGCAACGCAGCCATCAATGCAGTGGTCGCCAAAGTTTTATCGTCATTGCTCATGAAGGTGGTAAGATACAGGCCTCGTCCGATGGTCGTCAGGAGAGTGATATCGATCAGCGCCGGAACCGCAAAGATACCAAGGAACGTAAAGCGGTAAGATAATGGGAGGTCCTCCTGTCCTCCATTGGGATCCAGATCGATATCCATGGACGCATAAGCAGTGGGAAGCTCGGTAAAAGCTTCCTCCCGTCGAGGTGGTTGGTGCTGGCGATAGTATGCGCGGATACGATCGGACAAGATTTTGCCAATGGCCTTGGGCGTCATGTCGATGTAAGCATCGCATCTGGCTCCGACCGCATAATTTTCAGCAAAGCAAGATGTTTGCACATGGTGAAGGTTCGGACGAGGGTTACGATCAAGAACCTCGAGGTAAATCTCGTTCATGGCCAGCTTACGAAAAGCGCAGAAAACGGACAGGGCCAGAAAGTCTGCCCTGACATCAATCTGCCCCGGTTGCAGAATAGCCTCCATGACTTCGGTGATTTTCGCCAAGCTCGTGCTGTCTGCCTCGATGAGTATCTCAGGAAGGCGAGCGTCAATCTCTTCAAACAGCGCCAGAGCACTTCTGGGTTCGAGCGATGCGCAGCCCTGGTCGTGGTACCAGGCCAAACGCACTTCAACAAGCTGCTTGGCGGACACTTCCCCGCTGAGATAGCCCGTCGAGGTCATAGCTCGCAACTGGCTCAGAGTTGGGACGTCCAGGAGCTGATATTCACAGCAGGTGCGAACTTTAGCCACTAAAGCGGACGACTCTTTACATGTCGACAATGTTAAGCGTTGCATCCAAAGCAGCGCCTCCGCGGGACTGAGGTCTTCGATGTCGTTCACCAATCGAGGAGGGAGATCCCATTTCGGAGAAAGAGTGTTTCTGGCATCTGCAAGGGCGATTTCCGCTTTGAGGCATTCATACCGGCTGAATCTGCGACGCGATAGGAAGGTGTGCAAGATGGTCGCTGTCCGATCGACCGTCTTTCCGGATATGAAAATATCCAACGAGCCCGTGAGGGCATCGGCCTCGTACATACCCCAGATCTGGGTCCCACTGGGCGTGCGAAATCCGGAGTGTAAACCGACCCAGATCCGAAGTTTATCATTTTCCGCACCGTTACCAGAAGAAAGAAGGTCAATCAATTCTTGGATCGTGGCAGACATGGCGCCTGCACCGATGGAAGTTTTCTGCGATTTGAGGAGAGCACGCAGGTCCGCCGCCATACGTCGTAGCTCCTCTACTTGAATCCGGTCGAGAAGATCTAGGTCGCGAATGCTGCGTTGCGCCTCGAGAAGGTCATTGATGTCTTTCTCGGAGCAGTCATGACCCATTTGAAAACAGCCCAGACCGCTGTAGTCGACACCGTCGGGGGAGACAGAGAAGGGATTCATGTGTGCGTAGTCCATTTTCGATGGCCAATCAACCTCATCGATGTCAATCGAGCGCGCATCAACCAGTGACCGATGCCGATGTGTAGGAGGAACAATGATCATTTTCTCGAGGAGATCCGGTACGAAGGTCCATAGGCCATCGTAGCGAGCATCATGTTCAGCGGAGACTTCCGTCACCTGCACGTGCGTCAGCCTTTGCACTTGCTACGATGGAGTGAATGCTCACCTTGTCATTGAAGCGCCAGTTATCGTGGGCTTTGAGCACAATATCGTCCTTCAACCACATCAATGCACCCAAGGGCTCGTTCTTGATTGTCCGACGAGCGGCAACTTCGGCGTCTGTCAGAGCGGACCGAGGACCAATCCAGTTCATGGCGCTGTTGTAACCGCACCACTTGAAGGTCCGTCCGAGAACATGGTGGGAGACGTCCACATCATCTTCGACTGTCTCCCACATGGCGTGAGTGCAGCCTCCCATGGCTTTTTGGGCAGCGACAACTCGCATGACCGTCCGCATCTTTTCCATCTGAAAGTAGTCTCGCTGGTTGCCGCTGGGAAATATTGTACCGTTGCGGTAAACAACGCCGCGAATGCGGCTTATGTCGATGTCGCGGCATTCACGTTCGCTGAGATAGTCAGGCGGTGACATCTCCAGCCATACGTCAAGACCAATACCATTAAGGTATTGGACCAATTGGTTGAGTACAACAGGTTGGAAATGCTTCTGCCAGTCTGCCAGGAGAACTCCGTGAAGTGGGGACTCCCTTCCTTGTGGATGGCTGAAGTTCGAGATGACTGTTTCGGCAACGACACACAAACACTGAATGACTTCATCGATTGTGATGCTTGTCTCGATGTTTACCAAACTTTGAACATCCACCCGGCCAACGACGTGGGTGGAGGAACAATAATTGTATATACCGCTCACAATCCCATGCTGAAGAGGGTCTACCACGATAACGTCCCATCGCGATAGTATGGACAATTGCTCTGGACTAGGAGGGCTGGATAGCGACCCGAGGTACACTCCGAATGTCTTCAGTTCCACATTTGCAGGGCTCTGCGAACGGAGAGGTTTCGTTTCCCTCTTCAAGCGATCAAGATAGCGAGTGATGGCCACGGGGGCGGCTGATAGTTGGCGTCTCCCCTATACCAGGTATCAGTATCCATGATGAGAAAGAGTATCTACAAGAGGAAGTGCGACGTACCTTCCAGCGAGCATGGAGCTTCTTTCCGATAATGAACAGGAAGTATAGACAACCCAGGACGATGGTGGTCAATAGCAGTACAGCGAGTGCTTTGTCCCACCAGGTCTTGAGCATTCCATGCCATCCAATAGCATGGAGACCCAGATATTCTGTCCCCATGGCAAATGACACTGGGGATCAGGGACGCGATAACGAGTGATATGCACAAGACTACAGGTGCATGGGCGTGCGGATCTATATGACGATGATATAAGGCCGAAACCACCACCCTGCCTGCTGTCTATGCTAAGTAGAGCCTGACAGACTCAGTGATACATCTCTATGACTGATACGACGCCCACCTATGGTGGCTGAGCTACACAGTGCCCGCCTGAGCTTGAGAAGCAAGAGAATTCTGTTCTGATTTCAGCTCGGGTGCTGGGGCCCAAATTTACGAAAGGAAACAGACCAAATTAGACCGGCGCTAGTGCTGCAGTGGTTCGATCCAAAAATAATTCTTTATCAGGAACGAGTCTATGACTCTGCGACCAGTGTCTGAGTTTGGACGTGGCATACGTCTAGCGAGTCAAGGGTCTGGATGTGTCTTGGTCGTCAGCCGCTAATTCTCGCCAAAAGTTGCCATTACTCTTGGCCGTCCGGTGAGACCAGGCTGGAGAGATGAGGAAGGTTCGTTCTCAGGTATTTGTAGAGAATTGATATCGCTGGAATTGTTGCTGGAGATCCGCCTTTGCGTGTTATCACCATCACTGTCGAGAGGCTTACGTGCTCTTCCCTCCAATCGTTCCACCAGGCTCACCTACAATGGCTGCTTCGAAAGCTAAAGGACGACGCAATTTGTGGATTGGTATCGGCGTCGCCATTGCCATTGTGGTCATTATTGTTATTGTCGTGCCATTGGCAGTTATCCTGCCCAAGAAACATCATGGCAAGAAGGCTACGATCTTGTTCCCCCTCTATATCTGGCCCGAAACCGACAGTACGTGGGACCCGCTGTACGAGCAGTAAGTTTGCCCTTGTCAGATCCGGAAGAGTTGGTAAATTGATGTCGTCAGAGTGGCCAACTACCCGAATCTGAACTTTACCATCATCATCAATCCCAGCAGTGGTCCGGGAAACAGCTCGCAGCCTAGCTCGCAGTACGCACACCAGATCCAGCGGCTGAATGCGTACCCAAATGTGCGGACCGTCGGATACGTGCGCACAGGGTATGCCAGCCGGAATGTGACAACCGTGCTGCAAGAGGTGGGCATCTACTCCGGCTGGGCAGCGGTTTCGCCAACTCTTGCCATGCATGGGATCTTTTTCGACGAGGTGCCCAGCGAGTATACCACATCCTCAGCCGAATTCCTGGCTACGATCAATGAAGCGGCCAAGAACGCCTCTGGGCTGAGGCCAGACCGAACGGTAAGCATGTCTCTGTTTTCGTATTTGTGTTTCAGTACGCTGTCCAGACCTGCTTAAAGTTTCCTGGTGTACGAGACATGCTTTGAGGCTCAACTAATGATTCATCACTAGGTGATCCATAACCCGGGCGCGATCCCGGACTCCCGATATAGTAACATCGACGGGACCGATGTGACAGTTGTCTTTGAACAGTCCTATCAGGAGTATCAGACCAAGCATGCGAGTCTGATGGCGCTTCCTGCGAACCGGACGGCTTACAGCTACATGGTCCACTCGGTGCCTTCCATGAATAATGGCACACTCCGCGGCTTGGTCCAGGATCTAAGCGAGCGCGCGGAATATCTGTTTCTCACGACGCTGAGCCAGAATTTCTACGAGAGTTTTGACCCAAAGTTACCCACTTTATGTGCTGTCATGCCCAGTTGACGTGGATGAAACCATGGTTATTGGATGCGGGGAGCATTGTTTTTGGCTTTGGACTTTTGATATCACGTCACAGTAATCGCAGGTAACATAATCAATTAGCTTTGTCAGGATTCCGGCAATAGTTACTTGATAAGTGGCAGGCAGGTGAGCCATCGTATTGACCAAGCTTTGATAGGCAGTGTCGTGTCGGGCATAGAAGGAAATGTGACACCACGACTGGCTATCAACGGCACCACATGGCTCGATCCCTGCATCTCGTCAGCACTAGGCTACCTCCTAGTAGTAGCCTCCAGACTAGTAGATAGATAGATAGATAGATAGATAGATAGATAGACATGTGCGGTCGCAGTGCGTTCCTGTTCCTCGTCCCTGTCAATCAGGGCATCTATTTAGCGTTCATGCTATCGCTTCACACTAACCATCCACCCGATCTGACCGAATAATCGCCATCATTTCGCCATCTGACTGATTCTTACGACTTCATCACCATCGGCGCAATGCCCCCAAAATCAGGAGTTCTCGTCCCGTTGTACATTTACCCTCTATCAGCGACGACATGGGCTCCACTATACGACGCGTGAGTCCACCAATCTCAATTCCTAAAATCAACCAGATCAGTATCGGTCAGTATCTTACAATACTGGATTGGTATTCACCTCGTTAGTATAACTGCCCACCCCGATCTAGACTTCCTGGTGGTCGTCAACCCCAACAGCGGACCGGGCGACCTCCCCTCCCCGAACAAGGATTACGCCCGCGAGGTCCCCAAGCTCAACGCCTTTCCGAACGTCTACACCGTCGGCTACATTCGTATCCACTACTGCGATAAGCCTCTGGAGGAGGTCTACGAGGAGATCGATCGGTATGCTAGCTGGTCGGCCTGCGATGGTTTAGGATTAGGTGGGATTCTGCTTGATGAAACGCCAAACCATTATTCGGAGGAGAGGGAGGAGTACCTGCGTGCTTGTACGGAGTTTATCAAGGGGAATGAGGGGATTCTGCGCGATCGGATGGTAAGTAATTTATTTTTTTTTCTTCTCTTTCTTTTCTTTTTTTAGTTTTTGGGTTTTCTTTTCCGTGGGATTGAACAGAATTGAATTGAAATGAGTTGAGTTGAGTTGAGTTGCCTGCTGACAGGGATGATGCTGGTAGGTCGTCCATAACCCAGGCACACCCCCCGATGCCGGGTTGGCCGACACCTGTCCGGATCTGATTCTGACCTGCGAAGAGCCGTACGAGAGGTACCGCTCCGACGAGGTGCAGCGTCGACTGGCCGAACTGCCCTATGACCAAGTCCGATGCGGGTACATGATCAATGCGGTGCCAGTCGGCGAGCTGGTTGGCCTGGTGCGCGAATTGCGCGATCGCGCGGCGTATCTGTTTGTCACGGAGGTGGAGGGGGATTTCTACGAGCGATTTGGACCAACCAGTTGGATGCAATTGATGCATGCGCTGAAAAGCGATTCAGATTCGGAGATAGTGTAGTGTATGTACTGTGTATCTTAGTGGTCTAGGCCTAGGTCTCGGCGTGGATCGAATAGATCTGTCATTCTTGCGTGTTTAGCTGTCACCGGTGCCAAAGTTAGTACGCACTAGTGAGAAGCCACAGTGCGCTGAGCGCCACAATGAATCGCTGGGTCTCACTTTTGGCTCTATGCCGTGGATAAGGTGTGGTAATTGGTCGATAAGGGTGAGACATCCACCGACGCCTCATTGATATGGCGTTGGATATCCGTAGTTGCCTACTTGGCATCGCCAGCGCAACCGGCATAAGCTGACTGCGGCTGCACCGTGCAAACGTCCACGACGGTGAGACTGGGATTAGGCAAATAATGGTGGCATGATAAGGAAAGTATATTCCTCGTATGAATCGAATTGTTTCAGGATGTACAGGATGTAAGGTACGGAGTAAGGTACTTACGGTATGTATTGTATGGCTTAGAGTCATGGCCTGACATACCAATACCAGCCATGTCTCGGCTATCATATCCAGCTGGATTGCTTGAGATGAAAATAGTATCATTGACATGAAGTCATGGAAACGTGGATGCCATGATCATGACGAGGATGACTGCGATCCGTTGGACTTATTGTCTGCGATGAGCCTTGGGCTGTAGACTGTAGTAAGTCGCTCCTTTGGTTGCTGTGATATGGTATACCTGTCCCAGTATGACTTCAAGTTCACATTCTGAAAGAAGCCCGTCTGCTTCTCCTCGGATCTTTTCTGAAGTCCCAACTCCAGACAGCGAGACGGATGGCTTTGATACATTGACACCAGTCAGTGATGGCGAGGAGTATGTCCTTGTCACTGGCGGCCTAGGATTCATCGGGAGCCATACCTGTCTGGAATTGATGAAAGCGGGTTACAATGTGCTCATCGTCGACGACTTGAGTAACAGCTACCGTCATGTCTTCTCCCGGATCCTCCTGGCCGCGAAACTGCACTTTGACGGGACGGATGGCCGATGTCCTAAGGCGACACTGTACGATGTCGACTACCGCGACATGTCCGCCATGAGGAACCTCCTCGACACGTATCAGCTCGACCTATCCCCAAGACAATCGAGCATCATCGGAGTCATCCACTTTGCAGCCTTCAAGCAGGTCGAAGAGAGCATCCACACCCCGCTCAAGTACTACCGCAACAACATCAACGGGCTCGTCGACCTCCTCTTCCTGCTAGACCAGTACCGCATCACCGCCTTCATCTTTTCCTCGTCTGCCAACGTCTACGGCAAACTCGCCGAGAACCGCCCCACCCTCCACGAAGAGGAATGCACCCATCAATCTGAACCCAACCACTTAGGTGCGTCTCACTCCTCCGAAACGAACATCTCCCAAATCACAAACCCCTACGGCCGCACCAAACTCTTCGGCGAAGCAGTCCTCGCCGACGTGGCCCGCGCAAACCCCGCCTGGACCATCGTCGCCCTGCGCTACTTCAACCCAATCGGCTGCGACGCGTCCGGCCTCCTAGGCGAAGACCCCAAAATCAATCCCTCGAACCTCGTCCCCGCCCTCGTGGACATCCTCACCGGCAAGCGAGACGAGCTCCTTATTTACGGCAGTGACTGGGATACACCTGACGGCACCCCGATCCGGGACTTCATCCATGTCACGGACGTGGCGAGGGCCACACCGCGGCATTGGCTGCGGCGCGGGAGGGCCGTGTTCGAGATGGGTTCCGCACGTTTAATCTCGGGACGGGGCGTGGGCATTCGGTGCTGGAGCTGGTACAGGCGCTGGAAAATGTGTCCGGACGGTCGATTCCGAGACGGGTGGTGGGGAGGAGAGCGGGGGATGTTGGGTCATGCGTTGCCAGTGCGGAGCGGGCGGCGGTGGAGTTGGGATGGACGACGGAGAAGTCTTTGAGGGATGCTTGTGAGGATTTATGGGGGTATTGGCAGGAGTAATGGGAGGTATATTCTATAGATCACTAATATCATGTGCTAATGTGGATCTTGCACTTCTAAATAGTAGGTTTGTAGCGATATATATTGCTTGCTCATGCCCATGGATTTATGAATTTTACGCATGCAGACTAATGCTGTATAATTCATAACTACTATCTAATGATATAGAGTATTAAGATGTGACTGTCTAAAGTGTTATATATAATAATCTATCGGAGTGAATGACTATTGTCCACCAGACAATAGGTTCATGATATATGACGTCATTTATATCAGTGCCTTGCCATAAGGTAGCATCCTCCTCTCTCTTCTCCATATCCACCGTGTCTTGACCTGTGAGATGTCTCAGGATTGAGATATTTCCGCCTTAAAGGAGCACCTGATTGGCCAATTGATTGCCACTTGCAATAGCGTACCAAGAAATCCGGGGATTGGCCTGAGCACGTTCCCATGCCTCCACTCTGATTGGCTGGCTCCACAGATGGCCTGATGGGTTGCCTGATTCGGTCGAGATTGGATAACTGAAGAATGTTCGCTGCATGCGCACGTGTTTCTCCTGAAGCTTATCTAGCCTTTGCTGCCTGTCATTTTCTTGTCTGTAATCATCTTCCTTTCTGATACCTATCCCTCCAGAGCTATCGCAATGAACGTCTTCCACGAGCAGATAGGGCATATCGCCCTCTACACTTCTCCACGAACCAAAGAGGGTGCCACCATCGCCATGCTGATCGAACTCATCGGGTATGCCACACTACTCCCCCACGATAGCAGCTTAGTGCTAACAACACAGACAACCGCGTTGCATCCACCTCGTCCACAGCATAAAAGAAATCAAACACGACGATGCAAGCGCGTATACCAGCCTGCCCGTCCTCTTCGACGTAACCAGAGAAGGCAAAAAGACCAGTGCATCCGGCTTGGCCAATATCAGCCGCTACCTTCTCACCAAATATGACGCCGAGCACCACTTTTCGTACAAACAGGGGTCCAAGGAAGCAGAGGAGGTGGATAACTGGATTGCGTTCCTGAGCAAGACCATCCACGGCAATAATCCAGAGGAAACCTTTACACGGAAGGCCCTGCGGCTGTATCTCTATCTTGAGGAGCATTTGCAGAAGGCGCGGAGTCCGTATCTTGTCGGCAAGAAGTGGTATGTCTGTTGCCTACCATCAACCGTGCAGCGTGCTAACAGATGCAGTACACTGGCGGATTTGGTGATTTTCCCATATGTAGCCGGCGCGAGTCAAGCGAATCTGGATCTTGAGCGCTTCCCCGAGTTGACGACTTGGCATGATCGACTTGCTCGGAATCCTCATGTGGCCAAGGGCATGAAGGATGTATATTTGGAGGCGTAATCTCGTTTGGATTAATGGCCTATACGTGATACATGGATTAATTTGTATATAATGATTGGTCAACTAACCCCCGCCCACAGCATCAAGAATGTCAGTCACCTTCTTAATATCCTTATTCTCCACCTCAATATAATGCCTCATCGCCAACGCCGTCACAACCACCATCTCCACGAACCGCTCATCTCCTTGCACAAACACTTCAATCTGCTGCCCCTGGCCTTTCAAGGATAGCTTCTTGTGGTATCTTGCTAACAACCGCCGCTCGTTGTCAAACAACTCCAGTTTACTCCCTCCCCATGCATCGGGCTTCCATTTGAAGTGCCCTAGAGGTGGGTAATCGAAGTGGTGGTTATCGCTTTTGAGGAGGTCGCGCTTGAGTAGGAATTCGTGGCCGTGAAGTGTGATGTCCACCTTGCTAGAGGGGAACTTGTGGACGGTGCAGGTTCCGATGGGGATAGGCGCTGGAGACCTTGGTCCTGGCGGTGGGAGACGCAAGACGGTAAGATGTGGTTTGGATTTCTGGGTGGTGAGGTGGAAGACTGGTCTGTCTGCGCAGGTGACTGTTTCTCCCGAGCTGTCGAGGGTGAAGGTGTAGACGGGCTGGGGGATTTGCTTTTGGAGAATAGTTTGTCCATAGTATTTGGTTGGTTATGTATTGGAGCTGTTGCTGAACTGAATTTCATTTGGAATAGCCTTTGAAAGTGCTGGAACCGGTATATATACATTGTCATGGCGATTTCCATCATAATGTGTTTGACCCTGCCCGTGGCTGTGACCTGATGGTTTGCCCTTTTTGGCAGCAGTGGAATCTAGGCTAGTCCCAAAAGAGTAATTATTGTGCATCCCGCTGCGGTGCCAAGAGCTGATCATCCGTATTCCTGCACTGCCTGACACCGCCTTGACCCATGGATAGAGGCACATAAATTACTGCTTTGGGATAGTCAATGATCCCCTTAGACGATATTTTCCGCTTAGGCCAATCTAAATCGGGCCAGTCACTCGCCACGGCACTGAGGCTGATTTTGTTCGAAATGCTGTTTCGTCATGGCCACTGCTCAAACACGGCCTTATGGTGGGTGTCTCTTCCGGCTCAGCAATCCTCTGAATCTGGAGTTCTTCACGAATCAGTCGACAAAATAAAGACATATCTCAGAGCCGTTCGTTCAGGCGGTTGAAGCTGTTGGTAGACCTGGCAGTCTCAATAATGCCGTCAGCGCTCTCCAGCAGAGTAGCGGCAATGTTACTGAAAAGTGGGACGGAAGAGATCGATCAACCGGACTCTTCCAGATAATGGCGTATCCCTCCCCGATACGTATCGCTCCAGATATCCTTGTCATGTCGCATGCGACCCGTCAGTCTCGGTAAGTCCATAATATCCAGCGCGACCATGGGGTAGAAATTCGTCAAAAGGGTCTCAACCGCAACATTAAAGTATCCTTTAAAATTTTGACCAAAGATATCTTCATCTTCTTTGTCAGGGTGAGCTCAGGACGTGGGTAGTGCGCGACCCTGGAGACTGCAACCACGTATGGAATCTCCTTTCGGTCTCTCAGGGGCGCTGAAGAAGGAAGTGGTGAATTGAGGACTGACTCTAAGGCTGGGGGAGTCACCATGAGACAGGCCGTCGTGGTGAGTCCAGTGGGAAGGTCTCTCCACATCTCGTCGAAGCGTCTATTCCAGTAGAACAGAGAATAGAATGATATAGTATGAAAGACGTACCGAGAAACCTCAACCGGCGACGCCTCCTCCAACGAGGAATCCTCCACCCACCGAAACCGCAGCAGTTCAATCGCCCGATCCGACTTGGGACCGACTTGATTAAGTAATTAGGAAGACGGGAGAATATATAGATTTAGCTATTCAGTCAGGTAAACCACGAAACCAACGCAATATCGTCATTTTTTATGAAGTACTCCGTACGTAGATTCTGGATTCAACGAAGGCAATAACTGGAGGGCAATTAAAAAGGAGAGATGGACTCAATTGTAAATTGAATTGTTAGCTTGCAGAAAAAGATACAGAACAAAAAAGAATGCATCATCCGTGAATCGAACACGGGCCTCGTCGATGGCAACGACGAATTCTACCACTAGACCAATGATGCTATTGCTTGGCATATACGACTATTTAGTGCTACATGAAGGAAAAGGAGTCCAAAAGAATTTTATTTGACCCATACTATTGATAACTGACCCTAGGCTTTCATATGACCACTACTTGGTCAATCAGTTCGTTGGTTCGCCATATTGATCTCATTGGGCCCAGTTAGACAACAAATGTCGTATTCCTAACAATGTTCCACTGACAGAAACCGCGACTACATCACGTAGTCATCCTGGTTCACGATCACGATTAATCGCGCAGGCAAGCACCTTCCTAAAACGGTTTAGCGAAAGGACTACTCGAGTGGTCCCAAAGAGGCCACTGAAAACATGGCCTATCGTCTCAGGTTCAAGCATCAACAAGGTAACAACATATAGAAGACTCAGGCTATGGATATCGGCACGTCTTTATTGACGGTCCTTGCCAGTGAGATTGCCCATTTACTGAAAAATCGCTAGACATCTTAAGCCTTTTGAAGACGCTTTTTGAGCTTCCAGACTATATACCCTCGGCTGATCAGTTTCCGACCGTGCAAGATGCTTAGAATTCTGCCAGCAGATGTAACCTTTTACTGTCCCACATCCCAACAACAACCAATCCTCGGCTCAGTCGGCTGTTCCTGGGGAGGAACCTTGGAAAGGCTTGGAATGATTGGCGGGGTGGAGCAAAAATGCTTGTACTAGCTTGACCAAGATAAGCACTCTTGCCCCTCGAATAGGCAACCGAAAAACTACCTTGAATCTATGGAGTAATTCAAAGACAAGTATGGCGCCACTCCTGCGGGCTTCCGATGGACTTAATCAAATAGATTGAACTAATTTCTTTAATGGTGTCTGCAGGGAAAATCCCGCAAAGAGATGCTGGACTTTGCAAGGTGCGATGCGCGTGTCCTTGCTCTGTCCACGCCCCTAGCATCATGCCGGTTGCCGTCACATGGAATGATAATCTCGCCTTTTCGAGCCAACTGACATGCAAATATAAATATCGATCGGCGGCTGATTCAGATCTATATCCTTTGTCTTTTATCTTCCTATCCGCCCCTGTGAGTTCGGCTCCGCAGTCCTCCCGCAATGCTCTCCTCAACTCTCTACGCAGGGTTGCTCTGCTCCCTCGCAGCCCCAGCCCTTGGCGTGGTGCACGAGAAGCTCTCAGCTGTTCCTAGCGGCTGGGCACTCGTCGAGGATGCATCGGAGAGCGACACGATCACTCTCTCAATTGCCCTTGTTCGGCAGAACCTCGACCAGCTCGAGTCCAAGTTGACCACGCTGGCGACCCCAGGGAACGCGGAGTACGGCAAGTGGCTGGACCAATCCGACATTGAATCCCTATTTCCTACTGCAAGCGATGATGCAGTTATCCAGTGGCTCAAGGATGCTGGGATCACTCAAGTGTCTCGTCAAGGCAGCTTGGTGAACTTTGCCACCACTGTGGGAACGGCGAACAAGCTCTTCGACACCAAGTTCTCCTACTACCGCAATGGTGCTTCCCAGAAACTGCGTACCACGCAGTACTCCATTCCCGACCGCTTGACAGAGTCGATCGATCTGATTGCCCCCACTGTCTTCTTTGGCAAGGAGCAAGGCAGCACACTGCCACCTCACGCGGTGAAGCTTCCAGCCCTTCCAAGGAGGGCAGCCACCAACAGCTCTTGCGCCAATCTCATCACTCCCGACTGCCTAGTGGAGATGTACAACCTCGGCGACTATAAGCCTGATGCATCTTCGGGAAGTCGAGTTGGCTTTGGTAGCTTCTTGAATCAGTCAGCCAACTATGCAGATTTGGCTGCTTATGAGCAACTGTTCAACATCCCACCCCAAAATTTCTCGGTGGAATTGATCAACGGAGGCGTTAATGACCAGAATTGGGCCACTGCCTCCCTCGGCGAGGCCGATCTGGATGTGGAGTTGATCGTAGCCGTCAGCCACCCCCTGCCCGTAGTGGAGTTTATCACTGGCGGTTCACCGTAAGCCAGTCCATCCAAGTGAAGGAAAGCATGCTAAAATGAATCAGTCCGTTTGTTCCCAATGTGGACGAGCCCACTGCTGCGGACAACCAGAATGAGCCCTATCTGCAGTACTACGAGTACTTGCTCTCCAAACCCAACTCGCATCTTCCTCAGGTGATTTCCAACTCGTATGGTGACGATGAACAGGTGAGCATCCTAAAAATTCTGTTGTATAGGTAGACACTAACCTATTAGACTGTTCCCGAGTACTACGCCAGAAGAGTGTGCAACTTGATCGGCTTGATGGGTCTTCGTGGCATCACGGTGCTTGAGTCCTCTGGTGACACCGGTAGGCATAGATCCCCTGGTAGTCTGTTCCGTGCTAACATGATCAGGAATCGGCTCGGCGTGCATGTCCAATGACGGTACCAACACTCCCGAATTCACTCCTACATTCCCTGGCACCTGTCCCTTCATCACCGCGGTTGGTGGTACCCAGTCCTATGCTCCTGAAGTGGCCTGGGACGCCAGTTCGGGCGGATTCAGCAACTACTTCAGCCGTCCCTGGTACCAGTATTCCGCGGTGGAGAACTACCTCAACAACCACATAACCAAGGATACCAAGAAGTACTATTCGCAGTACACCAACTTCAAGGGCCGTGGATTCCCTGACATTTCCGCCCATAGCTTGACTCCTGAGTACGTGGCCCTGCTTTTTATTACATCCGGACACCCGCGTTCTAACCGCATATAGCTACGAGGTCGTCTTAACGGGCAAACATTACAAGTCCGGTGGCACATCCGCTGCTTGCCCCGTCTTTGCTGGTATTGTCGGTCTCTTGAACGACGCCCGTCTGCGCGCCGGCAAGTCTACCCTTGGCTTCCTGAACCCATTGCTGTATAGCATTCTGGCGGAAGGATTCACCGACATCACTGCTGGAAGTTCAATCGGTTGTAATGGTATCAACCCGCAGACCGGAAAGCCAGTTCCTGGTGGCGGTATCATCCCGTACGCGCACTGGAATGCTACTGCCGGCTGGGATCCTGTCACTGGTCTTGGTGTTCCCGATTTCATGAAGTTGAAGGAGTTGGTCTTGTCCTTGTAAATTTAAGAGGCGTAGATGAGCAATTATAACATTTTCTTCTCAGAGTTTTGTTTATTCAGTGCTACTGTATATGATATTCTCGGTACGTCAGGCCCCGTATGTCTGGTATTGCGGATATAGCTCACGTGCTACCTATAGCATGCAATAGTGGTGGTCTGGAGAGATGAAGGTTGATTTGAATGCCTACAGCAAGGCTGTAAATGATGAGGCTGTTTTGTCATCGCAAGGCTGATAACGCGTTGGATAGCGAAGCAGCCGTTGTTCCAATGCTGTGGTTGGCTCGACGACGGATCGAAATGCTGGTGTGCGTGACAGCTGCCCAAGTACCTAGCAGGAGAGCCTTGCATTAGCTGCTTGGCCGCTGGCTGTGCCGCTCTACGGATTCTCCTATAAGCCGACGACCTCGTCAGAAACCTGGAAACGCGTCCCTGCTCTCGATAAATCGACTTCGACATTTACAGCCAGAAAAACATTGGGTAACGCCAGTTGATGGTCAGAATATGAACAACACTCAAGTTGATCAGCCATCGCCACCCCAGTCGGTACACGATTCCGAAGACGAATCGCCCCCTGGACCGGAGCACGCCTCGACAGACGGCGAGCCATTGTGGGACATGGAAGCTTCTGATTCAGATTTCTATACATATGGGGCGAAGGCTTTGAGAGAAGTAGTCCTTCGATCTGGTCACCATGGTTATTCTGAGATCAAAGCGATGCTGGACAACGGACGAGTGGAGGTGGAAGAGAAGGGCCCGGATGGCCGAACTGCCCTTTCGGTAACCATTCAGGAACGCATGTATGACATTGTGGAATTGCTTCTGAAAAAGGGGGCCGACCCCAATACTCGGGAAGATCGAAACCGTACCCCATTCTTTTGGGCCACTACGCGAAGCATAGGTGGCACTATGCAAGGCATATTTGCCTTCCGTTCCAGTTATAATGTCATGATTGAATTACTCCTGCAGGCCGGGGCAGATCCGAATTTAACAGACGACGAAGGGAACTCCCCGCTGGCGTTGGCTGCTGCTATAGGAAATGAAGAATTCGTGAAGCTGGTCGTCGAGTCTGGTCTTGCCAAAATCAACACGCAGGGGACGAGGAGAAAACTCCACTGATGTGTGCAGCAACTGGAGGATGGCCAAATTGTATGAGCTACCTTTTATCACACGACGCCGATATGGGCAGTTGTACTTGGTGGGAAAGATTCCTTCAGACGAGGTCACGGAAAAGAGAGAAGCAGCCGGGCCCATTTCCGTTCCCGAAGCCCGGGTGGCAAGATCGTACTGACTTGGAAAACCTCTTATTTAAGCTGAAAAGGCATATCTTCTGGAACAAGGTACTTCCGGACGGGTGCACGTTTCTCTCGTGGGCCGTGGAGTTTGAGGACGAAGAAATTGTTAAATGGCTTCTGGATACGGGAGCGAACCCCAACATTCGTGACACGGTGGAACCTCGGATGACCCCCTTGATAAAGGCATTGAAGCTTGGCAACATGACCATGGTCGACCTGCTCAAGGAGAAAGACAAATCTTCGATGCATATTTTGGCGGACGAAGCTGATGATATAGGTGAAGAGCAAGCCTTGGACCTCGCACGCAAGCTTCTAGGTCAAGGGTACGAACTCAACAAGCGGGATTTGAAAGGTCAGAATCCCGTCCACATTGCATGTCGTAAGGGAAGAACACGCTTAGTTGAGGAGTTTCTGCATCCGGATTATGGTGAACAAAACGCCTTCGTTCATCAGCAGGACAATAGCGGGAAAACGCCGATGCAGTATGCAATCGACAACGAGGACATTGTCAAGCTTTTGATCCAACACGGCGCGGACCTCAGTGATGTGCAAGCTGCAAGCCTGTTCAAAATCAGAGAATCAAAGCCGGTCTGCGTCCAACTGACTAGCAATCGTCGGGCCCATTACCAAACTCTTCTTCTGATCAGTGACAATGATGAAGCACGAGAGCTGTGGAACCCGCAGCCTGGACACATCAAATTACGGTGATTTACAGTGTAGCCTTTCGCTCTTCCCTAGTACTGACTCTGCCAGTCTCTTCGATAGAGGTTCGAAAATACCAGACTTTCACAGCTTTAAGGTCAAGGAAGATCCTGTTTTACGTCGTGGATACTGTCAATTCTTCCAGTCAAAACGGTCAAGTCAACCGGGTGAGACTCAGCTGTTCAAGCTATGTATATCTTTGCCTGGTTTGACACGCCGTTCTGAGCGACTTCCACTGGAGACAAGCCTTTCCGAGCGATTTCCATTGGAGATAGCTTGGGCCATCAGGGAAATAGATCATAGTCTTGCATATGGATACATCAGCACGCTTTCGAACTCTTCAATACCTGAGCATCATGGAGGACTTTCAGAGATTTGATGACCGAGGTTGCCGGGGAATGGAGGGAGAGAGTGTCGGTTCTGGTGGATGAAATCAATAATATTGTAAGAGTGCCGCGATCCCCAAAGTCGCGGACTGATCTGATTCTCTCCCAAATTGACAAAAAAAGAGATTAGACCAAGTCGAATTACAGGGGAGAAGCCGGACTGTCCTCAAGTGCTTACAGAGAAAGGCAGAACAACACGCAAGGCTGCAAAGCTGGTTCAAAGCCCACGTAACTGGACTCACGCATGTGGTGAATATCGACCCATATTTGCGGAAAGAAAAGGGCCCGCTTATGGAAATAATACGGGAGATGGACCAGGAAGTCAGTTCGGGACTTGCTCGCATCGAGCAAAGTATTCGTGAGTTACTGCAGATTGTGGGTGCACCACCCCGCCGTCTACTCTCGATCCAACTGACCGGTGGTTGATAGGAAATTGCATGGATCTCCATTAGCGAGGCCAAAAGCATCAAACGGCTCACTTGGATTACTGTAAGTCAATTCAAAACCACTGGTTCGCAGACTAACTCGCCAGTTCATATTTCTCCCCCTTATGCTCGCGTCGGTAAGTGCATCCACAAGCAAGGGATTCATGCATGTCCTTCCGGGTTGCTGACACATCGCATCTACCAAGAGCCTTTTCGGGATGAATATAAACCTTCTGAAAGACAATCCCAACTGGAGATGGTTCCTTCCTATTGGAGTGACGTTGGTACTTTTGACATTCGCTTTATGGCTGCTCTTTGACTGGGTAGGTACTCGCATACATGCTGAGATGATGTGAATGGTGTCTAATCAAAGTGGCCTAGGCTGAGCCACACTTGGAGGACCGGATGAGGAGATTGATAACTCCCAGGGAAAGCCCCAAATATACAACGGCTGATGATGACGACGGGACGTCCCTTGTATCAAGCGTTGTGTGATATGAATAAGGTGTACATGTTCCACTATTCTGGTCTGTTCGGAAGGCCGGGATCACCGCCCCGTTCGTTATGTATGTTTATATCTGATCAATATCCTGAACTCAATCTCTTTCCGTTGCTTTCGGAACAACTACATGATAGTCACAGTTTGAGAGAACAAATCTATGTCCATCAAATAAGCAATAAATAACAAGTCTTTCTTAAAAGAAAACCTCTGCCAGTCCCTTTTCAGTCCCTGTAATTAAAAGTAGAAAAAGAACAGTGCTTTACCTCATATCAGCTATCTTCCAGGAGTTTAGCATGCTCTCTCTCAACAGCGTCTCGAAGCAAGCTTTGCTCCCATGGCCGATGTGATGACTTTGGAGAGCCAGGAATTTTCATAGTAGAGAAAGTACATACACTAAGAGGAGTGAATGTTTTAACTTCATTGTCTCACAATAACTTGGATCTGAAACTTACAACTGGAAGCAGTGAATGCTACAAGTCGGGGCATCTGGTATTTCCTCCCTCCATTCCCACCCGGACAAACGTTGGCAGGAACAACTCAACGTCCACAACAAAGTCAATCATCTCATTAGTGGATAGAGATACATTTCATCAGATAAATATTTTAGCCCAGTACCCTCCGTCATGACATTATCCAGCACTCTGCAAGATCACCGTTGAGAATCCAAAATACAACCAGAGAGAGTCACTCTGCTTTTCCTTGATGGTTCTTCTGCCAGGCCCTCGAGCCCGTCTCTGACATGGTTGCCGGACAGATCGGCGAAGAGGTCGGCAGCCGAGCGAGACCCTTTGTCAGGGTGCTAGTTGAGGGTTGTCCACCACAGATATCGGTAAGTTCCGATCCTGACGATCTTGACTGTGTAGGAGGAATAAGGACAGTAACTAACTTACGTCTAATACAGTGGTAGTTCGGACTTCCCCATACACAGGGGCTGCGTCTGCGGGCCGTGTCTCCATCACCACCGACCCCACATTCTTCGCTGCCAGCAAGGGCCCGAGACGGGGTAGTAACATGGAAAGTACTACCCCGTTGGCTGGGACGCATGTTGGGACAAGACCGATCTCTCCGAATCGGACGAGGATGTCCTTGAGAAGCCCAAGTTGCCCGATACATGGACGAAGCTTGACTACATCCCTGCGAAAACACCTTTTTATACGGGAAGCCAGCCATTACATTGCATTGAGGCGAAGACAAAGCCTCAGGTTAATCCCGCAGTCAAGCCGATCTACCACGATCCCAATCACCCGGACACCGATGTCGGCCCCGGCCGAGAACGGCCCAACTCCCTGCAGCCTGACTTGACCGCTGCCGACCTGTTCGGCGGCGGCCCTGATGAGTCCAACAGGTTGGAAGCATTTTAAAGCACAGAGCAGTAAGATTGACGTTTTCCAAACCTGCTTCAGGACTATGACTGAAACATGTACAATGACAAGAACTCGACGAATATGCCTTCCACATTCGCGACCTTGCTCAAGCCCTTTTCCGAGATTTTGATGAGTTCCATGTAGACAGTAGCATTGGGGTTATTGAACGAAAAGGCGAGTTGGAAGCCGCTAGAGAAGTAGTTAGATCAGTGGAGCATGGAATGGTAGAGTGTTCAGGATCGTTGCTTACCGTTGCAGGTTGGATGGGATATCCGCTCCGAACTGCTCCACGACGTCGTCAACAGTGGTGAGCTCCGCCACGCCCCCCAAGTTGGGAATCGCGGTGAAGGCGTCGAAACGGCGGGTGCTTCCACCTCCTTTGTGTACCACATGGCATCAGAAAGAAGGAGTTGACCGCCGCACATAGTCCAGGAACACTCCCATCATGGCTGCGCCGTCGTATTTTTCGGGCTTCATGAAGTCGCTGAAGGCTTGGGCGTGAGCCCACAACGAGGCGTCTGTATAGTCCCACATCTCATCTTTGACAAGGGCAGTTAAAACAAATAAAGACCATCCCCAACCTGTCTCACAACACCACCATCATGGCTTCCAAGAAGCTTTTCCGCAACCATGCTCTCGGCCTTATCGAAGTAGCCCTGAAGTGGCTTTCAGCGACAAGCAACATCTTGAAAGCGGAGGTTGATGAGATCAAAGAAACATTTGAGCAAGTCAAGAAGGTGGCTGCGCGTGACCGCAAGCTACCTGGAGTAGCTATAAGCGACCTGACACTGGAGGAGGTTGAGAGCATTTTCTATATCAAGAAGTTGACTCCAAAGAACAAGCAACCAGGTGATAAGTGGGATTTAGAGCCTTACAACAATGTGATTAACGTCCAATATCCTGATGACTTTTTGGAGTTTTTTATATTCCTTAGTAAATGCCCTCTTCTCTTAGAAATAGGATGTTTACTTATTCACTAAACCAGACAAGGCCCTTGACTACCTTAAACTGGCCCATGAGGGCTCCACAAAGGCTGAAGTACTAGTACGCGCACAGCTCAATGTCATTCTTGGCTTGGTGCTGGGGTTCACTAAGCAAGACAGTAGGATTATACCATATCCAGTCTCGTGGGGTTACAAGACCCCATTTTGGAAAACAGTCCGCATAAGGTTCCGGGAGAGGTTGCTGCGTGGTCAGCCAGACTATGCACTGTGGTATGGGGCGCAGGCGAACCTTGAGACCAACCTGGTTATTGTGGAAGCCAAGACCCGGGAAGAGCTGGGGAAGAGCTGGGGAAGGGTGAACAACAGTTACTGGGATATATGGGTACGTCTGCTCTATCACAGTGAAAGCTTTGCTACGGATAGCCAGACCTTCAACTTCTACCGTATCAACCAGAGGAGCAAGGTGAGTTAGGAGACACTAATACAACGCTGCTCATGATTTCCCAACACGCCAATGGCCACGGATATTGCGGCACAGGCAGCCATTGGAAAAGGACCACTACAAGCGAGGGTTCTTTCATGTCCATTCGGAGTAAATGGAGAGCCAATCTCTAGGCTTCCGAGGTATCTTCTCGTGGCTGCAGATTGAGGATGGCAAGCCTTGCGACGAAGTGTTACTGTGTGGATATGTGGATGGGCGGTGATTTCAGTATTAGCCACGCATCCTCGGACTCCGTAGATAGTGCAACAAAGAGGGGCGGCGCTTGCTGTAGCCGGTGGGGTGGGTACCTGACCTCAGGCTGGCAAATCCCCCGATGCACCTGAAAAAGACTAATGCGGGGCCGCACTGGCTGAGATCTCTGCATTCAAAACCCCCTGAGAAGACAATACAGCCTGTGCATTATCGGTTCCACTCCGAGCGTCAGGTAACATTGAGGTTCCAGAATCCAGCCTGCCGCCTACAGACAAAGAGTTAGCAAGACTTCACCCGCTATTGCCCGTATAGGCCCCACATTCAGCTGCTTCCGCCCACTCATTCATGCGGCTGTTCCAGGCAGACGTCTGCATGAGTCATGAGTACACATGAGTACATGCATGCTAACTAGTACGTGGTAACTTAGGAAGCCACTAATGGTTGTATCCCTTAGCATGCCACTGAGTTATTTTATTTAGCGTGGAATCCACCAATCCACTATCCGAAATGATTGGTCAAAACATCAATACAGAAGGTACCTGCATGGGGGAACACCCAAGGGGATGGTCAGTGACCAGGCTAAATTTTACTGACATGCATTACATTAATATTGGCCTCCCCTCATACTCTCACCAGCCATACTCATCTCCATCTCTGCTTCAGACTGTTTGTGCTATCTTGTGTGCTCTACTACCTACTCATCACTTCAGAGTGATTCCTAAAGACAGTTGTCTATTTGACTATTTACACACTCACTCTCGTGCAATACACCACAGCAACCAAACCACACAGAGAAAAAGAGAGCCCACAGTCTGACATAATGGCGGCGCCACCACCCTCCTATACCAAGGTCACTCACTCTGCCACGTATGCCAGCATCAATCCAACTCAGCCCGGCCTGTCCACTGCGGGCAAGGTTGTGCTGATCACTGGCGCATCTGGCGGCATCGGCCGGGCCACCGCCGCATCCTTTGCTGCATCGCGTCCCCGAGCTCTCATCCTCTTCGGCCGACGCGCCGACGCCCTGGCGGAAACCGCCACGGCTGTTCGAGCCGGCCACGCAGAGGTGACCATTCAAACTCACACGGCTGATCTGTGCGATGCTTCGGGCGTACGCGATGCCATGAACAAGGTGGCTGCCGAGTTTGGCGGTATCGACATCCTCGTCCACTGTGCCGGCTCACTGGCCCCCGTGGTTCCCCTTCTGCAAGCCGATCCGGCTACTTTTATGGACGGCTACAAGACTACTGTTGTCGGTACGCTGGTGACGGCACAGGCTGTCGTCCTGGCAAACAAGACGGTCAGCGCCAACACGGACAAGCCAGTCACCTTTATCAATCTGACAACAGCCGGCATCCTATTCCCCCCTTTTCCCGGCATGGGCGCCTACAGGAGCAGCAAGATGGCCGCCGTCAAGCTCTTAGACTCCTTTGCCGCCGAGAACCCGCAAGTGCGTCTTCACAATGTGCATCCCGGACTCCTCCAAACGGCCATGTCTGCCAAGCTAGCTGAGACGATAAAATTGCCATATGACTATGATGACAGTAAGTATAAACTGGACCCGTCCTTTGTCGCCAATCTGTTTCTGTATGCAAGTAACTAACTGTCATTCTTTCCTTCGCAGTCTCCCTTCCCGCCGATTTCCTCGTCTGGATTGCCTCCCCCGAAGCAGAGTTTCTCAGAAACAAGATCGTCTTCGCCTCTTGGGACGTTGATGAGCTCAAGGGTCGCAAGAATGAAATCGTCGGTTTCCGGCCGGGAGCTGGCGAGCTCGACATCGGCTACCAAGGATTCCCTCGGTTTATGGCTGGGCAGCCTTTGCCCGGCACCTAGTAGGCGACCGGTACTCTGTATGTGTAGTCGCCATCGCAGGCTGAAGGGACTGTGCTTGCGCAGCGTGACTAAACCAGTACATGAAGTATTTTCACAGGGGAGAACGAGCGCGAAGGCGCCATGAAAGGAATGCCAGAATTATGTTGCTCAGTTGAGCATAGCTTTTAAATGATAAAGATAGAAGACGAATAAAGATTAGTCATCATCAATTTCCAACTTGAAGGGCTGCGGTCATCCATTGAAGGTCACCCGCGGGAGAGTCCGATTTAGACCGGTTGTGGATTGGATATAGCCTTGATCCGCATGGGTTGATCCATGACCTATCTCACCCACCCCTTATATCCGCGTGCTTTGGATTGTGGACAATGGACAGATATATCTATATTACCTATTATATTAGCTAAATAGCCTTATATAAGTGGTTAGGGCGCCCCTAAGTTTAGGATGAAAAGTAGTGTGGAGTTATATATCTTACTACAACCATCATCATAGCTAGGGAGGATCAGGAACACCTAAGAGCATTAGCAGAACAAGTCAAAGTACTCCAAACACCTAGCCACCCGCAGGGCTGATAGTTATGGGCCCAAATATAATTATTCTACAGTCAGCCAATCAGGAAAATAGCTCTCTATACAGAGTACGCATTCTGGTTGTATTTGCGAATGCAAATCATTAATGACTACTTCGCTGCTCCGGAATATGTACCACAGATAAGACACATGTAACGAGCGGGATTATATTTCTACTAGCTAATTCTAGTTTTCAGAGAAATCTAAGGCTAGCTGTGAGTGAAATACCCTTAGCTTGCGAGGAAGAGCCTGCTGGTAGTTAAATGACCAATCGCCTAAATAGTGAACGTTGATATTATGGCCTCAACAGATGAAATCCCGGCTGGAAGTGTAATCATAGAAATTTCACATACTCACAAAAAGCAGGAGCGCCATTGTTTTGGTGAGTGGTCCCACGCAAAGCAATGGATCGTGGAAAGTAGAAATAAAATATATATCTGGTGTGTTCAAAAAGGGATATTCCAGCTGGGCGGAATTGTCTAGTGCAAGATCACTGTGCCGCAGTGCAGTCGGAGAGACCGACCCCAATCCTTTTACCCATCCATGTAGCCATGAGAAACCAGGCGAATTTCAGTTCAAAGGAAGTTGAATGGGCAAGAAATTTCAAAAATTTGTTCTGCGTTGAAGTTGTTGTTTTTGCCTGTCCAGCCAGATTGGACAGACTCCTTCCACACCTACGGAAGGATAGCTAGGTAACCTCCATGAAGCCGACAGTTCTCCCAAAATGGATCAAGACCTAAGGAAGCCATGTCAGGGGCAGTATGGAAATCTACAAACAGAATGGACGAAAGGGTTAGTATCCTTCTATCTCGGGTCTGCGAGGGAAACCTAATAATAAGAGTTTAGTTTGCATTTGCTAAAGTGACAATGGGACAGCCGAGCACGTCGAAGTGCAGACAACGTGCCCTTCTCTGAGAACAGACAGTTGAAAGTCATGCATGTTGGGACAAGACCGACCTCTCCGAACCGGACGAGGATGTCCTTGAGAAGCCCAAGTTGCCCGATACATGACTACATGCAACCCACCCCTGCGAAAACACCTTTTTATACGGGAAGCCAGCCATTACACTGCATTGAGTCCTCATCATGAATCGACCTCCAGGTCCAATCGTGCTCTCATCCTAAAGCACATGGGCGAACCGGGACAATGGCGGATTCCTACACCCACGCCGAACGATTACATTCAAACCGCTCTTCCCAAAGAGCAGGGATCCAGATGTGGACATTGTTACTGTTGTGAGCGGAGGTGTCACAAGACAGAAACGGAAGCAGTTTAAAGCACGGAGCAGTGAGCTTGATGTTTTCCAAACCTGCTTCAGGACTATGACTGAGACATGTACAATGGCCAGAAACCGCAGACAATCTCGCGGAGGCGTTTGGCCAGTCTGACGATGCCACAGCATATACTACCATAACTGTGATATGGAATCCCTACAGTAGGAGTACATCGTCCGGACACCTTTTTAGCTAGGGCTATTGCATTTAATAGATGCGTTCTATCTTCACGAAAGCCCATCGAAGACTGTATAATTCAAAATGGCATAAACATTAGAAAGCTCCGACCTGCAAGGACAGTGGCATCGTTCCGTCAGCCCACATGGAACTTTAACAGAACCTATTCCTTCGTGGCACAATGTGATACTGATGCATAAGTGGCCAATGCATACTGCAGGTCTGGCTAAAATAAGCATCATAACCCTCCATCCGTGAGATTTAAGCGTGTTTGCCCCGATTTGAATGGAGAAGAATGGGAGGCCAAAGGATTAAGTAAGAAATAGTAAGGAAATCGGCATGTGTTGTACCAATGATTGTAGTCAATTCGAGACATGTCTTAAGTAGTGTCTGAAATATCCGCCGCCGATTGGTGATTGAATCCCCGGTGGCTCCAGAGCTGCAGAAGCGATGAAGAACCGAGTCAGAATTCATCGTGAACCCCGGTCCTGTGTCGCAATCAGCTCATTGTTGCTTCCACAGTCTGTGCAGAAATCTATATAAGTTATAACCCCTCCTCTTCCCCCTCGTTTCTAATCATCAACAGTCAAGACAATCATACCATCAAAATGACCATACTCCACCTCCTCACCGGCCTTCTGGCCTTTACCTCCACCGCCCTAACCCAGTCCATCACTCCCCCGATGGCTGCCCCATCCCGACCTGGACAGTAAACAACTTCCACTGGTACAACGGCTCCCACAGCCTGGACTGCGTGCACAACCAAGCCGACATCAACGCTTACGGCTGCCTCTGCCCCGGCACCGGCGGCTGGTGCGAACCCAACCAGGCCACCTGCAACGGCTCCTGGGTGCCCCTGTGCTGGACCGGCATGCCAAACTACCATCCCTGGGGCTACGGCCCGCTCGAGACCCTCGACATTGACTTCACGGACGGCCTGCAGTGCCACGACGAGTACATCGGGTACCGGGTGCACGATATCGGGAACGGGGAAAGTAACTGCGGCTATGGGGACCGCGGGATGGGGCGCATTGTCTCGTTCTATGGGAGCTCAAATTATGAGACTTCCGTTGGGAGGATGGACTATGTCCTTGGGGCGGGGCATGCGCTGACATGCAACAATGGGAGTAAGATTACGTACTCTGGGAGCACGGAGTTTGAGCTGCAATGCGTGCATGATGCGTTCTTCAATGCGACGTGCACGGCGGAGGAGTTTACGATTCCCGTGTTGGCTTATCAGTGGGTTTCTTGATAACCAGTAGGTGTATGCATCTGCATTTATGTTGATGGATTTATGTACCTCTATGAATCAGACAACAGACAGCAGACAACAGACAACTATCTATGAAGAGTCACATTCCAAGCTGGTAATTCCACCTTGCTCGCCTTCCCCTGCGCATCCACTTCAAACACAAATTCCGCCAGTGATTTAGTAGCGTATCCCCCGCTGCCGACGACAATCCAGTCATTCACGTCAAAGTTTCTCTGGAATAGTCCTCCCGACTTTTGCTGTGTAGCTGTATATGCCCTAAAGGCCACCTGTCCGGCATTCCTCGACATAATCGTCGGCACGAGCCTGGAGTTCTCGTTCCCGAGTAATTTACCCAGCAGGGGCATGAGATCCGTCCCGTTGCTGACCCACGAGGTAACCGACAAGCCTGGATTGCCCGAAGAACTAACATCCAGTGCGAGAGAGGAATTCAATCGATCGGTCGTGAACCTCCCCGCAAAATTCTTCTTTGCTTCAGACGCAGCCTGCTCCATCAGCGCAGGGAGGACCGCCTCCGTTACAAGATCCGCCAGGAGACTCGTCGCGTCCGATCGCGTTGCCAACGCGCTGGCCCCGATGATACTAAACCCAGCTTCCAAATCAGGAACCAAGACCAGAAAACTGCCGTAGTTCCCTGCATCCCCGAGCTTGGTGTATAGATCCGTGACCACGCCGGACTGGGCATGCTTGTACCGGTATATCTCCCACGGTCGACCGACGGAATACTGCAGGTCCGCCGTGTGCGAGATGGGCTTCATCCACCTGCGTGTGACGACGGGTGGTAAGAGCGTGGAGTTCAGGATCGCCGTCCCGAATTTTGCTAGGTCGTTGGTGGTCGAGTAGATCCCTCCTGACGACTTGGAAATGCCACCGTCGTAGCCAAAGCCCGAGGCGAAGTCGCCTGCGATCACAGACCGAGAAAACTCCGACGCTCCCGGGACGACAGAGTAGGACGAATGCATATCCAGCGGATCGAAGATACTTTGCTTGTATATCTCATCGAGAGACTTCCCGGTCAAGTTGGCGAGAGCCAGGCCGAGAAGGATGAACCCGTTGTTTGAGTACGCCGGGCTCGTCCAAGGGAGATACACAGGTGCGTCGTTGGCTCCGCCAGCGGTATACAGAGGCGCAGTACACGGCTCGCTCACGTTCGGCAGACACGGTGACAGTGACAGGGCGTCGTTCAGGTCGACAGGGGGGAGTCCGTAGGTTGCTGGATCGATGGCTGCAGGCACGGGGTTCAAGCCGGCCAGTATCGCAATTGCGTACTGCAGGAGTAGATCACCGCCGTCCCATGGCAGTACATCGCGCGCAACGCCGCTGATTTGCGCGGCAAGGGCGCTGGGGTGATTTGGTTCCAGGGGGTAGAGTAGACTGAGTCCGTGTTGGCTCTGGGCTTGACGTATTCGGCAAAGGCTGGAATAATTTCCGACAGAGGCCGTTCCCATTGCTCACTGTCGAGCTCACGCATCGCAGCAAAAACGGTGAAAAGCTTCGAGAGACTAGCCACGCGGTAGATACTGTCTCCGTCGACCTTTTTGGTGCCATTTGGGGCATTCTGGATCTCGGAGGAGGTGTAGTGAAACTGCAACGACTCCGCTGCTGGGTCATGGGTGGAAAACAGACCAACGGAAAAGGTGAGGTTCTTCAGCAAAGAGGAATCTGAGGAGGTCTCGCCGTGTAACCTCGCTGTCAGACTTTTCCATCCAGCTGCGACTCGGCTTGACTTGCTGCTGAGGTCTCTAGGGGCAGGATACACCGGACCAAGGAGGTTGGCCGCGCCGGTGCTGCATACTGCAAGAAGAGAAAGAGAGAACAAATGCACTCGCATTTTGCTATTGTAGTGGTTGAGTTGCTGTCTGTCAACGACAATCACTGGCCACCACGGCCGTATTTATACCTCGAATACAGCCTGACATACTGGACATACACTTCAGCATCATCTAAATACGAAACCTGCTCATCACCATGGACATCTGACGTGCAGCTGAGTCTGGAGCCTCAGCCGGTCTTGGCCATGTTATATACCCAATTCGGTAGTAATCCGCAATAACGCCCCAGCTTGCCCAGTTTGGCAGGCTTGCGCCACTTTCAATCAGCGAATCAACAGCACCTTCAATGAGCATGTAGTAAGCTTGAATATTAGACTAGATTAATACATCAATGCACCTCCTGGCTGATTACTTCCTGTTTAGAGGCGTATCCCCGCTGCCACCGTCAGCAGTCAAATTGCTCCTATTCAAATCAAATAGCGCGATTCTAAAAAGGTGTCCGGATAATATACTTCTTAGTACAGGAATGTCCTATCATATTCATGGTGATAATATCCCAGCTACTTCCTGATCGCAGAGTATGAAATCACACTGTAGCCAAGAGATCCCGCAGGCTCGAAAACACCGTGACCATACAGGTCAGTCTGGGGCTGTCATTGGCTGTATGTCATGAGAATTTGAGGGTGAGACTTACAAGTCCAGGGAAGATATAGACAGGAAGATAAGTCTGACTAGACGCGATATTCCTATCTTCTGCTTTGTACTCAGAAATTCAATTTGAAGGGATACACTTGATACTCAAGATAGAATGACGACCAGCATAACCCAACGCCAGAGACTGCACCAACCATGGTATCCAGTTCTTACACAGAATAGCCTACATGAGTCCACTGTATGTGTCTCCCTCCTGCAGTAGCTTCCGCTCTTCGTCCACGTAGTCCCCGACACTTTTTCTTTCGCCTTCCTTGACCGGTGGATTGGGCTGATCACCCTGCTGAGGCTGAGCCTCAGACTGTTGCTCCTGTGAATTATTTTGCCCTTGTTTGTTGTCGTCATGTCCGTGATGGAACATCCGGTCCATGAATCCGGTGCGGTGTGAGGTATGTGTGTCTTTCACATCAGCGGGGCATACTATGAGCCTTGCAGAGATGGCTTACTTTCGGACATGGTTTCTAATTAGAGAATAATCTCCTAGATGATGCTTTTACGGGGAGAATATTGAGTATGGGGTCTTTTGAAGGTGGTGGATGGAGGGAGGCGTTTATAGGAGTGTAGACGTACGTCATCGACAGAACACATAATCAACTCAGTTCAGAACACTCGCATAAGATGGGTATCCACACAACAATCAATCGATAAAACCATCACGTTCCACTGAGACATCGATTTCACTCAGGGTCTCGGTTTGGATAGTTCAACCTAATCCATTATCTCACTCTCCGCGCAATAACAATCCCCAACAATGTCAGAAAAATAATGGCCACAATAAACACCAGCGCAACCATCCGACAGCATTCCCGCTCTGTGTCCCTTCTCTGTCGGCGCTCGAGCTGGCGGTCGCATGTCTCGCAGTGCACATGTGGTTTTGTAGGGTCTAATTGCGAAAGCTCATTTGAGGAGTCTTGAGGGTGGGACTCCACATCGTGTGGGTTTGCGATGTTTAAATTTTCGCCCAGGTCGTTGTCGGGGACAGCAGCGTATTGATGCTGAGATAGTCAGTTCGAGGCTCTAACTACATCAGCGTAGAGAAAACATACTGTCCTTGACGATGTGGCTGTCGGTTGATTGATAGGTTCTGTGTCAAATAGTTCATGGTAGGCAGGCGCTGGCTCTTCAGAAGCTTTTGGGCGATTCATATTGATCACTTTTCGGCGGCAAGGTCGACTGGATGGCCGAGTCAGAGTATGATGTTGTATATCTGAGGTCTGTCGATGATTGATATCATGGTGTTGATGATAATGTTATAGCCTGGATGACCCAGGCTTACAGCACAGCCACCACGAGGCTGAGCATCGACGCTATGTCCAGAGTCCACCTACGGCACGAGATTGCGAGCAGTCATCAAAGGCTTAAATACGAGGGGTAATTGGAGGGAAAGCCAGGAAATTCATCTTTCGTAAGCACTAACGCCTGCATCAGCCGCAGATGAGCCACCGGTCAGACACTGACCAATTCAGTCTGTGTGCCACGAGTGGCAAGTTGCTACGAACTACGAGTGACCATCTAAACAATATCGAAGGCGGTCCCAGGGGGCTATTTGAGTGTGACTACGCTGTTCACCAAGTCCACCCTGTGGTATCCTTCGCCCAGTTCGTTGTCAGAGATGGCTGGCCAAATCAAACAGAACGTAGGACTTGTCATGCCACTCTTCGTTTGTATCAGTGCGGCCTGCGCGTGGAAAACCTGAGAAATGCCTAATCGTTGTCAGCTTATAGTGTTCGCTACTCAACGACGGATAGAGCGTACATATTCCCGGTAACCTCGTCATAGATGACCTTTGACATGGTTGGGATACGCGGCAGGTAACCACACTTCCTCAGCTTTCTGGTTTTCATGTCAATTGAGAGCAGGCCATGTAAACTTACGGATAGGCTCCACGAAATTTATCGCGGATCGCCTGGCGTGACTCAAGATCTAGCTCCCAGAATTCTTCTTCGCTTAGAGGTTCCCCGGGCACTTTATCCCAGACCACATAAGTGATATAACCCCCGGAACAATACTATCTTCCGCTTGCTTTCCCTCTTGGTAAGCAAGGGGATCAAGGACAATATCGCATTCCAATATCTTGAGCGCTTTCAAGGTCCTCAACTCAACGTGCGGCTGTGGCTTAATGCTTTCGTCGAATCTGAGGGCTCTGATATTGAGTGCCAATGACAGGAATTTGAAGATATATCCGCATAAAAGCCTTCTTGCTAGGATTGTCCTTGCGATGGCAGCGAACGGAAGTCTAAGGCCATCAGTAACATGCGGCTGCGTCATCCATTGAGATCTTCCAGAGCTTATTATCGATCACCCAGGTTTGGCGAGAGAGGTAGAAAGGAGGCTCGGATGGCGGATCGAGAGTGATGTCCATGCCTTCAGGGCTGCACAGGAACTCGGCAGTTCCGGGATTGTCCATGCTGGCTTGATGAGTTTGCAACGATCGATGAAGGTGTATTGATGTGAACGAAAGCCTAATAAGTCTGGCGTTTGGACAGGACTGAAGAAGACGAGAGGTGTTGATGGAAATAGTGTCATAGATAGGTAGCGGCATCCACTCAGCCAAACTGGGAAAGCTCTAGGCCCTGTTTTCCTGGTCATTCGACACTTATTAATTAATATTATTCTTCAAACCGCCTCTGGGTGGTTTCTACAGGTTCGAGCTGTACGCAGAAGGCCTGCCAGCGCACGAGCTGGACAAGACTGGAGTGACATCGTGAGCTAGACCCAAGTATCATATTATAGAGGAGCATAGGAGCCCGAGCATCACATTCACATATACGAGTATACACCGTCAGCAGACGATAATTCGAACAAATTCGGTCTCGCCAGTCAAGGATCCACCACCACCAGGTGTAGGGTCCGATCAAATTCTCCTGCCGGTCTCTCGAGCGCCCACTGCCGAATAGCCTCAAAGTCCCGACAAGTGTGCATATTATCCGCCCTCACTGTGACCATCTGTTTTTCTTTATTCCACGCCCACACGTCGACGGTGATATCGGCGGAACACATCAGACTCTGACGTATCATCTCGATACAGTGATCAAGGTGATGCATAGCCTCCTCGTCATTGGGGTCATGCATATCAACACCCCAGAGTACTTTGCGGAGCATATCCTGCGCGCCGTCAGATCTTTTCACCAGCGGATGAAAGAAGAACTACCAAACAGTGCAACTGATGAAACACATCGAGTCCAATCAGATAGTACCCGGAACTGTACCCCGAATCATCAGGAATTGGGACAGTCTTATTAACCAATTTCGCCGCCTCACTGGCAGGTATCTTGACCATCGCCGGCGCTGAAGGCTCAGCCTAAGCCTAGCAGTGCATTGGGGGAATGACCTACCAACATGGATATCATCCCACGCTTTATTGTTCTCTTCCGATGGCGGACCCATGTAGATTGACTTTTGACCTCCCCAGCCGGAATTGAACGCAACGTTCTTGTATCTGATGACATCTTGAGCAGGAGCTAGGGCTCATTAGCTGTGAACTTGCACATTGTAAGCTGCTTACAGTTAAACCATATCAGGTATTTCTAATCCTGGACTCGTCCACACTGCAATACCAGCTCCTATAGCAAAGACAAAGAGCGAGACTATAAGGATGTATTGAATGGCGATAATCTTCCGGAACCGGTGATATTCTCTGGCACCGAATGGGACTGCTTCATGCAGGCATTCTGATTGCTTTTCATTTACGAGTGCCTCCCTACCACTAGCATCGCTATTGATGGAATCTCGATAGTTTTTCAGAAACATTTGGATAACTAGATAATCACGATGAAGCAGCTTAGGACGAAACGACGGAGTGATGGTGCGACGGCCGTGGCGTTCGGCATAATATATGCATATTCCAGTTATCTAACCACTACAACCAGAAGAAGCGTAGGAGAAATAAAGGAGTCTCTAGACCTCGCACTAGCCATAAAAGGTCATCAATAGGAATTTAATATGATTCGATTCGCCTTGTGGTGTATCCTGGCATAAGAGCTGCTTGAGGGGGTTTCTTTGTTCTCGGTGTGCGGGGGTCAAGTCCTTAGGAGTTATGCTGGTCATTCCATGGAATGGCAACTGCCGGACATACTGCTTTAGTGATGAGTGATAATATAGGGAGATAAAGTGCTGATCTTGAAGTATTTGATGCAGACCGAATTCTCACTAAATAAATGAAGTCATTTGCAGAGTTTGGTATATAAGTCTCCGGTATTGATGACATGTCAACACCTAGTCGAGGATCTATGCGGAGAGTTAACATGCATTGTCTTGGATGGCATGTTCTCCTTTGGTACTGGCGGAGTCTATCTGAGCTAACAAAAGCGTTGTATCTGTTCCAGAGCGTCAAATCAACAAGCAAGATGGTTCCGTACCAGACTGTATACCTAATCTACTCCGTGTCCGATAAAAGGATATGTCAGCTCCTGTTTGGAATAATGAGTGAATGGACAGATAGATCTTAACTGCGAAAAAATACCTAGTGCAGAACATCGTGGCCCCTCTGTAATAATATTTGCATTACCACCTTGCTCCTTCCTCCTCTAGCACAGCTTCATAGCCCCTGTGTTCGTCAATGATCACCTAGTCGTTATGACTGATTTACCAGGAGTATCATCTATACTAGAAGATTGATCCTTCCTTAAAGCGCGGATATGTGCTGCTGAAAGGATCTTTCTAGTATAGTCTCAACAGGAAATTAAAGGTAAAAGCTATGATTGAGAGACTGCCATTAGTAAACACATTTCGAGGATGGCAGCAGAAGGAGAGAAAAGGGAGCACTGAATACTACACGAGCGAGTGCAGGAGCAGTAGGCGGACCACTTTGACCTACTATAATTTTATGAATACTAAGGCTAAAGCAGTATTGACATCTCGTAGGGTCGTGGATTGATTGTCTTTAATTGTCGAACCACTATTGCATAGATATACTCTGGCGGGAATCCCTACATTTGCCTCTCCCCTTGACTTATTGCGTCTCGTCTATAGCCAGTCGAACGCTTTTCCAAACGTCCCAATATCTAATGTTAGTATCGCTTCCATCTTGTGTGATAGGCCAAATCCGCAAAAACACCTTAGTTACCCACGGATACACACTCTCGTTGTAGGAAAACTGGAAACTGGAATTCCGAGAGCTTCGCGCCTCGAACTTGTCCCGGTGCTCGTAGCGGAGATCGCGCTCGATGGTCCACTCCGAGGCAAAGAACCTCACAAGGCGGGAGAACACGCATCGCGGACGGTAGTGCCGGTCAGCTTGCCCTTTGATTGACAAGGTCAGCCGTTCAAGGAGTGGTGCATCGTGGGACTTTGCGGCCGAAATGACCTCGAAGATCGAGGACGCAAGTGGTTCGTCAATGAGGGTATTGACCAGGAGTCTCCGTATGTGTCCATTGCGGCTTCGGTTGATGCCTTCGAGGTCTTCCTCGGTGTATTGATTGTCAAAGTCGTCCCAGTCCGGGTCGATGGAAGTATTCTCCTGGTACAAGGTCGGATCAGATACGTTTAATTCCAGGTCGAGGAACTTCAGGTTTCTGATTGTGCCCAAGGCCTTGTAGAGAGCTACTTCCCGAGCGTCTCCTTGGGTGCGACGGATGGAGATGCTCATCTTCTCCAGTAGAGGACAATATATGCCGAGCTGGAGGACATCGTGCTCGCTGAAACATTGCCAGGGTCGACTGTTGGTGACAGACAGCTTGCGCAAACGCGATCCGTGATGTTTTGCCAACATCCCTATCGACAGCTGTGAGTGCCATGCAATCAGATGGATCTCCGATAGCGACGGTAGACTCTGAAGAAATTTTGTTGCTTGCGGGTAAAAGCCGGGTGCTTGTTCTGATCCGGCCTCTGTAGGACCGAGGAACAAGCGCAGGGTTCGAAGGGCTGGGAAATGAAGATGATCTGCCCATGCTGCGAATGCTTCTGCCGTGATGGACGATCCCAGATCAAGAATCCGCACTGTGGAGAAATTAATGTACGGAACCCATTCCTCCAGTGCAGCGTCAAGCATGGGGTGGTAGGAGTGTTTGACTCGAAGGCATTCTATTGCGGCTGGACGTTTGTCGCCTGGGTTTTGCATCAGTTTGGTCATGCCAGCTCCTGACGCATTATATGTACGGTCGTCTGACGCCCTTGGATACATCACTTTTAGGTTGGGGCGAGGCCTAGGATTCGCACAAAGCTTTGTTTCTGCCAGATACCTTCTGGTATCGACGTGTCGTAGTGGGGAGTGATACTATGCAAAGACGGCGAGGTGACTAGGCAATATTCATGTTCCTCAGCTGTAGGCTCCCATATACTCCGCAGCACGAACGAATGCAAATGCAGTCTACATTCGGGCCGGTATTGATGCAATGCTTGAAGCAGGCAAGGAGGGAACTGTTCGTAATGCAAATGGTGAAGATTTTCTAGGGTAGGTAGGCTCTTAATCAACCCCGCGACACTTTCCCAGCATTCAAAGTTGTTGTTTTCGTCGCGATAACATATGTCCCACCCTGTGCCGTTGAGCTCCTCTTCAAACTCGTACGCATCTTGCGGATCGCGATTCAACGGTGAGAAACGCGAGACTCGAGCTGGGAACCACTCGTCATCATCCTCCTCTTCAGGGGGATCTCCCAAGAGAAAGCCCTCGATGATCAACCGCCTGACATAACGAAAGGCATCAGCCTTTTGCAACTTGGCACAGACCGTTGCTACTTGATTGTCAATGCGTCCACGGTGACAAAATTGCAAGCGCACTGTATGAAAGACAAGTGACTTGGCTACCGACAAAGCTAAGGCGAAGCATCGCTTGTTGACTCGGAGCAGGCGAAAGACACTGAGTGGATGCACGTCAGCAAGTAAGCGGACAACTAAGGAAATAATCTCTGGAGGAAGGGCCTGAAAAGACATCACGTCATTTCAGAGGAAAAGGAGGACGAGAAAGAGAAAGCTCGTAAGATCCTTCGTGTTGAGCCGAGAGGCCCGAAAATCCGAGATAAATAATCGACCCCACCAAGAACGGGAATAATGTTGACTCACCGACCTTTCAACTTCACCCCCTGATCGTCATCCGAGGAAAACGGCCCCCAATTTCTCATCGCCACCTCAGCCATGGCATCAAAACCTCATATTCTGCTGTTTGGGGTCGGTAGTGTTGGCGCCATTCATTTACTCCAATTGCAACGCGCCGGATGCACCGTGACAGCAGTGTGTCGGTCCAACTACGACGTCGTCAAGGAGAAGGGATTCACTCTGAGAAGCGTCCGATTTGGCAATGTCACATATCGGCCAGATCACATCGTTCGCAGTATTGCTGAATGCCCAAAGGACACTGTATATGATTACGTCCTGGTGACCGCGAAGTGCTTCCCCGGCAGTAAGCCGTCACTAGCAGATCTGATCAGACCGGCCATTATTGGCCGTCCAGAGACTGCCATCGTTCTAGCACAGAATGGCATAGAAATCGAGAAGGATATTGCAGACGAATACCCGGAGAATCCCATCCTCAGCGGTGTCGTCTACCTCCCAACCACCCAAACTAGTCCCGGAGTCATCGACTACCCAGAGATGCTAAACTTGATCGAAGTGGGAACGTATCCCGCCAATGCACCCGCTACACACAAAGCAGCGGCCAGCAAGCTCGTTGACCTCATGCATCAAGGCGGTGGCGAGGCTAAATTTTACGACGACATTCAGATCGCGCGGTGGACCAAGCTGCTCGTCAACGCGTCGTGGAACCCTATCTGCGCGCTGAGTATGTGCTCGGACGGGGGCTTTCTCCTCAGCTCCGAGCCATTCGCATTCGAACTTGTCTGGGGAATCATGATGGAGATCGTGGAATTGGCGAAGAAGCTGGGGATCCCCGGGGTGGACGAAGAAGCGGCCAGGGTTCGGCTTCAGATAGCAACACGTCGGGCGAAAGAAAGAACAGGACGCGATCCCAGTATGCTGCAGGATGTGAAACAGGGTCGGCCATTTGAAGTCGAAGCGATTGTTGGGAACACGGTGAGACTGGCTCGGAAACATGCAGTGAGCATGCCCCGGTTGGAAACTGTGTATGCATTGGCAAAGGGAAGATATGAAGCCCTAGCCCGCAATTAACCTAGCGAGATTAGAGTCCAGTTAATGATACATTTATTGAATAGACGCAAGGTACTGCAGCAGATTGATTCTAACCAATGAGATGTTAGCTTTCTGGCTGTTTGTATAGACATCCACCTCTACATGCTGCAGACCCAGAAGAGAAGTGAATTAGAAAGTGTATGCATTATCTCAGTCCCGCCATAATATCTGACCTCTTTTATACTTGCACTATGCTTAGCTTCCACAACCTGCTTACAAGCTGTTAACTCGAATATGCCTATGCTAGAAATGGTCGTCTCGACGCCTTTTTGGCGTAGTGGTTTGATGGCCAATAACTATCTACTTTCTCCCTCCTCTGTCGCCCTTTCCAAAAGTCTTTTTTTTAATTCTCTCTGTGCCTATCGCTTGATTGCCTTCTGTTAGCGTCTTCTACCTTGCTTTGAGGCCTGTCAGGCTGTTTCCTTCTTACAGGAATGTGATTACTTGCTATTAATCTCCCATTATGGTTGGCTAACACAAAAGGATGGCATTTCTAGTGATTCCCATCCGCTATTTCGTACACGACTTGACCAGCTTGTTCAATTCATCTAAGCTCGTGTTGCAGTGTTCGTCGTTCCATCTATTTCCTCTTATATTTGGGTTGCTACATCTAAATGTATGTTTTTCCCTATCCGAATCTCCGAGCCAGACCACATACCTGGGAATCTCACCTTTCCGCCTAGAGTTGAAAGTTGGCTCTGACGCTGACATTTGCAGATGACGAGCGGTTCGAACACGTCACCGTGCAACATCGACGGCAGTTGGGTATGATCATAAGGCCGTCGAAAGCCTCAAGAACACGACGCAGCTCTGGGACCCATATTTCATGGGTGAAGAACACTTCGGTGGTACAAGCAATGAAGAGTCCTAGACTCTGAGACTACAGGCGTCATCCGGGAAAGAGTTAATAGCAGAGCCGGCTTTCACCCCATGAAGGTAGCTGGAGGAACTCGCCAAACCTTCTTAATCACTCAATGCAAGTCCGAGAACACAGTTTGAAATTCCTGGGTCGAGGACCTCTGCGCTCGTCCGCATGACGACCACCGATGATGAGTCGGAGTCTGCGTTGGGGGATTCCTGCGCCTTAGGTAAAGAGGCAGCAGGCTCGGGACAGAGCCTGCACGTAGTCAGACAGGGTTTGAAGGCCCCGGATTATGAAAGTGCATGGTCGCTTGGGCTGGATCGTCTTCCAGTCCTCAGAACAGGCCATCTGACGATTGTGCTTGAAAAGTACTGGAACAACTTTTCCATCATTGTTCCAGACAAAGAGGACACCGATCTAGCTGAAGTCCCATGTGCCATAGGGCGCTGTAACTCGTTCTACCGGCTGCGAGAAGGAGATGGGAACGTCCAAACCTGAACGAATTTGGGCCTGCGGGATTCGAGATCCGACTAGCGACGTCGCCGATAATCGCGAGTATGGTTTATTGCGTCCTGGTGTCATTGTTGAGCTCTGGAAGTTACCATCCACTCACATTGGGTATCGTACGACCTCCGGCGTCCTGCAACGAATACGTCAGGTTGCTTGGAAGCTCCTGGGATGACCCTCAACCTACATAACGATCAATCTTAGCAAAAGACATAATTTCACTATTTTGATTTTTGGAGAGTCAGCAGAAGGATTGATGCGGTTTTCATTAGAAACCCCCCTCTCCCGCCGTCCGGGTGCACGTTCAACACACCGAGGTCCTTGATGGAGATGCGGGCCCGAGATACTTGGTTGGAAGACAAGTCAGAATACAGATGCCATCCCTAGGCGCGAGATCCGATTGAATTTCGCGATGCTTGTTGGCCGCCGGCCTACTACCGATCTCGAACAAGACAACTTCATAGACAGGAATCTTCTGATGGCATTGATCAACAGATTCTGGCGTTGTCACGGCCGGCGTCTGCGTGCCGATAGTCGCGTCGCTTTTGACAATTTGCCTTCGTCAGGGAAGGTGGTGAAAGTGCATTTGGCGGCATAGGAAGCGAGGTGTAGACTATGAGTCTCTCGCATAGGTAAACCAACAAAGACCAACAAAGAATTTCTTTTCCATAACATACGCCAATCCATAAGTTACATTATACTCTCTTCCGCATCACACATCTGCTATCCCTATCATGACCACACCTTGCCTGCTCCTCCAACTCCCGTGCATGTCCCTCCCCAGCCATACCCACATCCACTTCCTCAAACCCCATCCTCGTATAGAACCGTCCATTAAACCCCAAATCCCGATACGTCGTAAGAGAAACATACTCGTACCCCCTATCTCTCGCCTGCTCTTCCACCTCCTCAAGCATCATCCTCGCTATCCCCTTCCTCTGCCAGTCTTCGTGGACGTCCATCTCGGCGAGGTACAGCATTCCGTCTAGGTCTTGCACAGCGATGAAGCCTACGGCTGTGTTGTCTGAGGTCACTGCCACCCATACGTTCTGCTGCGCGATCATTGAGCGTAGGGTTGTTGGGTCAAGGGGCGGGGAGTCGGCGATCCAGGCGAGATTGACGGTGCGGAAGAGCTGAGCGGCGGAGGTTTCGATGGTGTTAAGCTGTGTGATGTCTTCTTCAACAGCTAGGCGGATTGAAATTTCGTTTCTTGGTGGAGTAGTGGTCATTGTGGTTCGTGGTGGTTGCTTGAGTATAGGTACCGGGAGATGCTGGTGCAGGTTGTATCGTTTTAGTTGGTTGTTTAGTATTGCCGGGGCCGTGACAGTAAATTTGAGGAGATAGGGCTGATATGTAGACTCAAAGTACCCACTGTTAGCTGATCTTAGGCAACACTACAATAATCACCAATCAAATACGAGTACGAGCGTGTGCCAGTTCTAGAGAGTTTGAGTCATACTAGATTCTTGGACTATGAAAAGCGAGCAACGTCAGGAATCCTTATTAGCACAATCTTCGAGAACTAAGCAATGGATTTT